CACGCGTGCCAGAATGTCGCGCACACGGCCCAGCACCTGGTCGAGCAGCGTGCGCCGCTCCGCATACTGGTCCGACAGGTCGATCGAGATGCCTGCGAGCGTCGACGTGTCCGTGTACTGCGGCAGGAACGCGTTCGTCAGCTCGCAGTCGCAGCCGCGGCCCACGAGCGACGTGAGCTCCAGCATCGTCGCGACGACGTCCGAGCGCGCAAACAGCCAGGGGAACGCCGGCACGAGCCGCTCCAGGTACGCATGCGCCTCCTCCCGCACCGCCGTCCGCAGGTGGCATGTCGCCACGAGGATGTTGCGCGCCTCATTCGCCAGGCACTCGTCCGCGGTGTGCGACTCGGTGCGCTCCGCGACGTGCACGAGGAACGCCGAAAACGTCCGCTCCGCCACGGCTCGGAGCGGCGCGAGCACCGACGACGCCGCGACGCCCGCGTGCGCAAAGTAGCACAGCGCCATCGACGGCCGGCCGCACGCGGCGCGGCGCCACTCCACCTGCAGCACCGCATACACAAACGCCAGCCGTGCGAGCGACAGCGCACGCGGATCCAGCACACGCGCGCCGATGATCGGCGAGAGTGCCTGCCGCAGCGACTCGGGCGTCACGCCCAATGTGTCGTGCTTCATCACCGTGTACGTGTCGATGTCGTCGTCGAGGTAGTTGCGCGCCGATGTCGGGATCAGCGTCGGCGTCTTGAGCGCGATGATGTTCAGCGCATCGCCATGGGGCATCGGCGCCGTCAGTGCCGACTGCGGCGCGGCTGCCGTCAGCGCCATGACAATCCACGCACTGCGGAACAGGTACACCAGCTCCGTGCTGGGCTTCCAGTGCACGTGCATGTCGTCGTGGGCTACGAGCGCCGCAAGGACGTGCGTGAGCTCCTGCACGGCCTTGGACGCATTCGCACGCCCGCCGTGGGTGCGCATGCCAGCCTCAATCACCAGTGCAAGCATCTCGGGCAGCACCGTTTCCTTCCGCAGGCACGGCGCCCCGTCGGTCTTCGCGCCGGCCTCGGCGACCGGCTCCTTCGCGACCGCATCTGCCTGCCTGCCGAGCGCCTCCGCCTGTGGCGTCAGCTGCCGCATCAGCTGCAGGCACACCTGCTGCATCGACTGGAACTGCGCCATGTCGCCCGCGGCCAGCGCTCGGCGCATCGCATCGGCCAGCGACGTGCACACATTTACAAAGCTCGAGCGCGGCGCCGTGATCGCCAGCAGCACCAGGTGGCTGAACAGGATGCTGATCGGCAAGTGGCCGTGCCCCTCGGTGCGCTGCAGCAGCAGCGAAATCACCAGCGCCGTGAACGACGGCGTCCGTAGATGGTGCGCGAGGCGCGTAATCACTGCGAGCGTCGCATTGATCGACGCCGGCTCCGCCTCGCGCGACACGTAGTTCAGCATCGTGTACGTTGTCGACGCAGCAGCCTCGTCCTGGCCAGAGCCCCGGATGCACGCCGCCATGCTCAGTGCCGTCACACTCGTGAGCGGCGACAGCGCCGTGACCGGCAGCGGCTCCACCTTCGCCGGCATCCCGGGCGCTGCGCTCTCTTTCGTGAACGGCAGCGACTCCTGCACCCAGCGCCGGATGTGGTACAGCAACTTGAGCGACAACGTCGGGCGTGCCATGCCCAGCACGGCAGCGCTCTCCAGCGCCGTGCGCTGCACCGCCATGTCCTGCATCGGCGCTCGCTCACTCAGCACATCACACAGCGTGTCCAGCACAAACGTAGCATCGTCCGTGTTCGTTGCTGTTGCAAGCACTTGCAGCTTCAGCGCCGTGCACAGCTGCTCACTCATGTACAGCTCGGCGTGCAACGGCGTGCCGACCTCCATCGCGCCACAGGCATTCGCGACCATCGTGTACGTCGTGCGCGCCATCGCCGGCACATACAGGGGCTTCGGCAGGGTCCCTTTCACCATTTGCTGCCATGTGAATGCGTACGCGGGCGTGTCGTTCGGGATCGCAGCCGCTTGGCCCGTCCCGATCGCCGCTTGCGACAGGATCGACGCAATCGCGCTCATCCCGCACCAGGCAATCAGCTGCCCGCTCAGTGGCGTCCCCAGCACCATGTACTGCTCGAGCAGCTGATCCCGCACATCTGCGAGCTCCGTGCGCGCCGTCAGCGCCAAGTCCATCGACGTTTCCCCCCTGCTCCGCTGCGCTGCCACGGCTTGGCACTGCAGTGCCGCCTCCTGCTGCTCTGGCAGCGCGACGAGCAGCCTGTCGAGACGCGCCACCATGTCAGCTCCCGAGACCAGCCGGCTCAGTGCATGTGACAGGGACGTGACAGTGCTGCTTTCCCACACAAACGCCACGTCCTGCAACGCTCGCGCCACACCGTGCATCTGCGGCACACATCGCAGCGCAAGTCGCAGCACCTGTTCGTCGGTGCCATGCGACATCAGCTGCGAGCATAGGCCATTCACCAGTGTGTTCAGCGCCGTCAGCATGTCGGAGCGCATCGTCGGCATGCAAAGGGCAATTTTCAGCAGCCCTTCCACCACCGTATACGCAAGCTCGTCCGCCATGGGCCACTGGCCTTGCACTTGCATGCTCTCGTCAAAGTCGGCGTTCGGCATGTGCTCAGCCGTCGCCGACAACGTCCGCGACACATGCTCCAAGTACACATGGGCCAAGTCGTTCGACCGCGGGTTCTTTGTGACGGCGTCTGCCATCGCACTCGCGAAGCGCGCTTGCGCTAACACGGCCCGTACATCCGACACACTAAAGTATCCCAACGACAATGTGCTGGACGACGCGTCACTGCTCTGGAACGCCGCAAAATCATCGGCATTCAGCGTCCCATCTGCTGCCTCACGCGCAAGACACGCCGCGAGATCATTCAGTATGAGCGTGTGCGTAGGCTGATCAAGACTAGCACAGCCGTTAGTTTCCGTACATTGTCTCTTCTACGTACAAGTCCATTCAGAGCGCCGACGAGCGAGTGCGTATGTTGGTATGTGGAACGTATGAGCGCATAGATCGATTGATCGATCGGTCGATTCACCCAGTGAGCTTCAACTCGCCGCGTGGCATTTCGGCGTGTTTGCGAGCCTACAAGGACCGACCGCGTGCCCAACCCTTTGTGTGCCACATGGCGCTTCCAGCCGCCACCCTATCCATCCATCCATCCATCCATCCATCCATCCCTCCACCTGTCCGTCCATCTGTCTGCGCACATTGGGTCTGCATCGCACAGAAGCATACATCCCCTTCGTCACCCCTTCATCATGACATTGTGTGCTAGAAACATGTGTGGCGTCCTCCAGTAGCACGGAGCTTGGCTCGAGAAAGGCGTGGAGAGGGGTATCTCTCTATATAGCATGCCATATGTAACACCTACGAAACCGACACCTCTTGACATTCTGTACTTGTCATCACCGTTGCCGGCGCGACCGCCTCACATACCTGGCGCAAACCCAGCTCAAGTGCCTGAAGAGCTCGCGCATCCTCTGGCGCCATCGAGGCTGCTCCACTAGGTGCAAGCACGTCGGGCAAGTCCAGCGAGAGAAACAGCTGACGGATGCCGATCTTCGTAGCTACATGTGTGTGAAATGAGTTCATCCGTCCATCCGTCCATCCGTCCGCATATCCATGCATGCAAACATGTGCCTCTATACGTACCTATCCGTTCCGACATGCGCCGAGAAACGTCACTGTGTGTGTGATACATAGTGGTACCAATGGTTGTGCTAGGTGGTACGTGCATGGCCACACTCCAATCGCGACCCAGTGCACCTTGCACGCGTATAGTCGTGGTAGCGTCATCCGCACTTGCATCTCCATCGCCCGTCGTGTTATCCAACTCGATAGCAGACGATGCCATGCCGCACCATACAAGGAGCGTATCGTGCATCGCCGTCACCTGCACACCAAATGTGTGGCAGTGCGGATGCGGCACATGAATCACGTACGCACACGTATGCATGGCACACCAATAAACCGGCTGGACAACGCGGGCTTCCCTCCTGCGATGCTGATGGTTGAAGACGTCAGCGTCCTGCTGCGGATCGTCGACGTTGCTCTCTCTCTCTCTTCTCTCTGCCCTCTAGACGACGACTCATTTGTGCGTCTCAGGCAATGAATGCCCTCCACCCTCCACCCTCGTCCGCTCGTCTGCCGCTCATTCCCTGCCTGCGAAGCGTTGAGCGCACGTGACATCATGACGAGAAGCCACGCACATGCGTGGTCACTTCATCGGCCAGCGACCTCTCTATCTCTAAGCCCAAGCTCTGGCATCACCCACCCTCCCCCGGTCTTGGGCCAACTCTCGTCCATTCGTATCCATGGCTGCCGCCGTCGCGAAAGCGGCTGCTTCACAGCCCCGATTGATGCTGACAACTTCGCTGCGCACAGCTCTGCAGCGACGTACGGGATCCCCCCTCTGGCACTTGACTCGCAACGCCAGTGCATCAGCCATCCGCCCACCACTATCGCCACCTGCACCTGATCGGCTCAAGCCTGCTTCTCCAACGTACTTTTCAGCGAAACCCTCGTACATGGACACGCTCCAGATGCTCGATCAGCTCACACGCGAAGTGAAGCGCGAGCTTGAAACGGCTTGTGTCCTTGCGCCGAATGCGCGCCCACCTCCCCTTCCGCACGGCACCATGTCGGCGTCGTGGATCTCGCGCGAGCGTCTTGGAAGTCGTCTCGGCCTCCGACTCCGCGCATCTCAATACCGCAGCGTCACCTCGCGCCTATCCTTGCTCTTGCGGTACCAGGACTTGGCTGTCAAATACTTTCAGAATAGTTCGCCCTTCGCCGCCCGCGGGTCCGCTCACCAACAGGAACTAGTACAACAAATCATCGAGATTCTCGAGTCGTTCACAAATGAACTCACCCTTGATTCTCATCACGATGCCTCCAGCGCCAGTGATGCACTCTCTGGCATGCCGACGCACGGAATGATTGACGATCTCGGTCGTGCGTACGCTCGTGGCCGTCGGAAAGTCAGCAGCGCTCGTGTCTGGCTTGTCCGCGCAAAGCCCACGAGCGATGGTCAGATCCCCACCGGAGAAATCCTCATTAACAATGCGCCTCTTAGTCAATACTTCTTGCGCACAGCGCATCGCGAGATCGTGACATGGCCTTTCCGTCTCGCTGGTGTCTTGGGCGTGTACAATGTTTTTGCGCTTGTGCGAGGTGGCGGCGCTTCTGGTCAAGCGGGTGCGCTTGCACATGGTATTGCCAATGCCTTGGTTGCGGCTCTTGGCTCGGCTGAAGGCGAGCATGCGACGCAGGTCCAGTCGCATATCCAACAACTCTTGGCAAGAGGTACGTCTTCCTTCCTTTTTGTTTTTTTTGTTGTTGTTTTTTTTCCCCTCTTTCCCCACTATGTGATCTTTCAGACTAACCAAGCTAGACGGTGTTCTCATTCGCGACCCACGCATGGTGGAACGAAAGAAGCCTGGTCTTGCCAAGGCACGCAAAGCCTACACATGGGTCAAGCGTTAAAAATCTATAGCATAGCTTAGCATAGCATGGCATGGAATCTTTCAGAGCACTGCGCGTGTAAGTAAGTGCAAGCACACAAACATAGTTAACTCTAGAGGGTGGTCATGGCAATACGTACTTCGTCGCTTTTTCGGGCGTACACCGCCAATTTTGATAGGCGTCTTGTCAGTCATCGCCTTGATCAAGTGGCGCACTGGCTCGCCTTCCGATGCTTGCAGAGCACGGAACACGGCTTCTCGACCCTGGCCAAACCCATTCCACAGCACTTCAATGTGCCGGATGTCCCATTGGCTCTTGTGTGCAACAATCTGGTGGAATATACGCACCGCTGCTCGGTAGCCTGCCTCGTACCCAGACCGCTGCGCTTTTCGGAAGCCTGCCGTGCCACCGCTCTCTGTTGCTAATGGTTCACCCGTAGGCATCGTCAGTGTGACGATCGTATTGTTCCGCGAAGCCTTGACGTGCATGCGATGAGGAATCGATCGATCCACTGCCTGCCACGTGCGGGTGCTTGGCTGCTCAACCTCCTTTGCCTGTGCAGAGATCTCGGGCATGGGGGTAAACTCCATGGCTGAGTCGAGCGACACTTTCTGTACGCCGTCCAACGGCTGAGTCGATGGCGCCGACACCGGTTCATCTGTCGTACTCGATGTCGCTGCGCCCGAAGACTCCGGCGACACGCCTGCCTCAGCCCTTCTCTGAGCATGACCTGGAACCTCGGAATATGCTCGAGCCGGCACCACAACGGGTATGCGCCGACTTGGCATTCGCACGGCCGTGCGAAGCCCCAACGACAACCGCTGGAGCATGGTGTAGAGATAGGTGGGTATGGATCAGAACAGTGGGTACAGACGAACCGTCTTGGACCGACTCCAATGCACGTCGACAGGTCGATTCTATCTCAAGTAGCGGCGAAAGAGACGAACACGAGCAAATTCACCGACACATCAGCGACCCTGTAGGCCCATGTATGTGGAGGCACCTCACAGCCTATCAAGACCGACTGGGCATAGTCTCTCTGGCCTACGTACATGTGGTGGCCTCGAGCGATGTGATATGCGTGTTCGCCCTGCTGGTTCACAACGCGATCATAGCCAAAAGTAGAGTAGCACATGGCAAACTAGCGTCTCTTACATCACACGAGCCCTACGGATCTACAGTGACGCCACGCTCGCGGAGAAAGTCTTTCGCCGTCTTGATATCCTGCTTCGTTAGCGACCCCGCTCATGTAAGTAAAAAAAAAAAACTTACCAGCAAGAGCTCCTCATGTGCCTTAGGTGTGTCATGAAAGTTGAAAAGACCCCATCCAACTTGGAAGAGCAGGTATGATCCCGTGCTTACCAGCACCCACCAAGGCAGCTGCACTCGTCAGCGGTCTTTCCTTCGTCATATGCACTTTCTCGGACGTCGAACGTACCGTCGGCAGGATTGCATCTGACACCTCGTCCGACACAAACGGCAAGTGCAGAATGCCAAAGAGGAACAGAAAGTACACAAGAAAAGCGCACACAGTTATGGCCCCAAAGCGACTAGCACGCGTCATTGTCAAGCGGTGGAGCCAACCTCCGTCGTTGCGGACCTGCCGCCTGGCTATCCAATCCCAATTCGAATCACGTTCCGTCGCACTTCCTCCCTTCCTCCTTCTCCCTCACCCCAGGTCTCTCATACGCTTGTGGGCATACCCTCCTACTCTCTCGGCCGAAACGCTCACACATCCCACACGCGTGCGACCCACGATTTTTCCAACTCGCGCGCGCGCCTAATGTGACAAAGCAGCTAGATTGAATTACGCGCTCTTCCCTTGCAACGAGACAACACTATTCGTAAGACGCAAGCATGTCATCCAAATGGACTAGTCATGCCAATGAAGCGACGTGCTTGTACCTGGCTGGTGCACCGTCACGATGTGATCGTGTATTCCACCCCGCATTCACCTATCCCATCTTTGGCGACGCGGAGACGATTTATGGCTACGAACGCCTTCACATCCAGCTCTCCTTTGCATCCGGAAGTTTGCGTCCCAGCTTGAACATCGAGTACCGCGCTAAAAACACCATGACAACAGCCAAGGTTGACGATGTTGATAAACAGCTGCGCGAATTTCTTCCAGAAGCAGATCTCGTGTCGCCCGACGCGTTTCCTCAACTGGTACAAGCCGACGCCGCGTCATTCCAACCCCCAGGCACCCAAATTACCTCATATACCCAGCGCGCCAAAGGACAGGCATCAGATCGTACATTTTGTATTTTCCACTCTACTTGGGACACGCCCGGTTTTCGTGCATGGCTCAAGCGTGCACAGATTTTTACCTTGTTTTTTATCGAGGGTGCCTCTTACCTGGAAGAGGAGGAAAAGAATTGGGAGTTTTTTACAATCTTCGAGCGTGCACACGCACCTTCGACTCAGCAACAAAGTGATCAACATCATGCCACCTGGCATTTTGTTGGTTATACGGCTCTGTACCGCTTCTGGTGTTGGCCCGACAAGACTCGCTGGCGTTTGAGCCAGTTTCTCATTCTCCCTCCATACCAAGGACAGCGCCATGGTACACATCTGTATGATACAGTGTACGCGCATGCATTGTCTGATCCAGCCATATGTGAGCTGACGGTCGAAGACCCCTCAGAAGCATTCGACAAGCTCCGTGACACCTGTGACTTGACGTATCTGAATCAGCAAAACGATGTCGTTCATCATATAGCCGCACCAATGGATCGTGCATGGCGATCTAACGCTCGATTGCGCTATAAACTTGCGCCTCGTCAATGGGCTCGTTTACTGGACATGCTGGGGCTCTTGCACCTAGATCCTGGCGCTTCTCCCGACCAGTTTCGCGCATTTCGCTTACAGGTCAAGGCACGAATCTATCAACAGAACCGTGAAGTCCTTGACATGCTTCCTCATGAACAACGGGTCGAGAAGCTCCATGAGACATTTGAGGCTGTGCTGGATGAGTATGCCGACATTACGGGTGTCGAAGTACCAGAAGCCTTGCTTGAAATGTCGCCTAGCCCTCAACCCAAACGAATCCCAAGTTCGCTCAACGATGACGACCACAGCGAGGGATCGTCTGTGCCGCGCAAAACGCCTCGCCTCGTATAATGCTACAATGCCTGCTTTGGGCGCAATACAGCCACATGAATACAATAGCCTTCCCCTTCCCAGCGCTCGTCCTGCTCAGTTAACGAAGCCGGTGTCTCGTCCAACACCGTCGCTCCTGCAATGCCAGGGGCATACGGAACGCGAGCTGGCGATGGGGCTCGCGAATGCGCGCGCGTACGTTGTATCATGACTCTATCCAGCATCTCTGCGACCCAGGCAATGTTCGTCAGCATGGAGAGGTCTTGTGAACGACTCATCGGTAAGCGCTGCCGGATCTCAGCATAAGAAGCTTCCGCGCCGCGGCATTCGCGGATGACACGCGGACTCGAAATGGACGTATGCGGGTCGACGTCGCCGTCACTTGGATGAAATGACACGAAAAGACGCGTGTCAAATATGCGAAACAACACGTCGTCAACGCGTAAGAAGAAACGTTGCAATACAAGCCAACTACTCGGCATCACACGCTGTGAGTGAGTGTAAGAGATACGAAAGCAATGATGCTCGTACGCACAACTTTTACATTCAGCAAACTCGTCCCGTTGTCAGCAAGCTCATCTTCAAACAGAACAATGTCGTCGTAAAACAAAATGGGCTCGCCACTGGCTGGACCTAATCGTTCGATGGGAATTCGATCGCGCGTTGGATCGATGCCTCGCACAAACGCACGTTCCCATATCGTACGCTCAGTTTTTGCCGCATTCTGTGCATAGATGTCAACAGGTGCTGCTTTTCCCGGTTGGCCAGGCCATGTCGTCGAATACGTCCAGTCGTACGGTTTCGTCATGGATACTTGCGGGGTTGACGACGCTGTCGTCGACGATAATGCATGTTGCCTAGACGTGTGAGTAAGTCTGTACTGATACGCGCGTACACGCTTTCTCTCTCTCTCTCTCTCTCTCTCTCTCTCTCTCTCTCTCTCTTTCTCCCGCAAAGAGCGAGTTTTAGGACTTACCGTGATTCTCCCCATTTCTTTGCGTACGACACTTGGACGCCACTTTGTGACAGCCGACGACGCGGGCGATGGTATGTTTCGTTCGTGTCTGTGTGTTGACTTGCATATGCACAATCCATGGCCATATGCTGCACGTCATCTCGCACACCGTGCACACAATGTAGTGCTCGCACGGCATCAAATATGTAGGAAAACCCACTAGGCTCGTGTTGTAAAACAAGTGCGTTATGAATGAACGGCATCTCGGGCGGGGGTATGTCTAGGAGATCGGACAGCATATCCATATCTGCTGCATTCGCTATACTTCCACGGAGCACGCGTACTGTCCATGGTCCGATCACGATCCCTCTCTCCAGCACCTTGTCAGATGGCGCAGCTGATCCTTGTGCACTAGACACACATGACTGAACTGGCAGAGTATAAACGTGTTCAAATAACCGGTGCGGTAGTCGAGTCATCTAGTTGGTTGGATGAAGGGATGGATTGATGGAAAGGCTTTATAGATACCTTCTTGCAGGCAGCGTCAGGCTCGTTCTCGTAGATACGCCAAACCGACTTAGGTATACCGACGAACAGAGCGTGTCGTTAAATGAGTCGATTCTAGATTGGATTGATGTGGAGAGTGTAGGCGACTCCACGGCCCGGCCGCTCAGGTCAATCAAATATGGGACCCTAGGAGTCAGGTGCCACGTGAGACGCACGGTCTGCGTGTGAAGAAAGCTGAGGTGGTTGGAGATATAGGATATGACGTCAGCTAGTGGGGGCGCATCTGAAGCAATTCGGCGCCAACTAATGCAACCCCACTTTGGCTGAGTTTGTCAGTCTTACTCGCCATCCATTCATTGTCAATGATGATCTCAGTTGTTTATATATCTCCGTGGGTTTGGAGGGAGGCTCAACTCGAGCCATCCCATGACCATTAAGCCTGTGCAACATGCATGCAAATCCTTTCGCTACACTTGAGCTGATGACGATGATGATGGTGCACCTGCAGACAGACCAACATCTGCCACGATCCTTAATGTCGCAGGACTATTAATTGCTAATGCTTGGTGCAGTTACGTGGACTTTCTGACATCTTTTGACAATAAGGAAGTAATTGACTACGTGCTTAGCACGTAAAGCAGTGAGGAGTCGAGTTTCGTGGATGCTAAATTTGCAAACAATACCTATGTGTGCAGTGAGCCCATACGGAAACAGGTCCCCCTGGCGTGGGTTGTGATGTCCGACGCTCATCCACATTAGCATCCACAGAATCAAGCCAATAGAAGGTCAATGTATTGTACTATGATCCTTATTTGTCATCGGAAGTGAGATGTGACACGTGGCAAATCGGTCCGTGCTTTGCCCGACTGAGTAAAATTTGCGTTTGCATCTAGCTTGAGGGCGGTCTGTTCGCTCGCGCGTGCGGTGGCGTTTCAAGGCCACAGGGTGGGAGAAGTACAAATAGGTTGAGTTGAATTATATTATTTCTTTCCCTCTACCACCAACTACCTTAGCAATATGTCGCAGATAAACAAGGCTTGCTGCTCGATTCCTCCTGTCAAGACGGACTACCAGCCTCAGGGCAGGATGGAGAAGTGCGCCGATATGGATGCTTATGTCATTGGCCCAGCTGACTCTAAGACAGTGCTTGTGTGTGTGTATGACATGTTTGGTTTCTGGGATACGACAAAGCAGTGTGCAGACTTGCTGTCCGAGGTGATGAAGGTTAAAGTTGTTATGCCTGATCTATTGCGCGGAAATCCGTGGCCCATCGACCACTTCCCACCACGCAATGACGAAGAAGGTAAAAAGTTAAGCGAATGGTTTAGTTCTATTGCTAGCATGCCGGAACGCAGTAAAGACCTTAAGAATGTGGCTGCAGATTTAAAAGAGAAGGGTGCTGAAAAGCTTGGCCTCTACGGCTTCTGCTGGGGCGGTAGTGTAGCCAGCCTCGCTGGCAAAGCTGGTACGCCGTATTTGGGCGTGTCAATCATTCACCCGCCGATTGTTGCTCCTGAGGATAGCAAGGAACTCTCCGTTCCTGTGGCATTCTTCCCATCTAAAGATGAACCTCGTGATGAATGCGATAAATACTGGGACACTCTGAAGAGCTCACACCCTGAGCTGATCGAGAAGAGTGTGTACCACTACTACGGCGACATGTTCCATGGCTTTGCGTCGGCCCGTGCGAACTTGAAGGACAAGGCGAACTACGACGCTGCTGTGGATGTTTACCAGCGCCTTGCCAACTTCTTCTGCTACGTATTCAAGTAGATATGGTAGAGTTATCAGGATGTGTGTCCGATTCTATCTCGACGGTTTCACCGTTCTCTTTGTCGCCATATACGGTTCCGACGCGGACGCGTCCTCCATGCGCACGTACGATCTCCTCTACCGTCCTTGGTTTGTCTTTGTTTTCGGTAAACCACTCAAGATTGTCCGCAATCAGATGTCTGGTCAAGCTGTTAGCCACGGTTTCGCATCTGCACTCTTCCAACGTACCGGTTCTTGCAGCCCGGACACTGCACGAGCACTATACCATTTGTATAGGAATGCTTGCTGAATTCATGGGTTGACCGAGTCCCACAATCCGGTACAGTACAGGTAAACGTTAGCTGCAATCGTGGCTTCACTGATTCTTCAGACGACGTCGATGCGGACGATGGCGGCATAGTCGGTGCGTCACTGCCACTCCCGCGCGAAACGCTAGTGCGGAGCGAACGCACGTTCGTTACTGGCAAACCTGATGTACGCACGCTAGACGCAATTGTAACTTGTTGTAGCCTACATGTGCGAAGCGGTACATTCCACCATCCTCGCTGAAAAAGTCGTGCTGCTGCCACCATCACAAGTGTACAATCCCGAGAACTTCGGCGGGCAACGCCTCGCGCAGAGAGCACCTAGTGTAACACCGGATGCCGATGACTTGAAGCACCTACTTGATGTAATGCAGGTGTGTATGTAACGAACATCATGCACGGTGATTTGTGGTGAGCACGTGACTCATTGTCGCGCACCCTCGCGGTCATAATGTGGAACGGTAGGGATGGCGCCTCGACGTGTCAAGAGGCAATAAGAGACAACCAGCCAGTGACAAGGAGGGGTGCGTGTCTTGACTCACATTGGAACGAGTCATGGCAGTTGCACAGGCCATGATGCCTGCTCAGCCGGATCCACGGCAGCGTGGCAAGGTCAAGTTGGATGCGCTTCGCAGTTCGTCACTGAATGTGTCGCATAAGATCCGGATCCATCACCTACTCGCTTTACTTGTGACCAAGACTATGGTCGCTTCCGCAGCGTGGCTCACACGTCAGTGGCTTCTTGTGCCTCAAGTTGATACAGATTTTTTACAGCTGCAGCAAGATGGCATTCTTTCTTCAGACGCTGGCCATATGGTGGCTCAAGACAATCTCGTTCACGAGCCTGCTAGTCTATGGGCCGTAGCTACAGTCTCTATGTCGATGGCAGCATTTTTCTTACTGACCACTTTGCGTGTATGGCGTTGGGATATTGAGCTAACGAGTCACGCCGTGCGTCATCTACTAGTTCTGGGCGCAGTTGTATTTCTGCAACTGATATTCTGGCTCATGTCGCTCAAGTATCTCGGTGCTACATTTACATTAATCTTCACACAATTTTGTGAGCTGTGGATGCGCGACATCCAGTTTGGCCGTCGTTGGAGCAAGTCTGGCGGAATGCTAGTCATCCTGTCGATGTGCATGTCCTTTGCGGTTGCAACACTCACGCATTCTTCCGTATCTTTACGGCGTCCGTACGCCGACACGCTCGACAACATCATGATACGTACACTCACATTCAAAGCCAGCCTTCAAGACCGAGTCTCCGTGTGGGATCTGTGCAAAGGGTTCGCTGCATTACTCGTCCATGCCGTTTTGTCAATGGAACTCGGACATCTTGTATCCACCACCGCAAGACACGTTGGTGGCCGTCGTCGAGCGATGGTTCTAGCCACATCATTTGCCGCAGCCATTCTGCTTCCTCTATCGACGCTAGGCGCTATCTGTGGGTTCAAGTTACTGCCTGCGCCTCTCGTACCTGGTCGAGAGCCCACAGCCCAAGATGCATTGGAAATCAATCACCTGGCTGCGTATCTTGTGCTGGGCATTGGATTGCTCATGTTGGATGTTCTAGTGACTTTGACCCTTGAGTCATATGTGACGCTGATCATGCATGTAGCACATGCCTGGCCAATGGTTGTGTTTGCAGCGATGGCAATTGGGTTTGCCGTCTTCAACGTGAATGTGAGCTTTATTCAAGTCGTCTGCGCCGCTTGTGTGGGCTTTGCATTGCGAGCGATCCTGCGCCGCTCGCCTTTGTACATGACTTCCTGGTACCGCCGTGCGACTATCGAAGAGCAGCGGGTCGCAATGGCGGGTTCAGATTCAGACACGACTCTTCTGACTGATTTGGTTGTTCTAACGTATCGATTTATGATTCAGCTTCGCCACATGATCAACGTCATTTTAAAGAACCGTGATTCTCGACGTATTTTTCTATTCCTCTGCTTGAACCTTTCGTTTATGGTGGTCCAGTTAGTCTGGGGCGTCTGGACTAATAGTCTCGGCCTTATCAGCGATGCAATCCACATGTTTTTCGACTGCGCGGCGATATTTATGGGCCTTGTGGCAAGTGTGATGGCGTCGTGGAAGACGGATGACAAGTTTCCCTTTGGTTACAAGCGCGTCGAGATTCTGTCAGGCTTTGCCAATGGCATTTTCCTCGTGCTTATTAGCGTGTTTATTCTCTTTGAGGCCGTGCAACGCATTATTGAGCCGCCTATCATGACCAACATGACGCAGCTCTTGATTGTTAGTACGTTGGGTCTCGTGGTCAATTTATTTGGCATGTTTGCCATGGGACATCATCACCACCATGGGCACTCCCATGGATGTCATGATCATCATCATCACGGTCATGATAACGGCCATTCACACAATATGCTAGGACTGTACCTGCATGTCATGGCTGATACCCTGGGCTCTGTCGGAGTGATTATTAGTACGATTTTAATCCACTACTTCCACTGGACAGGCTTTGATCCTATCGCGTCCCTTTTGATTGGTTTAATGATCTTGGGATCCGTCGTCCCTCTAGTCATTGACGCTGGACGTATTCTGTGCTTAGAACTGGGGAAAGACGATGCCAACGCTCTCCAGTGTGCGCTCGAGAAAGTCAAAGCCTTACCCGGCGTCGTTTCCATTTCGGACCCGCACTTTTGGCCTTTGGACGGCGAATCGATTGTTGGCACCATTCATGTCTTCTATGATACCCCTCTAACTTCGCTGACAAACGACAAACCTGTTTCCATTGACCCATCCACACTCGCTGTGGAAGTCGAAACTGTCTTGCGCTCTTGGGTCCAGAGCCTAGACACTCTCCATGTGCAAATGCATCCTACTGACCCAACTGTACTAGCACCCGAGAAGCACTTCGAAACATAGGCTACCGCATGTGTCCTCGCCAACTCCCGTATGTAGTGTAAACGTTTTTTCTTGTAAACACAAACAATTGATATGATCGTATGGCTCAAATACAGTGTGGTGGACTCGAGATTCTCAGGCTCCTATTCCCCAGACCTGAGGCCCGAAACACTGCGCGTTTGAGTTTGTACGAGTGCATGCTAAGCAAAGCACTGTACTGCTGACACCACTTTCCGCAAAATCATGTCGCGTATCGCTTTCAAATGTTAGTGCGACCAATATAAATGGAACATGAGCGAGCGAGTCAAGACGCGAGCTTCGATCCTCATGAGCCGAGATTCTAGACGTGCATGTGAACACATGCAGCATTTACGGCATGTCTCGCCCATGCTAACTCCCTGTGCGCACGCTGAGCGAATAAGCGTGGAAGAACAAATTCACTAAGTAACTCATAGATCTCTTTCAATTTGTCTGCAGGGGCATAAACTGTGTTTGCGTGACCTGCCAATCATGCCTCCACATCTTGTGTACCAACTGCGCAAATCGCGTTTCGTGAGAAATGCTCGGCACAGGATTGGACCATCACATCAAAATTCATACTCAAATAAGACCGAGGGCGGTGCACAGTTCCTATCACAATGAGCTCCGGCGACAAAACTTGAATTAAAAGGAGAGAATTTTTGTTCATGACGTGATTAATGTGGTATTATGTCATCAGAACCCACCGTACTCCGCTCTATCAGCAGATATTCACGTCTCCCAAACAATTGACACAAGTCAGCTCAGCTACCTCCGTGGCTTTCCATGAACCATGCGCACACGCGGATGCCGTCCCAACTCGTGATGAAGCAGGCATCCGTAAAGGAGCATACTCCCTCGTTTTTCGTAAGAGCCAAGTACGACTTTCATTCCCATCAATCGAATCTTCTCCGGTTTCGCGCTGGAGCTGTTATCGAAGTCCTGGGCCAGCTGGACATTGGCTGGTGGGATGGTTTGTTGAATGAGAGTACCCGTGGATGGTTTCCGTCAACTTACGTGGACACCATTTCAGATGAAGAAGCTCTACGTATCACAGGATCATGCGCTAGGGCGCGAAGTCCACAGCTGTCCCAATCTTCAGGCACGACAGATTCGTCTAGATCGAGCACGTTAGAACCCACTCTCTATGCACAAGCAATCCAGCTGGTTGATGAATTTATCCAGGAAATAACTGAGTTGATGAGCCTCTCTCGAAAACTACTCCAAGAACCTTGGGGGTCCACAAGCATGGATCCCATAGTGCAAAAGCTTGAAGCTGGAATGCTCAAACTTGGGCAGTCTATGCGTCAAACCTTTCTGGCGATCATCCAAGCGAGCCAAACCGATCCTGAGTCTTCCTATTTGTGTGATATAGGTGCTTCAGAGGCTTCGCTTGCCATATTGCCGAAAGACCTAGCCAATAAGTTTCCAACTTTGGCTGTCCGTGTTCACATGCTCATTAAGTATCTGCAAGATCCGACGCACTCGTCCAAAAATCACTCAGAATATACGAAAGAACAGAGCCGCTTCGAGGGTCTTGCGCATCAATTCATCGATACTATGACCTTTCTCAAACACGAGGTATTGGATAACCAGCGCATCTTGCTTTCCTCGAGAAGCGAGTCACCCCTGTCCATGGAAGATCTTGGATCTGAAGGCGTTCATGCTACTGATTGCTCTGTCTCGCCTGTACTTTCGAGCCCAGCACCTCGAAATGACTCAGCCAAGCGGCCAGGTATGCGCCGGGCTTCGACGTCGGAGATTTTTTCTTCTCTCTTGCGCTTTTCACCTGTCTCTATCAATGAAGGAAAAATTGAGTTGGCTGGACTCACATCGATGTCGTCAGATCATCGCGTGCCTATTGTGGAACCGGATTCCCCTGTCTCCGACACGTTCCTAGGCAGCGATATCCCTCCGGGAGACATTGTTTTTAGTCCACAGGGTACTGTCAAGGGCGGTACTTTGGAGGCACTCGTGGTGCAGCTTACACGCCATGATACGTTTGACACGAAGTACACTATGGCGTTTTTGACGACGTATACGTCTTTCACGACGAGCGAAAGACTCATGGAGCTTCTCATTGACCGTTTTCACCTCCACATGCCCGTCGGCCTTGACGAAGGCAGGCTTAAGCAATGGGACGAGTTGAAAAAGATCCCTGTTCAGTTGCGCACAGTGAATGTGATGAGACTTTGGCTCGAGTATCATTGTGATGGCTTGAAGGATGAAAAGGCGTTGGATTTGATAGAAGCTTTTGCGAATCACGCGCTTATACACCGACCCGTAAAGGGCATGCGTGGCATGCTTCTCCGGTTAATTGATCGACGCCGTCAAGGACTGGAAACGATTCCGAGAAGATTCTCGCGACCAAAGTCTATGCCTCAACCGCTGTTACCTGAGGACATGGTGAATCCATCTCTCTTAGGGATCGACCCGATCGAACTCGCCCGACAACTCACGTCGATGGAAAGCGATCTTTTCTTCCGCATCCGTCCGTTGGAATGCATGAACAAGGCATGGACAGGCCCTGATGCTTCTCAAAATGCCGGGGGTATTGTCGATGTGATCTCCTTCCACAATCGGATTACTGATTGGGTGTCGAATGTTATACTGATGGGTGAGACTGCTGAGCAACGAGCTATCCTCATGTCACATTTCATTGCGATTGCTCAGGAGTGTCGGCTTCTAAACAACTTTTCGACGATGTGGGCAATTTTCTCAGCTCTGAACTGTGCGTCGATTTTCCGGCTGAATGCGTCATGGTCGCTGCTCAATAATAAAAGCATGGGCATTCTGGCAGAGCTTAACCAGATCACACAGGCGTCGAGAAACTACCACTATTATCGGGAGTTGCTGTGTCGTATAAGTCCTCCTTGTGTTCCCTTTTTTGGCCTATATACCAAAGACCTCACTTTTATCGAAGACGGAAATCCAGACCAAATGTACTCTGATACACGCTTAATCAACTTTTGCAAACGTTTCCTAATTACGGACGTTATTGTCGAAATACGACGCTTTCAATCGACTCCGTACAGTCTCGCACGCGTTCCAGCGTTGATTGACTTTCTTGAGAAACAAATGCAATCTGGTTGGGATGATGATGAACGCTACGATCGAAGCCTCCTGCTCGAGCCTCGATTATCGTCGACTCATTCCAAGCCGCCTGTTCGACAAAACTTGAACGCTCTTGATACCGAGGCCGATGAACATCTATCCAACTTGTTACGACAGAATGGTTTTATCTGAATTGTTTATACTTCACATTCTTTATGTTTTGTACATGAAATGATAGTTCGAACACTACTCCGATGAATAGATAGATGAATTTGTATATGGAGAATTCATTCAGACTAAGAGCGAACGTTCCGGGTGAGCGTACGCCTGGAGACCGCCTCTGCGTAAAAAAAAAAGGTGTAATAAAATTAATAATTTGTCGGCGTGATCGTGTCACGAGAAAAAGCTTCCGCGCCGGGAATCGAACCCGGGTCTGGGCCGAGCTTGTTTGACAAGGCCCCGTCATAACCTCTAAACTACGCAGAACTTGTTGGTACGCAATGTTAGACTTACATCTATAATGTCGTGATTGAGGGCCTCATTTCATCCAGTAGCAATTTCGTGGCTTCAAATTGTTCCGAGTCGGCTATGTTGCTGACTTCTGAGGACGACACGCTTTCAATACGATGAATTAATGCGTGTGTATCTCTCAGAAGATTTGAATGCTTTGCCAACTGGGGTTGCTGTGTGGTGCAAAGAAGCCACCATTGGAGCCACAAGCAGCGGTAAACCATATCCCATTCGTACACACATGTCGATGCAGCAGTTTGAGAAGTCACGTCACGGTCAGACGCAAAGCCGCATCGCCATTCCAACATAGCATACAGGTCTTTCATTTGTATGCGGAAGTCACCGTTTTCATGTAACTGTTCTGCGACGAGGAGATCTGCTTCATTCGTGCATGTCATGAACAAGTACATATAGCATATGGTTTGTGCTAGTTGGATATGTTTTGTAACGTTGCAAAATATTTGAAGGGAAGTCGTGTTTAATGACACGAGTGACTGCACAGCTATTTGGCACAATTCCATCGCATTTTCTTTCGTGCCGTTTGCTGCTTGCCAATCCGCGAGAACACCAAGCAGCCGCGCAGCAATTGTGGCTCTCTCTTGCGTCAGATTGAGTGGCTCGGTTGTTGGGGCACTGAGGTCAGGGGAGAACGAAAAGACAATACTCAGCGGTTTTCTTAATGGAACAAACTTAGTCCCAAAGAACGTCGACCCAGGTGCGCTTTGCCATATCCTTATCAGTGCATCTAGTGTGCGCCAGGCTCCTAGTGTCATGGAACAAGACGGCATGTCTGCACAATGAGCATCTTCGCGCTCGTCGTTCCGAGTACTGGCGCTTTTTGTGTGAGCGTTGTCGTGTGGGGACATCCAAAACTCTGGTATGCACAAAGAGACTTCGCTCATCAATTCCATCCTCGGAATTGGTCGACCGAGGAGCATGTCCCAGAAAGATTCAAAGCCAAACGGCAAGGCAACGTCTGCCCAAAAGGCTAGTGGCGTGCTGGCATATAATGAATAGTTGTCGTGCATGTGAGGCTGGGATAGCTCAGTTTTCGATGTCGATGTCGACGCAGGCATCCAGTCTGCTTCTGTGATATGCGGCGCGAATTGTATGAGCAGACGTCTCGCAAAGCCTATAGACGTTGGCGTTGGTCGAGCGAAAAACTTGCGTGAGCGCTGGCGTGATCGCAAAGGCGTGTCAAATTGGGTGCGAAGTACACCATGTGTGGTGTTGTTGCTTTCTTCTACACTTTCGGTACACATGCTCAGACATATAAGCCTTCGAATGATAGACGCAGGCGGCGGTAGCGCAGCGGAGTATGTCTCGTCAATCAACTGCACGGCGGCATCATCTGCACAGGGTGCCTGTAAGTTTATTTTGTTTCACTACGATTCGCTGCATCCTTTCTCGTGCTTACATTGTTCCTCGTCGAAGTAGTCGTCCACAAGTTGTGCAAGTGGTGCTGCTGATGACGCGTGTGACATGCAAGAACGACGGCCTGTGAAGCGGCGGCAACGTCGTGGCTGCGTCGCGCCCGCGATGAAAACACGTGTGGAGTGGGCCATCCTCGTGCAGGATGTGGAGAGTTTTAGCGCACTTCCTTTGACTGTGGTGGGTATTTGACAATCACCGGTGATTCACATGCACGCTTATTGACGCAATTTGGACCGATTTTCTTAATCGGGCACACAACAGCACGCTACGAGATTGCGCCAAGCCTTTCGACGGTCGAGCTACGTGTGCTAGCGAGCATGACGGCTATCACATACGAAGCACCGTGTATGTAAATAAGACGCTTATTAGACAGGGCCAGTCTATGCGCTAGCATGGTCAGGATCACGCACCACGCATATGAATGGGTATGTAACGCACAGCGACCAGCACATGGCAGGTGTGGGCAGGAAAACTTACACTGACTACAGGGATATACCTGGACATCTTCCACCCAGCTCACGACTGGCGGTAGGCAGCTTCAAGGAAGAGTATACCAATCGGATCCAGGTGCTTGGCATGCAAAATGACAGCGAAGGGTACGTAGAAAGCAATCCACAAGACAGACCAGTGACTGTGGAACGAGCGGCAGTGACACTAACGCGAAGACACGCACAAGTTGAGGTGCTGGCGGACGCACTGCATCCGTATCCAGCGACCAAAATTGGGTTTCAGCCGTCGGACGACAGGCAAACAGCAGATTTCGATGGCATGGACAAGTCGCAGGACCCAGACTGGATGCAACCCGAAACGGCAGAGACAAGCCGCAGCATGTCGAGCACGTCGAGTCTTGGTAGCACGTTTAGTGCTGACGACCCTGCTGATCTGTCGCAGGAAGATCCATACCCGAGCCGCGACCTGCTAGCGAGCTCTGCCGACTGCTTACATGTGTGGGAGATGGAGCGGAATGAAGACGTGTCTGACATGTACGGGGCCATGTCAATCCGACCGAGCCTGTCGAGCAAAAAGCACCATGAACAGCAGCAACAACAACCGGCTGCACCACGGTATGTGCTACGAGAAAAATGCGCACTTGCGCACGCGAAGAGCTCCGTGTCGCCACCTGCACCCCTTACATCCTTTTCCTGGAATGCGCCATCACCGAACCTCATTGTAACGTCGTCCATCGACACAACGTGCACCATATGGGACCTGCCTACACGAACGGCTCTAACGCAACTCATTGCGCATGACAGGGAAGTGTACGATGTTGATTGGTGCCCTGGGAGTGCGGATGTCTTTGCATCTGTGGGTGCTGATGGCAGTGTGCGTGTGTTCGACTTGCGCAACCTGGAGCACTCGACGATCATCTACGAAACGAATGCGCAGTCTTCCATGTCTCATGACCGCAGACGTGATTCGAAAGGGCCAGGCGCGTTGTACGGGGGAATGGGGCCTAGTGGGATGACTGTGCCTCTGTTGCGCATCGCCTTCAATCCATGGGACGCGAACTATCTCGCGACATTCCAACTCGAATCCAACACTGTGCAAATTCTCGATGTCCGTGCTCCTGGCAGTTCCATTCTCGAGCTACGTGGACACAGTGGCCCTGTGAATAGCGTGGCATGGGGCCCGCCAAGCCAAGGCATTCCACGCAATGGACCTAGCAAAGGCATGATCTGTACAGGCGGTGACGATGCGCAGTGTCTTGTGTATGACCTGACGAGTGCCACGTTACGCACGGCGTCTGCTCAAGGCCGTCGCTCTCGGAATAGCCTGTACCAACGGAGCCAGTCGCCGCACGATGGTTGGCGCGTTGGCGCAGAGGTGCCTGTGCTGGCGTACACGGCGCCGTCTATGGTGAACAACGTAAGCTGGCTTGGCATGTCGTCCGCATCACGGCGTGCATCTCATCAAAGCAAGCACCGCAGTTTTTACCGCAATTTGTTGAGCGAATGGACTGATTATACGTCTCCGTCATCTCGTCATGGCGGCACTGATTGGCTCGCGCTATGTGCAGGCCAGTCTGTCAAGGTTTTACGTGTATAGAGAACGTCTATAGGAGAATAGGCGAAAGGATATGATACGGAGTGTTGGGTTCGAGAGGACGAAGAAACAAGCGAGCCTATGTGCCTTACATTTTAGCACCGTGTGGCGGATGCGCGGGCCATGTTGGGTCGGACTTGACGTCGAGTGGCAACAATCAGTGGATAGCATTGCTTCGAGCAACATGTTTCTGACTGTCTGGCTTGTCCTGTAGGTCAAGTCGAAAGCGAGCGAGGAGGGAGGAGGCCAACGGTTCCAGTTAGGGTCACGCGCGCCAAGCATCCACCATGTGCTACTTGGGGCCGGCCTTGATGGTGGAGGCGCTGATAAAAATCCAGAAACATACTAGAGGCGAAATGACAAAAATGACAAAAAACCACCGATTCCACACGGCAGCCCACAACGCACGCTCGCACGCACATACAACACGACGTGGAGTTCGAGACGTGTGGCGGTTCAAGGCAGGCAGTAGCAGTGCATGTCGGGCTTCGACGCAGGTCGCGTATATTCGACGCAGGCTGTAGCCGTGTCATCGACGGCACAGGCGCCAGATGCACCTGTACAAAATGAGACGGCCCTCTTTGAGTTTGTACAAAACTTTCGCCTGGGCGCCGAATACATCTACCGTGATCGACTTCGATCGAACCTACTCGTCAAGCAATACGTCCTAGATGTGCAGCTGGAGCATGTCCAAATGTGGAGTCCACACCTAGCGCAGGCGCTTCGTGAGACGCCCATCGAGATCCTCGCTCTGTTCGAGTCGGCCGTGAAGCGAGCGGCACGTCTTCTGCTGTACCCAGGTCAGCACAGGTGCCGAACAACGGCCGGAGGCGCCTGACTGCCAAGTGACGCTGCGATCCACGGCGAATCTTATGGCGATGCGCGACCTGCATGCCGACAATATCTCGCGACTTGTACGCATTCCAGGGATTGTCATTAGCACGTCTGTGCCGTCGTCGCGCGTGACTCGACTGCATCTCATGTGTCGCGATTGCCGCGCTGTCAAAACGCTGAATGTATCGTCCGGATTTGGTGGATTCGTTCTTCCACGTCAGTGCGATGCGCCAAAAGTGGACCCGAGTCTTCGATGCAGTGTGGATCCGTTTGTGATCCTGCACGAGCGCTGCTCGTTTGTCGATGCACAGACGCTCAAGCTGCAAGAGGCGCCTGATATGGTCCCTGTCGGTGAGCTTCCGCGGCACATGCTCTTGTCGGTGGACCGCGCATTGTGCGGCAAGGTTGTGCCAGGTGCCAATATCATAGCGACGGGCATCTTTTCGACGTTTGCCAGCAGTCGCGGTGGGTCGACACCGAATGCTGTGGCTCTGCGCACGCCATACCTTCGTGTGGCCGGCCTGGAAATCGATACAGGTGGTGTTGGCGGGCGTGGGACGCCGCGTGTGTTTACTGCCGAAGAAGAGGAAGAGTTTGGGCGCATGGCTAAGACACCTGACTTGTACGAGAAGTTTGCCGCGAGTATTGCGCCGAGCATCTTTGGTAGCACCGACATCAAGAAGGCTATCACATGTTTGCTATTCGGCGGCTCGAAGCGTGTGCTGCCGGATGGGATGCGTCTGCGTGGCGATATTAACGTGCTTCTTCTTGGCGATCCTGGTACCGCCAAGAGTCAACTGCTGAAGTTTGCTGAGAAGGTCGCACCTGTTGCCGTATACACGAGCGGGAAAGGCAGCAGTGCAGCAGGTCTGACTGCGTCGGTGCAGCGCGATGCCAACTCGCGCGAGTTTTACCTAGAAGGTGGTGCTATGGTGCTGGCCGACAGTGGAGTCGTCTGTATTGATGAGTTTGACAAGATGCGCGACGAGGACCGCGTTGCAATCCATGAGGCAATGGAGCAGCAGACGATCTCTATTGCAAAGGCTGGCATAACGACCGTGCTCAACTGCCGAACGTCTGTGCTGGCGGCTGCGAATCCCGTGTGGGGCCGTTATGACGATCTCAAGTCGCCCGGCGAGAACATTGACTTCCAGACCACGATTCTCAGCAGGTTTGACATGATCTTTATCGTGAAGGACGAGCACAACGAGTCGCGCGATCGCACGATTGCCAAGCATGTGCTAGGCATCCACATGCATGGTGCGTCGGAGCAAGCGGATGCTGAGGGAGAATTTGACCTCCAGCGGATGAAGCGGTACATTGCGTTTTGCCGCGCACGTTGTGCTCCTGTGCTTACGGCACAAGCTGCCGAAAAGCTGTCGAGTCATTTCGTTGCGATCCGCAAGCAAGTGGCTCAGATGGAGCGCGATCATGACGAGCGCTCGGCCATTGCAATTACCGTGCGTCAGCTTGAAGCGATCATCCGCATGAGCGAGAGCATCGCCAAAGTCACACTGAGTCCGTATGCAACAGAGGAGCACGTCGACGAGGCGATCCGGCTCTTCCGTTTCAGTACATTGAATGCTGTGGAGAGTGGCAATGTGGAAGGCATGACGCGCGGCGAGCTACAAGAAGAAGTGCAGAAGCTTGAGCGCGAGATCCGCCGACGCATCCCGATCGGCTGGACCTCTTCGCATGCTGCTTTGCGAAAAGAGTTTGTCGATGCACAAGGCTACTCACTGCATGCACTGGAACGTGCTCTCTACATTCTCGAGAAACGCGACGTACTGCGCTTTTCCAACCAACGCAAAACATTGACTCGCACAGGTGTGTAGTGTACTACTAGTAGGAGAATCCCATGAAGACGTGGTATGGGGCGGTGGTGGGAGACATAGGGACATCAGAGGGAGGGCACGACGGGAAGATAAGGAGCACGGCATGGCAAGGCCTGCTGACATGTAGCTGCTCTTGGTCACATATGGCGAGGAGAGATGGAGATGGGGAGGGCGCGGCAGGCGCCATGCGTCGTCGTCATCACGGCGCCGCCACTACTACCACAACGACAGCGTCTCTTTTCATGGCTGTGCGACAGTAGACTTGTCATTCACATTCAAAAGCAGACTCTGTGAGTCAAGCATGATCCGGTTGCCAGAGGTCGACAGCGTAGTGGCAATGTCGCGAGCAGCATCGAGACGCTTGAGCTCCAAGAAGCCCTTGTTCTTGCGCACAGCATCACCAATAAGCTCAGCTGCACGCGCCTCACCAGCTGAGCGCACGATGATGGCCTGCTTCTCCTGCAGTGCCTGATCCACCTGGAATGCCGCACGCAGCGCAGCCTGCTGCGTGATCTGCTTCGCTTCCACAGCATGTGTGAACTCAGGCGAGAAGGAAATGTGGGTGATCGACACGTCATCAAGAATGATGTTGAAGCGGCGCGCACGCAGCGTCAGATTCTCACGCACAAGACGCGAGACCATTTCTCGCTGCGTGATCAGCTGCGATGCATTAAATTGCGCGACGACGGACTTGAGTACTTCGTTCACAATGCTTGGCAGCACACGCTCGTCGTAGTCGGTGCCAAGCTCACGATAGATCGTTGGCAGATTTTCGATGCTTGGGCGTGACAAGACACGGCATGTCAACGACACCATCTGCAAGTCTTTCGTGCCCGTCAAGCTTGCGATACTGCGCGGTTTGGCACGCACATCGTAATCAATGGGCGTTTCGAACCACGGGATGAGCAGGTGCGTTCCTTCGTTGAAGATCATGTCGCGTACACCGTATACACGAGAGTACTTGATGGCACGATGTCCACCATCGACGTTGAACAAGGAAGCGTTGATCCCCAATGCGAGGCCGGCCAGTGCAATGATACCAGCACCACCGACCGCCGGGTTCATGGGGCCGCCACCTTGGCCACCGCCGCCACCGTGGCCGTTGTAGCCGCCACCGCGCTGCGCACCTTGACCCGCCGCACGGCTTGCATTCTCCTGCATTTGCTGGAACATGCGCTGCATGTTTTTCAGCACATTATGGGGCGTACGGTTCGACATGCTGAGCGTGTATGCGCTGATCTCGGTACAAGTGAGAAGCGCGGTCAAGTGACGTGAATTATCGTCGATCGCTCTTTTTGTCCACCCCATGCCTGCCTACGTTCTGATGTGCCAAGTAGGACTTGTCTGTGACTTGTGCAGGTACCTTATAGGTCATATTTATTACGTCACACATTCCCCCATACACACCCTCACACATATGTATGTGTGCACACAATGGACCTCTACCCCTAGACCCTGGCCCCTGTCTCTCTTGCGCAGTACGTGCGTGTACCAGGAGCGCAAAAGGTAGGTTGGCTGAAAAGGAAAGAGGCGAAAAGTCCTCTCCCTCGCACCCCACCTCCGTCACATGTGTCGCGCATTCTGTTGTGGATACTAGCGCATCGTAAACACACACACACACAGTCTGTCGTGCATCTCGCTCACGTTTCACGGTATACCAGTACACTACGTAATGTATCATCGAGAGCATTTTCCAACTCAGAAATCTGCCCCATAAGTGGCGCATATTGCTTTCGCACTTGTTCCGTAGCTGTGCTAGTCGCTGAACCAGGTGGAGGCCATGGGAGAGAGAACAAGCCATTCCACTTGCGCCACATACGTTCCAAAGGCGACTCTTCCAGGAGCTTGGCCATCACAAGCGACGTCCGGTGCAGTCCATTCTGTGGTGAGCCTGTGGGAGACAGCATCGTGCCGGCCGCCTCCTCGGACGAAAGGAACGTCTCTAGGACCATTGCATCGACAATGCCATACAGGGCATGGAAATTGTACTTTTCACGGCCCTGGCGATCCGTGCCGGTGGCCACTGTCGAGTCAGATAGAACACGATCACCAACGCGCCGGTGTGCATGTGGCATGCCCCGAGGATCTGGTGCCACGTCTCCTGCCGACACACTGCGAATGGACGATGCACGCTGCAAGGACGACTGTGGAGGCGGCATGGGCAGTTGACTCAAATTTTTGTCCATGCCCATACTTGGTGGCGGGACGGCGCGCTTGGCTGGGTCCAGGGCTGGGTCAATAGCCAGGCGGTTCAGCATGGAATCGACCTCGTTCTGCACGGACGAGCTTGGAAGCGGAGACAGATTGCTTGGATACCGGTCAAGCATCGCAGATGGGCTCGAGTTGCCCGTCCCCGAGCCCATCCTCGATCCGACCATGTCTCTGCCAACAGCATGGCGGTTGTGGAGGCTGTTGATTCCACCGCGAAGATTCCCCCCTTCCTCATTGTCGTTGCCATCGTCATTTATATTACTGTGTCGCGAGAGTTGCCCAAATGTATGTGTCTCACTCGTCCATGGCAAATCATCCAGGACAGGTTTGCGTGCATTGCTGTATTCTCGCATGGAGCCTGCCTGCGAGAGCAATGAGTATGGAACACGCGGCGATTCCTGCTGTGGCGGTCTTGGCGTGCGCAGCCGTGGCTGATCCTGCCTAAACATATCAAACTCGCGCTCGCGCTCGCGCTCCCGTTCACGCTCACGACTCGATGATAGCGATGTTCCCCATGGCGAAGTCGGTGACGATGCATCGAGCGAGTCATCCTGCCACGAGGGTGCTGCTGTCTTGCTGGGCGGGGGGCTCAGTTCGACACGCTGCTCCATGCGTGTGAGGCGCAGTACAAACAGGGGATCTGTCCGCGAAATATCGTCCATAGAGCCAGGCGCAACAGCAAAGTCCAAGCTCTTGCGCTTCGAGTCAGCCTCCACAACGCGCAAGAGAGGCAGTGTGTCGTACGCAGCCAGCACCTTTGATGCCGAAGGCAGTGGCTGCTCGCCGTGCGCCGTCTTCACACTCAGTGTGTATCTGGAGCGTGGCCGCTCACGTCGCGAGCGTTCTTCCACCTCGTCGCCGCCATCGACAACGGCGTCAGGTAGCTCAAATGCCTCGAGACCAGCTTCAATGACCTCAGCTACCGTTGCATTCTTCGCCAGGCGCATGAACCGTTTCTGAACCGTCGGCATGGACTCATCAAGCGATGCTACTCCTTTGGATATGCCCCCCGATGTCGGATGGAAGTACGTGCCATCAGGCAAGTCTGTGTCGAAAAGAGCCAGCTGGATCGTAAAGCGAAGCTGCTTGTCTTGCGATGTCGCATCAGACGGCATGACGGGCGGCTTATTGACCCGGAAAAGCGGCACGCGCCGTACAAGATACAGCTTCCCAAAGCGGTCATCGCTGTAGTCATACATCAGTCGGTTGGGCGCTGGTGCAGCTGGTACCATAGAGTTGTCCAGCAGGGATGCAAGCGAGCTGACGCTGTCGTGCTTGGACGGCATCTCTGTGGGCTCCAGCGATGATATGTTCGAGAGGGACTCGAGCATACGCAACGGATGCTCATGTGGTGCCAGGATCTGCTCTTCACCATCGAGATGATGCAGTACAATCGCGTAGTCCTGTACATTGTCCTGCAGTTTGAACCGCTGGAGTGCTTGATGCACCAGCTCCGTCGACGTCATGGAATCACTCAGTAGGACGGTCTTGAACGTGCTCTCTGACTGAATATTTTCACCTGCAAACACACGCGTCACATTCAACGCCTTCTCTGAGCCTGGCAAACCCAGCAAGCTGCCTGGACGCGAGCGCCTCGATTCGTCAGGCAGGTCCAATTCTTCTGTGTCACCCTGTGTCTTTGGCGCTTCACTTGGATACAGGCCCACAGGCTCGTTCGACTGCTTGGGCGGCGGTGATGAAGACGGTGCAGGTGTGTCGTCTTGGCCGTCTTCTTGCGACTCGGCAGGTTCCGCCTCTTCGGCCTCCTCCGTCACCTCGTCCGTATACTCGTCGTCCTCACCCATGTACTCCTCGTCATACTCATCGAGTTCACTGTGCTCCAAATACTGCGATTCGCCGAATAATACACCAGGCTTCTTTGTCGTCGTAGTGCCTGAGCGGTCTTGATCATGTACAGCTGCTTGCTTCGTCTCGCGGCGTGAGAGTGCCGACACTTTTCCAGAGTCCTTGTTAATATCGCCAAATGTACGTGATTTGACAAGGTAGCCAGACGCCGCATGCGTCGGCAGTGCATTGTTATCTTCACCCGTTGCAGTCGCAATCTCGACATTGCGGTGTTTGTTCAGACGTGCGAGACGTTCATACGGTGTCTCGATATTTTCCGCCGGAATATATCCGACTTCCTGCGACGCCATCACACGCACAAGCCACCAATAGCTATTACTGTCATCCAACAATACGAGGTGGTCGCCTTTCTGTACAGTTGCTTGTCCGTCGACGGTCGCCACAAATGTATGTAGCGCGTACACCAACTCAAAGTTGATGTTCTCATCCGGAATCGATGGACTTGATGACAACTCATCTTCGTATTCATCTTCATACTCGTCGTCATCGTACATAGCGTCATCTGGTATCTCTCCATCGCCCAAGCCGTAGTCATACGATTCCTCGCCTTCGTAAGTGATAAAGTCCGAGTCCATCACGTCTTCATCATACTCAGTTCCACGTGTGGCAGGCGTAGAAACATCTTCATCGGGGGGTGCGTCTTGCGCATCGCGCATTGTCCCGCGGAGTGCGTCCGTACGAGCAGGTAAGGGTCGGTTGTTGCAAAGCAGCAACGCGTCAAGGAACTCACTGCCGTTGCGTTTTTACTCGCACTCATGTGGCCTGCTTTGAAACTCCACGCTTCGACAACACATAAACACACACACTCACACACACAATACACGCATATATCCTCACCTCATTTGATGGCGCATGCCGACACAATGGGTCAAATTACCACGTGTTGAAACAGTTATGTATAGTCTGACACTGCAAAGCGGGATCGGCTCTTCCGCCAACAATCATTGTGGATTTAAGCATGCTACGAAGTCAAGCAAGAGAACGACTGTGCAGACGACAAAGTACAGGAATGCGTATTCCCTGTCCGTCTACATTTGTGTATATATATAGACAAATAGGTGTCACAGCAAGGGTATGTAGAAAAGGAGACAGGAAAAAAGATATAGTCAGTGTAAGCAGAAATCAAGCGTCACGATCGAGCTCAAGCGTGGGATGTGTACATGTACGAAAAGAGCGATGGAAGGGTAAAAGGGAGAGTTCACTTTATTTCGGTGGCGGGCTGAATGGATTCGCGGGTCTCGAGAACGGATTCGAGTTACTCGGTGGTGACGCGGTCGAGGCACTGTTTGGCGCTCCACTGTTGATAGAGCTCTGACGGCGGGCACCGCGGACCACTTGACGCATGCTTCCACCTGATGTTGCCACAGGCCCGTCATCGACAAGGCTCACACGTCGCACATCGCCACGCATTTGCTGCGCATTTGATGGTGCGCGAAGCGGCGGCGGTCGTGAAGCGGATGGCGGCGATAACGGCTGGAACCCTGCTAGAGTCGGTGCTGAGCCAGGCTGCGTCCCCGATGATGGTGGCGACGGGTACGCTTGTGTGTTCGCGGGCCGAGCAGGCTGCGACGCAGCATTCCATCCGCTTGGACTTGGTGCGACTGGACGAACAGGAGGCGTTGGCCTGGTATTCACAGGCGACAACGGACCCGCTGGGAACATCGGCGGTGGCGACACATTGCCGCGGAATGAAGGCGGTGATACTGGGCCTGATGCTCCTATGTTGCTCGGCCGTGGCGGCGGCGAGATGGTGCCTGGTGGCCGTACGGGCATCGACGCATGAGCCGCACTCGTGGGTGTCGCACCAAACAAGTGCTGCCGAGCCATTGCCGACGCACTAGGATTTGGACTCGGGTTCACGCGCTGGGCCGTGAGCGGGGCAGGCCCCGTTTGCGTCAGAGCGCCACTGCTTGTCCAAGGGTTTGGTGGCGAGGTGGTGCCCGCAGGCGACGACCGAGCACCGTTAGGACCCTTCCCGCCAGGCACAGGTGGCGACATGGTGCCAGCACGTTGACGAGAATCTGACCCCAGAGGCGCAGGCAGCTCCAGAAGCGGCACAGAATCGAGACGATGACGCGCACTGCGCTCGTCCGCACCGGGTGGCGGCAATGCTTTCTCTTCATTCAACGAGCCAAGTGTGCTCATTCCACCCGACTCACTCGGCGCATCGCGCGATTCCATACCTGAGCGCCAGCGACGTTCACGCTCGTATTCGACGTAGCGCTTCATCACAATATCACTCGCGTCAAACTCACCCTCTGCTGAGCCGTGACTCTCGCCCTTCTTTTCACCCTGTACCATACGTGTGGCACCCCAAGAGAAGTCGTCCATGTGCCAGTACGAATACGCGGGAAGGATCAAGTTCCAGATAGGCAAAGAAATCAGGTAGACAAGCATCCAGATTACATACATGAAGCGTCGACTGGTGATGACGATCAAGACACCTGGCAGACCTAAGATCAGAGCAAGCAAAACCAGTGGCATTGTGGGAAATTCTTTCTTTTCTCCATCATCCTTGCCTTTATTCTGGAAGGGCGTCAAAATGGCTTGCACAACAACGAATACGGTGAAAGCAATAGCAGCCGGCAGCACCATTGTACCGACCAGATCCATGAATACGACGAATCGCATTGAGAAACAGAATGTACCGCAAAGGTCACGCACCTGGATCAGTTCAAACAGGTTGTGTACCGTCGAGTTGATCCATCGACGACGTTGCGAGCGAAGCACACGGAACGTATCGGGCACCACCGTCTTACACACGGCCGACGGCTGGAACATCATCTTCCGCTTCGGGAAGGTCTTGAGCATGAGAGTCGTTAGGTATCGATCCTCACCGAGAAGCAGCAGATTCTTCTTGTGCAGAGTGTCGACCACATTCTCCGAATAGTGCTCGACGAATATCTGGATTAGCAAGGATCGGCACGTACAAGCCCTTCGGTCCCTTCGGTGCTTTGAGGCGGTATGCAATAAAGCAACCGGGCAAGCATGTAACACCACCGAAACATGCCTCGAAGCCCTTCGTCTGATGGTGCGAAATGTAGTATTCGAACACCTGAATCATCGTGACCCAAGTTTGGGTTTTGTTTGCAATCTTTGTCTCACCGCAAAGACCCATGATTTCCGGGTCTTCGACCATCGCTGCTGTCATACGCGTGAGCGCGTCGGGGAACACCTTCGTATCAGCGTCGACCATAAGAACAATCTCGTAGTTTTCTGGTGTCACACCGGTCACGCGCCAGATTGCGTTGAAGAACTCGTACTCAAACTGCGTCATACGTTCGTCAAAGAGCACCTTCTGCATAAAGGCCATCAAGACGACCTGAGAGTCACGCTTACCGCGGTTGCCGGGCTTCGCACTGTCCATTTCCATCAGCGTACCACACTTGGCGATCAGGATCATCGGCACACGTTGCTGCTTGGACCGCTCCACGGTCTGGTCGTCGTAGTCGTAGAATCCTGCGTACACCTTGGCCATGTTGTGACGCTTTGCGCCGTCGGCAATCGCGACATACGAATGACCTTCGACCTCTTCGGGCGGCGTAATAAGGTCCTTCATCATCGACAGACAAATATCCGGAGTCGAGATGTCTGAATCAGCACCTTTCACAATACCATCTGCAATCACAAGAATCAGCTTGTGACTGTTAGGATAGTTAGTGGTCGAGAGACTGTCTAGTGTCGTGCGCAGACCTTCGATCGATTCTGAGTAGGCAGTGACCAGGCAAATTGTATGCACGAGTGGGAAATTAAATGGTTGGTAGGATGATGGTGGCTGCGGCACCACATTCCATAACGGGAAGGGACATGGACCCCATGGTGAGTCGGAACTCGAGTTCGACGACCGAGTCGATTGTGATGATGGGAGCATAGGCTGAGCTAGTGATGCAGAGCTGCGTCCTGTGCCGAGCATGGGCGAGCCAGGCGGGGATGTAACTGCTGAGTTCGTGCCTAAGCGAGCAGCCGCGATCTTGCGCTCCATGGTTGTTGGCTTAGCCTGAGGCTTTTGATACATCTGATTGAATCGACTCGTCGTCGGAAGGAACGACTTTTTGACATTCGGCCGGTAGCCGGGAGGAGCTGGACGATAGATGTCCTCCGACCAGTCTTCAATTTCGTTGTTCCGCTTAATGCGTTGCACATACGACTCTTTGTCGTAGTTGCCGATCTTCCACGAAATGCACCACGCAAAGTAAACGGCCATCAAGAATTTGATCGCAACCAAGCCGACAATGAAAATCATGGACAGAACCAGTTCGACCTGCGAGGCAATGCAACCATACGAGTCCACATCAAGCGTGGCAATACTTCCTAATTGCTTGAGGCAGTCCAAGTCTCTCGTCACATTATTACGCATGGCTTTCGCCGTAATATCGCGTCCAGTCCACTCCTTTTTCGTATCATTATTCTTCAGCTGCTGCAAAAAGGGAGTGAGCTTGGTATCTGAGTATTCCAAGATACTTAGGTCAATGACAAAACTGCGATAGAACAGGTAGTTGGAGTAGTTCTGCAAACCCGTGTCATTCCAACGCACAAAGGCTGTGCCATGAACAGGAGGTAAGTGTTTGTTTGGTTGCTGATTGAGTACCATGGATCGAACCGACTCAGGATGACATGCCCGATCATCGATAAACATCGGGGAACCGTACTCGCTTTTGCGACGAAGCAAGGCACACCTGAAATATCGTGGAGGATTCGAGTCTGGGACAGGCTCGAGGACACCTTCGCACTCGTCACCTGTTTTCTGGAAGAGAAGGTTCAAATCGGCACCACTGCTAGCACCATAATGGTCATTGTAAGCAAAAACATTATGTGTGCTTGTGAGGTTAGGAAATTGGTCATCGCCAGGAAATGGCGGGTGTGGGTAGCTGTCAAGACTAATCATTTTACCGGCGAGTAGAACAGAGGACGACATTTCTGTTTTTGTGAATACGTCCTTCAGCTCATAACGGTTTTGGACGCCACAAACTGTTTGCGTGAAACCGAAGGTGATGTAACCGACGATGGCCATGAGTACGAGAATGATAGAAATCAGACCCATTTTTTCGCGCCAGGCCCTCTGTTGCTCGGGAGTCTTGATACCCACGAGCTTCAGGCATGGGCTCGTGATACAACACGTTATGAGCCAACTGTAAATCATCCAGGGTCCCACAGGACCTGGAGCAATCCAGTCAAACTTGCCTGACGGCGGTGCCTCTGGCGGTGGTTGTTTGTCCCCTCCGCCACCGGCGCCTGGTTCGGGGTTGCCAGGTGGGAGTCTGCGCATACTCACGCCGCGCCGCAAGAAATGAATACCACTCTCTACTTTGTCTTCATTGTGGCCAAGCAGCGACTTGCCACGGCGCAGAGACGTGCCCCGCGCGAATTGCGTAGGTGGTGGCGCGTTGGGTCCGGTCACACCGTAACCGCTCACACCGCCACCGGGCCCGGTGATGCCAGCCATACCGGAGCCTGAGGGCGCAGATCCATGCTGCGGCAAGAAACCGGTAGAGGATGGCATATAGACGAGATTCGAGTTCCGGTTTTGGTCCATCTGCGCGGCATGGTTGCGGTAAAACCATTGCCGGTGGTTCGGGTCGATGCGTTCGCGCTCATGTCGAACCAAGGACTTTTTCCGTTGCATGCCCTGGTTTCTTCCAGATTCGACATCCCGTGCAAGGGACTCTGAACTGTGTGCGCGCGAGACGCCCATGTGTCCTGTGTGCGTTTGCATGTCTTCCCTAGACGGCATGGGGCGGACAGGATGATTTTGTTGTTGAAACGTGACGGACGCCATCCGACTCGGTTGATTAGGAGGTTGAAGATGACCCCCTGGCGTAGACATATTGCTACGGCTGTGCGTGCTGTTGTTGTACCAGGTTGGTGAAGAAGGTGTGAAGTTTTATGGATTCGACACGCTTCCGACAATGAGCTGCACGTCAAAACACAACGTCTCAGTGCGCTTATGCTTGTCGATCAATCCAGCCACGGAAATTGCAGCACGTCTTCCAATGTCCAAGGTACCGCGGATAGCCTGAGCCCGCCCAATGTGCTCACCAAGCGCAGAACAAACTCGCGACGCAGCGGGTGGTGAAAGTCAGTGATTGGCGTGGCGGACAACGGTGAAAGACTTGGGAATTTCTCTGGTTTGTTTTGAGCGCCTGCTAGGTTCGGCTAGTGCATGTCACTTTGTATCTATGATTCTTGAGCCACATGGTTCTCCTCGGACATTCCCACGGACGACAAAAATTGTTGGCTCTGATTCTACCACGGGACTTCCGACGCATGGGACTCATGGCAAGAGCCACACAGCGGTCGCACACTGGCTACGTGCCATGTGGAGCCACGTGCGTTTATGGCCATTGTCCGCTCACGCCGATTCCATCGACCTCGTTTAGCGTGATCCACGCCGCTTAGTCACGGGCCAGGCGGCAAGCCAGCGACATGTCTTCCTCGTCGCTGCCAGAAGGCCGTCACAGTCGCATTTTGTTTGTCAAGAATCTCAACTATAACATCCATGGGGCTGATTTGTATGAGTTGTTTGGGCGGTATGGGGCCATCCGACAAATCCGTCTCGGCACATCGCAGCAGACGCGTGGCACTGCGTTCGTCGTGTACGAGGAGGCCAATGATGCGAAAAATGCAATTGCGAGTTTGAATGGTTTCCACTTGATGGAACGATACATTATTGGTACGTGTCATAGGCTTGGCTGGTGCGGTGGCTCACGCGCTTAGTTCTCTACCACATTCCATCGCGCCTCTCTGGAAAGGGCACGCTCGCTCAGCGTGAAGAAGAGCTGTCGAGAGCAAAGCAGCAGTACGGGATCCATGACGAGCCATGAGTTATGTGAGTGAGTGAGTAAGACTCGCACTTGTATGTGGAATGGCATACGTGTGGGCAGGACTTGAAAACGAAGTGGATGCTCGACCGAACCATCCCTTGTCGCTCGCAACTAAGAATGTATGCTCGAGAGATGCAAGGTCGTTGTCCATTCGTGTTAGATGTGTCTTGGCTTTCTGCAAGGCCGTGGCTGTCTCGTTGCCAGACGCAACGATGTATCGAATTGACGCGGGCAAGAATGGATCTGCTACGCCTCGCTCATGGCCATTGCGGTACACTTGCGCGTACTTTTGTGGTCCACCCAGCTCAATGTCGGCATCGATGCACAATGTCCCGCGCATCGGATGCCCAGATTGTATGCGCGTTATTGTAAGCGGCATGTCGTCCTCAGGATGTGCATACACGCCCAAGAACACATCGTCGTCTTTGCGGACATGGCTGGCCATCGCACGCACGGCCTGTGGATCCTGAACAGCCTCGCCCCGTGCTTTTTGCTGCCCAGTTATGAGCCGAATGAGCTGCTGGGTCGCGTTGTGATGGTCCAGCGACGAAATGATATTGCCCTGCGCGCCTGTTATGGCCAGGCGTGGGCCTATGGGCACAAGGCCGCCGAGCGTGCGTTCGAGCCGCGCCGATGAACGAAATGCGATACCCACGGCGCCTTTTTCGTAGACACCCTGTGTGCTTGTACCGTAGAACAGTGTATGCTCGCGACCCGTTTCGAATGGTGTGTAGGCTGCAACTGTTCCCAGAAGACTTGTGTGAGGGAAGTGTGAGTCTAGTCCCTCTAGGAGGCCCTGTGGGAATGCGTCGCTGAAGAGGAGGAACGCATGGATATCGCTGGGATTCCGGGCAATAGTCTCGAGCTCAACAGGAATGCGTCTTTCGACATTTTGGCGTCCCCAGAGGGGCGCCCAATGACCTGTCTCGTCGAGATGCTTCGTTCGCGCGGTTGGGTCAGCATGCCATGTCTCTTTCTGCTCGGGCCAGCGGCCAACAGCGATACGCGGTGCGCCAGGGATGACTGATCGAAAGGCTATGGCCTGCGACGCTGGAATCCGTGCCAAAGCAACGCTATACAAGGGCGCTGGCATGGACGACGCGTGTTGTGACAAGGTCCCGGGATGCAAAGGCTCACTTAGCGTGCCCACGTGTGTTTGCTGCGTGTGTGAGATGCTCGATACCAGCTCAGTCATGACGCTTTGTGGCATATTTTTGCTAATAGAAAACAAACAGAGGTGATCAGGTGTGCGCGGCCAAGCACGGAGGCTCTTCTTGATTGCTGGCACAAGAGAATCTGCGCGTGATGCCATGTACGTCGTGGCTTGTTCGCGCGCAGCGGATGCTGTACAAAGACATCGGATCCAGCAGCGATGCACGTTATAGCGCCGAATCGCGCATGTCCCGTGCAAGGACGACATCGAAGACAATGGCGCACGAGAGTGCATGCAGATGTGCGTTTTATTTTGAGCCGAGTTGTTTGGACATTTGGGATCTTGAATCGTTTCGGCTGCTTCTCATCCTGTCTTCTCCACATGAGGAGCTTGTCTTCTCTTGGGCCGGTGGGCTGCTACCTGCGAAACATGGCGTGCCTCATCGCGCGGCATCAGCATGCGCAGCAAAGCTTGCATACATCGTGCAAGCGCTTTCACTATGACGAACTTTTTTCGTGGGATGATGAGACACGGATTCCGTCGGCGCGCAATGTGACATGTACGGCGTCAGGACTCTTGCGCTTGGGACACGGTGGCTTGTCGGTCTGTCAGGGCGCGGACAGCTCTCACATGCTCAGCTTAGCACAGGCGGCTGGCATGCTCGCAGCGAAGCGTGCGTCGGATGTGGTGCCGACGCGTATGTCGAGGACGTTGAGAGACGTGCAAGTGTGGATATATGCTGAGCAGCCGACTGATCATGAGGCTACGGATAGGGACAAGTCATCACCGTCGCTCATGACAGAGGAGCATACTCCCGCATCCAACATGTCATCATCAATGTCTCCAAAGGGAGATGGTGGATTCTCTGCCGAGGGTCTATTGGATCCAGATACATGGATGGCACAAGCGCCTCAGCCAGCTGCATCGGCATCCGCTCCCGGTGCTGTCTCAGACACACACGTGCCATCCAGTATAGAGATGGGAAGTCGTATGCAGTCAGGTTCGGCATGGATGGACGCAAATACGACAGTGCGTGTCGTTTGCCGCACAAGAGCGAGTGAACCAACGCATACTGAGGCCATGGCTGCCTGTATGGCCACATGCCTAACGTTGTGTGATATTGTTCACGCTTCATGCGGACATATGCCAGTAGTAGAGCAAATGAGTGTTTCGAGCGAGATGGAATAAATCGTACAATCTAGGTGGAACGAAATAAAAGCCAGAGAGAGAGAGAGAGAGAGAGAGAGAGAGAAACACGAGATGCTGCGGGTTTGCGAGAGGTATAGTCACTCATGGCTCGGGTTTGGTACGCCCAAAGTAGGTTTGTCGACTCAGCCAGAGCTCGTCAGACACATCAACATCAATGTTGCCGTGCATAATGCGGCGCGCCGTCCGATCCAACACCACGGCCTCTGGTGTGTTGTCCTGTTCGCTGCGACGAACCATGGCCATGGACGTACCAGCTGGCTGACCCACGGTAAAAGCGTGCAAGGCCGGCGGATTCGCATGGGTCTGTGACATGGCACACGGGACCTGAGCGCCAGCCGCATATGCCTCCGATACTATCGAGTCAGGATGCGTTGAGCCAACGGCCAGCGCAGAGAGAGCCGTCGCCATGATGGAGCGATGAAAGTTGCCCACGGACACGGAACGTACGAGAATGTCCATATCGTCCGCCCGCACTAGTGTACCACCAGACGTCGTATACGCTGTGCGTGGATGCACAAGGCATACTTTCGGTGCAGACGGACTCCACAAACTCGAGAGCTGCGGTGCGCACTGAGCCGCTTGATACCGAACAGCCTCGATGCGGGCGAGCAGCTTCTTGTCACAATCAAGGACATGCGCTGGCTGAATGATTTGTTCGGTTGGGACGCCCAGATCCTTGGCATGCACAAAGATCGTAGGTAGGCCAACATCAACCATTGATACAGGGATCTCATGGCCATCGAGCTGGATCGTATTGCGTGGCTGGCCTGTGGGCCACACCTGTGGCGTGAGCGGCATGTCGATCCGGATACCAGGCGCCATGCCAGGCACGCCGGCAATATGCGTGTCAGGCTTGCGGGACAAATGCCAATGGCCCTTGCGTGAGCGTATTAAAGGAAGATGCACAGTTGCCCGCTGGCCATTGTGCGCAAGCAAGATGCGCATCGGGAACTGGACGAACGTTACGTCTGACTCGGAAGCTGGGAGCAACCGTTGGAAGTAGGCTGCATGGAGGATGAATGATTGCATCGCAGCTGCGGACAGAAAGTTGCCGCACGTCGTGCTCCAGTCTATGTTGGTTCCATCATTCACAGGCACCTGACCGAAGCGGTAGACGGCGTGGTAGCCGGACTTTGGGTCACTTGCGAGTCGTGCATCGTCTGCCCAAGGGACGCCCGGGAAGGCCCAAGCGGGACCTAGCGCACGAATTCTCCGAAAATAACTGTCTACGGCAGGGACGGAGATCAGCGCCACTTTCGACAGCGAAGACACGCCGCCACCTACGCCGTCGACTTGTCGCAAGTCAGGATCAGGCGAGCCCATAGCTGAGCATATGATTTGATTGCGCACGTTCTGTGTGTAAGGAGCCAGCATCGAGGCGGAAAACACAAGTCCGCGGCTTGTGCCACCTCGGTACAGATTCGTTAGCAGCCGCATGTCACGACAGGGCAGGGAGGGTGGGTGCGCGTCGGTCGGAGGGGCGGGGGGAAGGGACGTCGAGCCGCCAACCGATCCGTGTTGGTGGAGGAGCAAAAACCTCGTTGCTGGGTCTCACTGACGTCGGCGAGAGAGGGTGCGTGCGTTGAATTTGCTTCTTCCAAGCTGTGTGGCCTGGTCATGTCACGGCCCCGGACGCGCGCGTGCAGGTGGAGGTGGGGCAGACTGTGCGCGCGTTCAACGCGAACGGACGAACCGGCGCGCATGGGTGGACACAAGGGACCATCTGCTTACCTATTGCCCAGAGGTCCCACGTGACCTACACACGGACGAGCCACCGGATTCGTCAGGCAAGGTGGAGGAACGAAGGAATGGAGAATGGGGGAAGGGGGAGAGGGGTAGGCTTGGTGCATAGCGAAGGATTGTGGGCGAGAAGACCTCACACATCCCGTCCAGGAGCTTCCACGTTGTTGCTCGTTCGACGATCATCATGACGGAAAAAAAGCGTGTTTTGATTCCCGGTGGCGCTGGCTACATCGGAAGTCATGTCGCCCTAACTGTGTTGAATACGCGCAAGTTTCGTGTGACAAGTATGTAGAGTGTGATGTCAGCATGTGTCGAACTCCGCCCGGTACTAACACAACACTACGCAATGTCACGCGTTGCCAAGCGTGGCGCTGCGTTGCTCCCCATCCCAGTCATTGACAATTTCCACAACTCGAAACCAGAGGCTGTGCATCGCATTGAGGAGCTTGCGCTCCGTGAGCTGCCGTCTGACGCAAGTGAGCAGGACAAGGCAGACTGCCGAATCGAGCTGGTCATGGCGGATCTGCGTAATCCGCGGGCCGTAGAGAATGTGTTCAAAGACCGATCTGAGCATGATCGCATTCACTCTGTCATTCTTATCGGTGCCCTGAAGGCTGTCGGCGAGAGTGCCGAAATCCCGATTGACTACTACAATGTGAATGTGGGCGGTCTGCTCAATCTGTTGAGTGCGATGGACAAGTACGATGCAAGGAGGCTCGTGTACAGCTCATCCGCCACCGTGTACGGTGCGCCCGAGACGATTCCCATTCCAGAGACAACGCCTATGGACCCGCACAGCCCATATGGCCGCTCGAAGCAGATCTGCGAGATGATCATTCGCGATGTATGCGCGTCCAACCCCGCGTGGCGTGCTATCACGCTGCGCTACTTCAACCCTGCTGGTGCGCATCCGTCTGGCCGGATGGGCGAGGACCCACGGGGCAAGCCAGGCAATCTCTTGCCTCTATTGGCACAGATGGCCGTTGGCAAGTACCGTGAGCCTGGCCTCAAGGTGTTTGGCAATGATTATCCGACACCTGACGGCACGTGTGTCCGTGACTACATTCACATCCTTGATCTTGCCGAGGGCCACTTGAATGCCATGGTCGCCTTGGATGACGACACCAAATTCGCCGACGCAAAGTATGGCAAGTGCCGCGCGTTCAACTTGGGCAAAGGCGTTGGTATGAGTGTGCTGAGTATGATTGAGGCTATGCGCAAGGTCACTGGCTACGAGTTCCCGTATGAAATCGTGGCGCGGCGTCCCGGCGATGTGCCAGACCTGACGGCCAACCCGGCTCTCGCTGAACGCGAGCTTGGATTCAAGGCGACGCGTTCTCTCGATGACATGTGCTCGGACCTATGGAACTGGCAAAAGCTTAACCCGAATGGGTACGATTGAGCTTTTGTGTAGCGGTAGCGCAGGATCGTATGTTCAGCGTCCTGGTTGTTGCCAGGACATTAGGTTGCTTTATTATTTTTTTTTGGGAGGCGGGAGGAGGAGGCAACTACTTCTTCTACTACGACTTCCAATACGACTCTTGTTGATACTACATCCATTTGTTCTGGTGGTCATGCTGGCCACTTTCATGCCATAGTGACGTAGGCGGCAATGGTCCCCCACGTTTCGACTCGACCGATACCGTTGGCGGCGGCGGCGGCGGCGGCTGTGCGTCCAAGTCTGGCGCCATTGGCAGCTGCGATGCATAGCCGGACATGCGAACGACCCGGCCTAGCGCCAGGCGGAATGGATCTGCAAACCGTCGCGTCGCTGCATGCGATCGCTGTACGGACACGGCCTGCGCCGTGTATGCGATGGCACGCATCGAGTAGTTGTCGATAAAGTGCGCATGGCCCTCGCTCGGTGTTGACGTCGGCGGCGAGAGCGCATCGAGCTCATCCTCTGCATGGTCCGACACGCCAGGCAGTAGAGATGCTACGGCTGGCACCTCGGCTTGATCCAGCGCGAGCGCATGGTCCAGCGTCGATGTCAGCGCATGAATAAAGTGGAAGGGAATCATGTTGGGTCCTAGCGTTGTTGTCGAGTCTGGCACAAGCAACTTGTGACGCGGCGTGCCGCGTAGGCCGTGCGTCTGTGCACGTGTCTCGTCGCGGTCCTGTAGCAGGACACCCGACTCAAGTCGCGGCGTAAGTTCTGCGCGACTCAGTGTCGCACTATCGATGGGCGGTCCACTCAGGCCATATTCCAATAGGTATCGATGCTGCACACGGTCATGCGCCGCTGGCGGTGCATCCTTATCGATGCGATGCATCACGCGGTCAATGGATGTCGCACTGTACACAGAATTCGGAGGCACATCTACGCTTACCACATGCTCCGATACGGGCTCAGCACCCGGCACCGTTGGTGTCTGGATGGCGTGTACGCCTGTGGTCGAGTAAGGCTGCGAAAATTTCGACACCACCGGCTTGGCTCGTGCATCGCTGAGCCTTGCACCTGCCAGCAAATGTGCAATAGACGATGCAGCTTGCCGGCCTAGTGGCTTTGATGCGGTCATGCGGCCTATCCCGAGCATGTCCAAGGAAGCCTTGCGTGGTGGGTCATGACGTCCCGTTTGTCCTGAAAGCAATTGGTTCAGCTGCATTTGTGAGGGACTGGCACGAAGTCCTGACGTTGCATCGCCAAACGAGTGGATACTCATAGATCTACGCATGAGCGGCGCCGAGGGCCCCTTCACTTGGTCCCTCATCGAATTCACCCGCGTCAGTACTGGTCGCTCCATGGCATCGAGTGTCACATTAGATGTACTTCCGCGAGTATGCATGTACAACGCATCTTGCGCACCCGTATGCGATGATTGCACAGACGCATCTGGGTCGATCGAGGGTTCTTCAAGGCTTTGATGGCTCCCTGCCACAGTCTGGGTATCAACGACAGGGGCGACCGGCTGCTTCATTTGGTGCTGAAGAATCATGTTGATAGATGCCATCGACGATGACGTGCGCATGTGGGGCGGTGAGCTTGCTTTGGAGTTACCACCTGAGTGAGGAGTGGGCGTGGTGGGGGATATAGGCGATGACGGCCTTCGTTGCGTCCATGGATCGTTAGCATGCGGCTGTGGGGGAGCTGGCACCAGCACTTGCTTTTCCTGTCGCTCCGCTGGTCCTTGCTGCCCATGCTTTGTAGGCACCATGTGAGGTGTTGGCTGCGACACGTTCGACGCTGGAGTAGGCTGTGGCTGTTGTGGGGGTGGCGCATCTGCGGACAGGAGCGAGGGATGTAGCTGAGGCTTCGTAGTATTGACTTCGGCGGCATTTGTGTGCTTGGGTTTCGTACTAGCTCGAAGCTCGAGCATGGGCACATCACTCTCATCCGACGACGCACTCGAGCTCTGCCATTGTGGGTCAGTGGACTCGGGCGCACGTTCGTCAGCCATGTTCGCTTTGGAATTCGTGCGTTTGCGCGTGCGCCGCGCGAGTGTTTCCATACTTGTACCAGACTTGGATCGCCTAGGGCCGTCTCTGCTGCGTCGGCGTGGGTGAGTCGCGCGTGCATCGCCATCCGATGGCGTCGACATCATGAGGGACGAGCGCACGCGACCTATGCTCGCTTTATTGGCTGTTGGCTTTGCTCGGTGCGGCATATCATCCACGTATTTTCGCGATGTCCGCACAAAAAAAAAGAAATCCGCGACGTGTCACACAACTAGACAAGTCGAACGTCAGTGGTGCTAGCTTGTTTACTGGCACAATCGAGGCGCCCCGCGTACGTTATGGATCAATCCCACCTTAGGTTTGTATGTGTGTAAGCCACACACCCCGTCCGGCACGGAGAAGTGGAGGCATTAGTCAGTATTTGTTTGGCGAACGAGACGCACGGCGCGCTGATTGGCGTGGTGTCGGCGTCCAAATAGTAGACGACGACGACAGTGACGACGTTCCCTGCCGTGCTTTCTCTGGAGGCGTTGAATCGCCGGTCGCACTGCGCGGCGATAAAGTTATCTTCCTCCCCGAAATCGTTGCCGGCACACATGTGCATCTGTGCACAAGAAGCTCGACGAGCGCGTTCACATCGTCTGCTCTGTGAAGCTGCAGCTGAAATCGACGCAGCGGCTCGTTGGTTTGTCTAGCATCGTTCGTGTACCGCACTCCCATGCGTGTATCATGATATGTAACCTGAACCAGTGACGCATCGACATCGGCTGTTTCATGTGCGGCGTGCAAGTCGATAGATTCCTAGATTCCAATGGTCAGTATGATGGTTGGTCTGCGAACAACAAAGTTCGACGGCGACGTACCAAAATCACGGGGGTACATGCGGGCGAATCTGGTTTCCATTCAATGGTGAGTACAGCTCGAGGCATTTGTAGTCCTTGTGCGACATGCAAAGCGAATCGACATGACAGCGGTTGTAGGGACATGTGCTCCCAACGTGCACGCCCATATTGCTCTGATTCGTTCGTCGTGCCTTGCGCTCGCTCGCGCGAGTACTTTTGGACTGGGAAAGTTGAATATTGTACAATAGTCGAATCGATTGGCATAGTCGTGGTTGACGCAATACGCGTCGCGTGTGTCATGATGCGCTCAAGACATTCTGAGTTTTTTAAAACCGCTTTGTACTCGATAAAATTGGATTACTTGGCCTGTGCAACACTTCTTGTAAGGTCACACACAATGATTGGCCCTGCTCATAGTCTTGCTCCACTCCAGGCCGGTGCTCTCTCTCCGTCCGCCCGGCGGTGTGTATCGGGGTGAATTGACCCTCCACAATCATGCCGGATTAAAAAAAAAAACATCTATGCGTGCATGAATACCCTGCATGCAAAATGGTTTACCACACATGCGCCTAGTTTTGGGCGCTCAGCGACAAGTGCCAGCTCTCGATGTTATTTGTAGATTCGTCTACTCTCGCTCAACACATTTTGCCTACATAAAAAGATTTGACTTTTTGACTCTAGTCCGCCATCTCCACAGCTCAAGGCACCGCGTCCCTCTGATTTGGTTGTACCATCATTTGTGCACGTTGCATGTGCTGAAGGCGACAACGCAGCGTGGCGAAAGTCATGTGCGACTCATCGGTGTATGAATACACACAGTCCATGATCTCCGTACATCAGCCCAGTCCCTCGCGAAGTATCAAACGAAAATGTCATTATGATGATGATACCGTTACAGATGCGCCGAACCCCAGCACAGATGGCCTATGTCCTCAGACGGCTGCCCAGCGTACGCAGTCACATTTACCCGGCTCAGATGAACTTGCCGAGTTTTACCCGTTGCCCCCGAATTTAAACCAAGCCGTGCTAGCATCTGTGGGCGTGGGTGGCTCCAAGCAGCGTGATTTGCCTATGCGCGCTTGGGGGATGTGGTCGTATCGCACAACCCCTGGTCTTCTTCAGCCCCCGACCTCATCATCAGCCGTTGACTCGTACAGTATGGACGAAGATATGACTAGTATTTCTCCGCGCCATGGCCCCCATTGCCAAAGTATCCCGCAACTGTCAGTCCGGTCTTTTGGCCCTACTTCGCAATTATGGGCTTACTGTCCCGATTGTCACGCATTTGCCAAAGTGCCAGACAACTAAATTCCTATGCATTTTCCTGTATTCTTCCAAATTCTCATATCGAGACCAATCCGAACACACTTATCGTGTAGGTGCACTATCCACCCGTACGACATGACATACACAGCCGTGCTGTAACATCCCATAGTGCCCACGTCATCGACATCCTCAAGGATACAACCATGAACGAACTAGTTACTATCAGTATTACATTGCTTTTGGTGACAAGGCATACAGATAAAGCCCATGTCGTGATGACATCCCTACAGGTGCGCTGTAATACTAAGCAAAATGTGAAAACGACACCCCATGAGCACAAAAATCACTTGGCTCCCGGTGTGCCATCAAGCACTGTCATCTAATTGACAAACCATCGTACACAACTCCCCTAGGACTGCTTACTCTTCAGGGATCTCGATCGAACCCTCGTCAATGGCCTCAATGATATCGTGTGGGTGTTTCTTGTCCACCTTGCAACCGACACTCTGGCAAGTACCAAGAATCTCCTTCACCGTGCTGGCGAGAGTGCGACCAAACGACTTGTAGCGCATCGTCCGCGCGATCTCGATAATCTCGTCAATAGGAATGTTGCCGCTGTGCGTGATATTCTTCGTCTTTTTGCGGTCACGCAGGGGCTCCTTGAGAGCCTTGATGACCAGCGATGAAGCAGATGGAACAATCGCGATGGCAGCCTGGCGGTTCTGAACCGTCAACTGAACTGTCACACGTAGACCCTTCCATTCGCCCGAGGCCTTAGCAATGTCTTCACCGATCTTCTTAGGCGCCTGTCGCACGTTAGCGGACCATCCTAACCAAGTGAGAGCATACAGGCCCATAAGGCCGAGGCGGTGCAAAGTTTCTTCGTCGAAACTTTCGTACCATGCATGCCAGGGAAACGTACCAGACCGAGCGGACCCAGCTTTGGGGCGAGCGCCGCGGGGTTGCCGACCTCACCACCGGTCGTACGCAGGTAAATGATCTGTCATGGAGCGTAAGCAATCCACGTCGTCGACAAGACACAATCATGCGTGCTTGTACATACCCTAACTTCGTTCGGGTCGATCTTAGGCGCCATGGTATGCTACGTGTGTGACGCTACAATTCTGCCTGCCGGCCCAAACCCTTTCGAAGGTGGGCTCACACAGCGGCAAATGTGTCGGCCGATCAGAACTGCAAATAGCACGTGATGTGTGGAGTGTCAAAGAATATAGTTTCTCGCACGCGACCCTATCGCTACGCAGCGCAGTTTCTATTTCGCGAAGTCCGTCGAGAGTGTCCTGGACTTGGGCGGCCTAATAAGATTGTTTGTACCACCACTAGCAACGCCTAGAACCTCTGGCATCGATCGACATGTGTGTATCTCAGATGAAAGCATGTTCATCCATTGGCCGGGCATGACTAACCATTGCACAGGTCTGAGTCTCTCACTTACAAGGGTAGCCTGTCTGGCCACAAGGGTTGGGTGACGGCCATTGCTACGTCGCAGGAGAACCCAGACCTCCTGCTGACAGCTTCGCGTGACAAGACGATTATCGTCTGGCAGCTCTCGCGCGATGACACCAACTACGGCTACCCTAAGAAGATTCTGCACGGTCACAATCACTTTGTGTCGGATGTGGTGATCTCTTCTGACGGCCAGTTTGCTTTGTCGGCCTCGTGGGACAAGTCCCTCCGTCTCTGGGACCTGAACACGGGTCAGACAACGCGTCGCTTTGTTGGTCACACTGGCGACGTTCTCAGTGTGAGCTTTAGCCCCGACAACCGCCAGATTGTGTCCGGAAGTCGTGACCGTACTATCAAGTTGTGGAACACGCTTGGCGACTGCAAGTTCAACATTACTGAGGACGGTCACACGGAGTGGGTGAGCTGCGTTCGCTTCAGTCCAAGCCCTCAGAACCCGGTCATCGTGTCTGCTGGCTGGGACAAGGTTGTGAAGGTACGTTGTTGAATTCCCTGGTTGCATATGTGTGCGTTTGTGTCTGTGTTGCGGATTGTGTCCTGTGGATATAGACGCTGTATCCGTCGGTTTTCATGGTGCAATGAAGAGGTGTGATATATTTGCTACTATGGAGATCTGCTCGTAAGCAGACCGGTGAGAATAACCCAAACCACCAAGATCACTGAGCGCCTTTTTTATATTTCTCATTTACCGCCTTACTCGATGTATGATGTTCTGCGCGACTGTCGGTTCTGTCGACTTCGTTATTCACTCTTCACAAACGCACACAGTGTCTGCACAGGGGGCATACTACAATAAGATGTGGTAAAACTAACGACCAATTAGGTTTGGGAGCTGAACCGCTGCAAGCTGCTCACCAACCACTACGGCCACCAAGGCTACATTAACACCGTCACTATCTCGCCTGATGGCTCACTGTGCGCCTCGGGCGGTAAAGACGGCGTTACGATGCTTTGGGAGCTGTCGGATGGCAAGCACCTCTACTCTTTGGAGGCTGGTGATGTTGTGAATGCGCTAGTATTCTCGCCGAACCGCTACTGGCTCTGTGCTGCGACTTCGTCGTGCATCAAGATCTTCGACCTGGAGAGCAAGTCGATTGTTGATGAGCTCAAGCCTGAGTTCCCAGGCCTCGGCAAGAATGCCCAGGAGCCTGAGTGTCTCTCGCTTGCTTGGTCTGCTGATGGTCAGACTCTGTTCGCTGGCTACAGCGACGATATTGTTCGTGTGTACTCAGTGATCTGATCTCGCTGAAGTCACTCTCAAAAATGTAGCTGCCCTAGGATGTTTTCGTGCCTGTGCATTTGTATACAGTAGGTGCAGAATTCACTGGTGAACGGACAAACCGAATGGACTGTTGGACGAATGTTTTGTACATAGGAAAACGAAATCGACCTACAGAGTCAGTATTGCTTTGGGTCGTAGTTTATGTGCAAAAGTAGCCAATGCGGCCAGTGGTCGATGAGAAATGACTGAGTAAATTTGCGTTATAGCAGCAAAACACCGTGCAGACGAATGCCACTAGTCGGTGTGCGTATGTATAAATACAAACATACATACAAGTAGGTAGTGGTTAACGCCGTCTAGAAGCGCACTGAGAATATGCGCATGAACTGTGAAAGCTGCCCAAGTCGATGAGGAAAGGCAAACCAATGAAAGTGGAAGGGGTGACGTCTATGATGCAAGTGAGGGAAATCCAACCAGTTGAGGAGAAAGCGTACTCAACACCACAGGATCGCATTACATCGTTTAATATCCTTGGCTTCCATACCCTGGCACACTAGGCGAAGGTTGCCCTTGGTAGCCTTGGGCGGGGGGAGGAAATTGTTGCGCACCGTACGGGTAAACAGTCTGCTGAGGTGCGAATCCAGGGGTTGGGGGGAATGCAGCTGGCTGTGCACCATAAGGTTGTTGCTGATAAGCGGGATATGCTGCTTGATGACCATAACCGAATCCGGCAGGCTGCGCATACGCAGTGTAGGCAGGTTGCGCGGCGCCGTAAGCACCAGCACCATAGCCACCGGTCAAGCCGCTGTATCCGAGGCTTGCCCCCGTCATGCCTCCATGCACCATAGGGGGGCGCGAGTTTGCCATGTTGACTCGAATGCGACGACCATCTAGCTCCTGTTCGTTGAGGGCCATGATGGCAGCATCGGCCTCCTGCTGAGTCATAAAAGTAACGAAACCAAAACCGCGGGAGCGACCAGAGTCTCGATCTTTCATGACAATATAGTCAGTAAGCTGACCATACGGACTAAACGCCTGCGCGAGTCCATCGTCAGTCGTACTCCAGCTCAGATTGCCGACATAAACTTTGGCCATACCGCGATTTAATAACAGGAGTACGATGAAACGGGGAGAAAAGTGTGAATCAAGTACCACAAAAAATCAGAAGGTGCTTGGAGGGTCAATAAGACACACCACAAATAGAAAGAGAGTAGGGAGGGGTAATAGAAACCAACACGCGGAAGATAGTTCAGAAAAAAACTATTAACGAAGCAACCCAATCTGATCCCCGACTTCGGTAGTGAGCAACACTGGCCGACAATGCAGGTCCGTGTTGGGCAGGAATCTCGTTAAGCTCAGCAAGCCAACTTTCGCAGGTGCTCGGCCGGGATGAGGGAGTTCCAGGCCGATAAATCAGAGCTGTGTCGGCGAACGATCTGACCACGACAAGGAGCTGCGGCATCACATGACACGGCGCGCGCCCTGCCGACCCCATGCTTGACGCACACATTGCTCTACATTTGAGCTGCTCTATGCATCAGAGTGCATTAGTGAATCTGCAACGCTCGTCCCTTTCTAATACAGGCCCCCAGGAATTGGTTCAAAATTGTTTCTGTACATTTTGCACATGTGGAGTGCATACCAGACGCTGCATGATGACGGCATTGTACCGATTTTTGCAGCTTTCGCTTGACACACAGCCAAGTATGTGCCGTTCCTGACAGGGCGTATGTCCCATAGTAATCGACTTTGCACTTCAAGGCTAGAGTGTTAGTTGATATATTCGCGCACTATCCACAGCGCATCTGGCTCTTTGACACGCCCCCTCCCCCGGTTTCAACCCAGCTTTACCCTTGCTCCTCTAGACGTTGCACAGCATGAAGGCTACATTGCCTATCTTGTTGGCCTTTCTGAGTCTTTTTGGAGGAAATGCTGTCCTCGCAAAAAACGATAATGAGGACCTAAAGCTCCAATATAAAATCGTGACTCAAGATTCACTTGCATCTGCTATGATGTTGGGTTTGGCCAACCAAGATACAGCGTTTATATTTGACAAGGTCGAGAATAACCGTGCAAAGACGGCATCTGGGAAACCAACATGGGCTTCACTTGTAAATTTGACTGATTACTCGGTTCGTGGAATCGATGCGACTACAAACCCCTTTTGCGCGGCTGGCTCCACGCTGGGGAATGGGTCCTATATTGTGGTGGGTGGTAACAGCGCCATTAGTTATGGTGGTATCAATGTGAAGAACCAGGATGGCTCCATCAGCTCCGGACCAGCCGCGCCGTATCAAGATTATGATGGACGACGTGTTGTTCGGCTCATGCAGCCAAACGAAGACAGCTCCCAGCTGGAATGGATCGATGAATACAATAGCCCCAACCAGATGGACTCTCCGCGTTGGTACCCTGGTGTTGAGGGCCTGGCAGATGGATCTGTTGTTCTTATTGGAGGCGCGACGAATGGCGGATTCATTAATCGCAACTATCCAAACGTCGATCCCGCGTACGCGACTGATAATCCTAATCCGACGCCAGGCAAATGGGACCAGGGCGGCGCGAACCCTTCTTATGAGTTTTGGCCCCCTACCAACAAACCCAAACCTGCGGTTCATGACTTTATGGTGAAAACGAGTGGTCTGAATATGTACGCTCACACTTACTTGATGCCGTCAGGCCGTATTTTCATGCAAGCAAACTACAGTACCACTTTGTGGGATTGGCAGAAAGACTCATATCATGACTTGCCTGATATGCCTGATCAGATCATTCGGGTGTATCCAGCATCTGGTGCTACCGCCATGATGCCTCTCACTCCCGCCAACAAGTACACTCCTACCATCTTGTTTTGCGGTGGATTCAATAATATTACTGATGAACAATGGGGTGATTATAAAGCCCCGAGAGTCAATATGTTTGAACAGCCAGGGAGCACTGATTGTTCGTCAATCACGCCTGAAAACGCGGATGGATCCAATGTCGAAAATGTTCAGTATGTTCGCGAGGAGACTTTGCCTGAACCTCGCAGTATGGGGCAGTTTATTCATCTGCCAACGGGTCAAATGGTGATTGTGAACGGTGCTTCTCGTGGTGTGGCGGGATATGGAAACACTACGTGGAACACGGCTAAGGACAAGCAGGGAAATGTTGTGCACATGGAGGGCATGAGTCAGAAGCCAACGTACCGACCTGTCCTTTTCGATCCAGAACAGCCCAAAGGCAAGCGATTGAAGTATGAAGGCTTCGGATCGTCCAAGATTGCTCGTCTGTATCATTCGTCGGCCATCCTCGTTCCCGATGGCTCCGTTCTCGTCGCTGGATCAAATCCTCACATGGATGTGGCTCGGCTTCCGCCAAATGATCAGATTGACAGTCAGTATGAAGCATTTAACACCACATACGTCCTGGAGCAGTGGTACCCAGAGTATTACTTTGAGCCAAGGCCAAAACCACAGGGCATGCCTGATGTTATCAAATATGGGGGCAAGTCGTTCAATGTAACCATCGATGCGAATTACATGAATCCAGACAACAACGCGAACGACATGGCCAATAAGACCAAGTTCATGGTGATTCGACCAGGTTTTTCAACACACGCTGTTAACTTTGGCCAGCGATCCTTACAACTAGAGAACTCGTATGAAGTACATCATGATGGTTCTGTGACTTTTATTGTCAACCCTATGCCAACAAACATGAATATTTTTGTGCCAGGTCCAGCATTGCTTTTTGCCACGGTCAATGGAATACCAAGTCACGGCAAGTATGTCTTTTTGGGTGGAAAGGGCCTAGGAGATGTCCCGCTGAACTTGAAGCCCGGAGACGAACCGCCTCGTCTTCCAGCACCGGTGAACAATAACAACTTCCAGAAAAATGCACCATCTCCTGGCTCCAGGACTGACGACGATGATGGTCTGTCGGGCGGTGCAATTGCGGGCATTGTGGTCGGTGTAGTGGTTGGTTCGGTATTGTTGGCCGCGTTAGCTTTCCTACTGTGGCGCATGAAGCGGAATCAACAGAATGCGGCAAATTACGCTTCTATCGGTCGACCTGCATCTACCCAGACGATGGGAACGACTCCTAATGCGTGGACACGCGTTGGTACGCCATACAGCGCGCCGCATGCGGCACCCACGATGCAAACGAATGAGTCACGGGCTAGTCTGCTTGGTTCTACGACGAATGTATCAATGCTGCCCCACGATGCAGCAGAAGCACCTCTTTCCACGGTCATCCCTATCACCGGGATGACCAAGTCGCAACCTGCATCTGAATTTAGTGCGAGTACACCACAGTCTACGTCGCAGGCACTGGCCCCTCCGATGTTTGGGCCACGACCTCTAATGACGTCGGAATCAACGAACGAGGTGCAGACGTATTATGTGCCCCCGAGTACAAGCCAGGGACCTGTGTTGATGCCTGAATCGACGACGCACTGGAACGACATCCCGGCAAGAATGACTGGACCGCGTGACATGCCAGGATCGAACCTGCAGCATCACTTGATTGCATCTAGCAACCGCTACCCGACGCCTGACGAGTAAATGATATACCCATGAGCATGAAATGTGCTTCGTTGTTCTACTGTGAGAAAAGGGAGCTGGTGCTTTCTTCCCCACTTGCGTATCCATACACATCACCACTTCGTTACCTACTACCTTGTGTAATGCTCAATTCTGATGTAAAAGACAATCTATGACGGACATATATCACTGGCGTTACGCTTCACTAGACAATTTGACTCTTGTAATTTTCGCGAATGTGCAGAGGTGACCACAGAAGATAGACTAATCGTTTGTAGAAAATGCAAATTCGTCAAGTCCACATATTGGAGAAAAGACTAACAACAAGCTCGTATGTGAGGAAGTAGGCGCCAGTCGATGGTGCCACCTTGAGGAGGTTGGGAAAAAGACCGTGATATAGTCCGCGAATGCCATTAGCAGCGACCATGTTTCGAAGAGAGTCGAGACCACCTGCGAGTTAGATTCCGAACAAAACACACCTTTGTCTTGCACACCCAAGCTAGAGTTTTTCATGCCAGATACTTGCATGCGACGACGAACTACATCGACGGGGTATGTCAGTGTCTGGCTCACGGCGCCAGCAAATGCACCGATACACAGTTTTGTGAAAGGACCAGGTGGTGTGCCATCCGACTTTGTCAAGAATGAGCGCGCGCTTTCATAAAATACAAAGTTGAATGCGACATAGGGCGCCACGCCAAGACTCGTGGCGATACACCCTCGGTACAAACCACGAAATCCACCTTCGTCACGATATACTTTCATTGTGGTCTCCCAAACGCCAGGAACACGCGGAAGCACAGTAGTACTAGTCCCAGCTGTTGTATACATGGACGCTGAGGCGATGGAAATGCGCGCACGCACAAGATCCAGTGGGTACGTTGATACGACACTCGTAAAGCCAGCAACAGCACCAGCGACAAGGCGTTCAAAGGTATGTAATTCTGTAGAGTGAGATGAAGAGGCCTTATCGGAAAAACCCAAGTGCTGTTGTCGGAAGCTGGAGAATCGAAGAAGGGCGCGCTTCATCGACTCGTACGTTGCAAATTGAACCGCACTGTATGGAGCAATGCGCAGACAATTCAATCCATTGCCACGCATGAAACCATAGAATCCTTCTTCCTGCCATATGCGAGACAAGCCTTTCCACACGCCCGGATACGTCTTTTTGCCATCAGCAGAAGCCGGCTGGACTTGCCTACACGGTCAGTCGAGAGACAGTGCGTGTCTGCATACATACATGATGACTGAGATAGATGTGAGCAAGGCATTTATTCGAACGTGAATCTTACGTACTTTTTAATCTCTCTAACGGACTTACAAGGGTGCGACTCGTTGCACCAGCGCATCCACCAGCTATAAGACTCGTCCATAGACCGGGCTGCTGTGGCACGGGCGTAGATTCCGCTGCCTGCGTGGGCACGCCCTGCTGAACTGCCTGGCCCATGGCTTGCTGGTCCTAGGTTGTAAAACAATTTGTAAGCGCCCGATTCGCAGAGAGAAAAAAAAAGAGAGAGCAGTGCTGCGTATTACAGGACCAAGTGAACGTGCTCTTGTACGAGTGTGAGTGTTTCAAAGGCTGATCGAAAGTGAGTGAGCGTCTGGGGAATAGCCACGTGAGTGGTAGCCACGTGGAGACGGCGCAAGACGCCGTGCACGTCTGTCGAGCATCCACAGAAATGTGCGGATAGTATGAAAGCATGTGAGTGACGATGCTGTCCGGCGGACAGACGAGCTGGTTGACTAGCTGATTGGCTGGCTGCCTCTATATGAAACCTTTCCAGAGTGACGCACTTGCATCCTTTTCGTCTCGGCCCGAGTTCATATCGGATGAAATGACGCGATGGACATGGCATAGATAGTCCACATAACTCATAGCGTCGTTATTCTGGTCTTCCACGAGGTTGTTGGCAAACTCGACTTCCATGCCGTCGCGATTTTGGCGCGCGATCACAACCTGAAGAGAAATCTTCCCGTGCTGCTCCGCCAGGCCCTGTACAATGTTGCGAACCTGTTGAGAGAGTGGTGTTGGCAGGACCGGGAGGCTGGTCATACGCGGGTCCAGCTCATCCAGCGATGTAACACCATACAGGTCCTCCAGTAACTTGGGACTGACTTGCGCGCCGAGCCAAAGCAAGCACCATTCGCCATTATCGAGCAGGTAAGCGCCATGGGGCTCCATACGCATGAAGGACGGGCGCATCGGCCGCGGCATTTGTGGGAAACGGATTAGAGTATTGTCAATGGCTTGCTTCTCGGGCGTCAGGCCCTCGGCTGGCTGAATCGGGACGCCATCCGTGGGGCTAAGCATGTGTAATGCAATCATACGGGGATACAGGAGCGACATGATGGCGCCGACGCCCTGAGACAACAAGAGGCGGAAGAAAAATACACGCACATCCGACGTGACATTGCCACCCTTGATCGCCTTGTTTTTGATCAAAGCAAGTACATACAATGGGAAAAGCTTGAAGCTTTCCGGCAAGATCAGCTGGCCTGGACTTGTAGAGGATGCGCAGTTACGGCGGTAGGCTAGGAGAATGGACACACATTTCGACGTCAAATAGCTGCGGACGTCCTTGAGTGTCTTGGTGTAGGCGAGTGTCGCGGCTTCTTTTGCATAATAGGCGACAGCCGAGTCCATATCAGCATAACGGAACACATTGCCCAGTGCCGATGTCACAGGCACAGCAAGCGTGTGGCAGCGTACACGCCGCTCCCCTGTCGCTGTCGTGTACAGGGTGGCGCACTGGAAATACGCCTCACGCGATTCCTCCAAGCGGCCATCGTGGCGCATGAGCACGGAAAAGGCCTTGTCGGCATCCCACGTGCCGACCTCGACATCGGTGATGCCGTGCATGTGCAAGTTGCCAAACTGCTTGACAACGCGCAAACCAGGCGAGCACCGCACACGCATGGTGACATTGTAAGCAGTTTCGCGGAGCACGAGGCGCTGCACCTCGGCCATGACACGCGAGCCATCGCGAACTGGGTCGAATCGTGGGTGGAAAAATACTTCACCACCCGACTCTGATGCCATAAACCCAATAGAAGCCACGTCGATGTATTGACTAGGGAAAAAGAAGATGTTGACACCCACACCGGCCAGGGCGAACTCCTCACCCAGTTTGTGGTAGAAAACATCCTGTGGACCAAACAGGTTCTTTTCATGGTCGGTTCCATACAATTTCGTGTCTTCACGGTGCTTTAGCTTACCGGGCCCGACCGTCGGGATCGTCGACAAGAATACATTCAGCTGACCACCGATCCCATTGAGCACGGCTTGTGCACTTTGAGTCGCAACACCTAGGGTCGCCTCAGCGACGGTCGAGTTCGCAAAGTTCGCCGGCAGGTCGTTTAGCAGGCCCTCGATCACATGTCGAGAGGCCCAGGGATCAACGAGAAGTCCTTCGCTAATGGGGATGAATGGGTCTTCGAGATCGGCCATGACCAGCTGTTGCGCCTGCTCCAGCTGCGGATCGAGGTTGTAAAAGTGTAATGACTGGTCAAACGTCATGATACAAACTTGGCTGCCCGGCGGCAAGCCAAAGCCCGGCACGCCCTGCTCGGCAGCGGGCGCGGCGACCTCTGTACCGTACAAAGCCTGCTTAATCGCTCGCACACACGTTTGCAAGGCACCGCAGCGTACGGCACTGAAGCTTACATCGATCAAGAATAGATGCGTGAGCGGTCGGGGCGCCCGCACGGTCGTTTGCCCCTTGCCGAGATGCAGTGTCTCCAGCGCAGCGTTACCTGCCGCTTTTGCAGCCTTGGCTGCTGCACTAGTGCTCTCCGACTCGCCTTGCGCGTTGCCAAGACGGTCGATGTTATCCTGCAAGCGTGTGGATGTCGTGAGCTCTGTCGTGTATGTGGGCACGATGGATGGCACAGGTAGCATGGCCGAGACGTCTGCCGGCGCTTGGACAGCCCAGTACTCTCTGGGGGCACAGAAGTCCACCGAGCCATGAGTGAGTTCTGGCCGTGACTCTAGATCCGCTCGGCGCCCATTGATATCAAGGTTGCAGAAGTAGTCCTGGGATACTTCTGTCGCACAGCCACACAAGCAGCAGATCCACTTCATGCCGCCTTCCACAAACAAGCACCATGGGTTGATGTAAGCCCGACACCGGTTGCAGCGCGGAGGTCCCGATTCGCCCGTGTCGGCCAGCGGCACACGCTCTTCGTCAGCACGGAGCTGGGCAAACGGCTGTACATTGAGCGCAATGGGCAGCTTGGACGTATTTGCGATTTCGTCGGTCGCCGGCAAGCAATACGTCGTGAGACGCATAAACTTGGGCGAACAGTTGCCCTGGTCCATCGCAGCAAAGTTGGTCGTGCTGAGCGGCATGCCTTCGCGGCTACATGTGCCGTACATGTCGTGGTAGTAGAACTGCTGGTCCGCATACTGTGCATCGACAGGGCTAGGGATGTGATCAGGATCAATCTTGGGCCGACTCGTGGCCCGCTCCATGCCTGCAACGCCTGGCTGGCCCATGCCTGGTGCCATAGTCGGTGGCAGACCTGCGCTGGGCATAGCGCCTGCCGTTGGCACCGCCGGGTGGACGGGATTGGTTCTCATTGCAGCTCGATTCGCCGCTAGCTGCGCCGTCGATAACACATTGCGCGTGCCAGGCATCTGATCCAGCGCAGAATCAAAGTTGTCTTCGGGTGCGGACTGGGGCGACTGTGCCTGCCGGTAGTCGACCCGTGCAGCTGCCTGCTGCTGCCACGCTGCCTGTATGGGCGGGGGACGAGCCACCACGTCGTTCCATCCACTGGAAGCTAGCGCAGGAGATGCATCCTTGTGATAGGCACGCGCAGCGCGCTTGGAACGAGCAGGTCCCGCTGGTGGCGCTACTGATGCCGATGCTGCAGGTGCAGCCGCAGGTGTAGCAGCAGGGGCCATTGGGGCTGCAGATGGACGGACGGTCGAGCCAACTGGCGCACCTTGCAATCCCATGCGGCTCATAGGCGCCTCGATTCCTGTCGAAGCTGAGGGTCTCGTGACACCGGCTCCTGCGCCAGCGCCAGGAGCTGCCGTCATGGCTGCCTGAGATGCTTCTGTGGCTGCAGCTGTGGCTGCTTGCGCAGCATGTGCTGGCGACACTGGCATGCCAGGCCGAGGCGACACACCAGTGCGACGGGGCAATGGCGAGCGAGCAGGAGATGGACGCATGCTTGGAACAGGTGAGCGTGGCGGCATCATGGGACGCATGCCTGGCGCGGGTGACCGAGCAGGTGACGGACGCGGACCAGGCGCTGGTGATCGTGGCGCCATGGAAGGACGGGCGCCAGGCGCAGGCGAGCGCGCTAGCGGTACCGGGGAGCGTGATGGTGGCATTGGACTACGACGACCGGCCATAGGCACATGAGACGGACGCACCTGAGCGCGAGAGCCAGGAGCCGGACTTCGTTGTGGCTGGGGTGGCCGAGGTCGTCCTACCTGCTGCATGGTTGGACCAGATGCAGACGCAGGTGGCCTCGGAGAAGGCCCGCGCATCATTTGTGGGCGTGGGTCCATGATGCAGCCTTCCAAGTATGCAAGAACAAAGACGCTCTATCTCGCTTGTGATGAGCTTCCTCGTGGACGTCCGATATTCGTCTCTCGCGCCCGACAACACGTCCCACGTCTTTCTTTGCGATTCAAAGCAATGGATATCTCGGCCGAATATCTATCCCCTCTGGTCGCAGGCGAGAGGTCCTGGTGCACATAAGCAGGGGTGGAGAGGTGGCTGTCGTTGTGGCTGCTACACTGCTTACTGGCGGACGGGAGTGGGCGTGTTGTCGCGTAGTGCTCAAATATGTTGCCTAGTAGGCAGGTGATCACGGCTCTTCAACACTCCCTCGCAGGCAGTGTGTGTGACTCGCTGCTACTTTGAATAGCGCGATTGTTCGGCCCAACCCCTCCCTGCGTCGCGGCTTAAGCGCACGCGCTCGGTTCATCCTTGGTGTGTGTGTGTGTGTGTGTGCATCTTAAGAAAAGTGGACTTGGGCTAGATCGCGTTCACCCACAAGTATCGCGGGCAACACCACCCGCCTTCACCCCACGACTCCAAACCCCCAACCTTGCTGATATTTCTCTCTTTTACCCGACACGCGCTTAACACAAGTCATGTCGGAGCCCATGCCGCGTTTGGTTTTGATTCGCCACGGCGTTACGGAGTGGTCCAAGTGTGGTAAGCACACAGGACGCACCGATCTCCCATTGCTGGAAGAAGGCATGGCAGAAGCGTCGCAATTTGGCGACCAGCTCGTTGGGTTTTCTAATGACGCCATTCTTTGTCCCTCCCGCATCGGACATATCCTTCGGAGTCCGCGCCAACGGTGCGCACAGACACTGGAATGTGTACTGGGGAATGACAAGCAGCGGCAGCTCTTAGGCCTTCCCGATGTTAAGGTGTTGGACGACTGCCGTGAGTGGGATTATGGGGCGTATGAAGGAATTACTACAGTGCACATTCGACAAAGTGTGCCGGAATGGAACATCTATGAACATGGCACACCAGATCACGAGACAGACCCCAACCTACCAGGCGAATCTCCTCAGCAGATTAGTGAACGTGCAGATCGCGTCGTACGTTGTATTCGTGCGATGCACCAAAGTACACGGAAGGATGTCGTTCTATTCACACATGGCCATTTTAGTAGCGTTCTGATCGGTCGCTTCTTGGGTCTCTCTATGCATCTGTCGAAGGCTGTCACCATGGGCACCACCGGCACAGCCATTTTGACTTACACACACCATACGTTCAATGAACCGGTCCTTGGTGGTCTCCTGTCGCCCAACTTTGATGTGCAATCCAACAGCGTCGCTGTGCGAGGAAAGGTCCATGAAGAGTACCAGTATCTTAACCTCGTGTCATCCATCATCCGTCACGGAGAAATACGCGCCGATCGCACAGGAACAGGCACCATTGCTCAATTTGCGCCTACTCGAACCCTCAAATTCGATCTGAGCGGCGGGAAGCTTCCTCTACTTACGACGAAACGTGTGTTTTTCCGCGGCGTTCTCGAAGAGCTTCTGTGGTTTATCGCCGGTTGTACTGATGCCAAACGCCTTTCTGAGCGCGATGTGCACATATGGGATGGAAATGGCTCTCTAGAATTCCTACAGAGACGCGGATTGTCGCATCGCCGCGAGGGCGATCTAGGTCCAATCTATGGCTTCCAGTGGCGTCACTTTGGCGCCAAATACATCGACGCTGACACGGACTACACGGGGCAAGGTGTAGATCAGCTCGCTCAGGTAATCCACCAAATCCGTCACAATCCAGCAGACCGCCGCATTTTGCTTTGTGCATGGAACCCGGCGGACCTGGATTCGATGGCCTTGCCGCCATGCCATATCCTTTGTCAATTCTTCGTGTCGATGCCCACGACGGACGCGATGTCTAAAGGCCAACGGCCGCGTCTCAAATGCCAGATGTACCAGCGATCTTGCGATCTTGGCCTCGGTGTGCCTTTCAATATTGCTAGCTACAGTTTGCTCACGCACTTTATCGCTGCCGTGACAGACTGTGAGGCGGCCGAATTCACACTCGTGATGGGGGATGCACACGTCTACTTAGACCATGTCCATCCCCTGCAAGAACAGCTGAGACGCACGCCCCGAGCCTTCCCCACGGTTCACATTCGTCGAAATGTCACTTCTATCGACGAAATTCGTCCTGATGATGTGCAACTGCTTAATTACTCTCCGCACGGCAAAATCAACATGCAGATGAGTGTGTAAGCGCACACCGTCGCCGCATGTCCTACCATGCTCCACCCCTCCCAGCATGCAGCGCGCGATCACGTGCAGTAGCCCCAACAAGTCGCGGACTAGAAGAAGATGGCGCTTCCTTCCAAATTTGGGACCAAAGTGGAGCTGATTGTCACCCAACGCAGAATTTGGGCCACTCATAGTAAGACTTGCATGTAGTGTGCTAGTTTACGTTGGTTAGCACATGAGATCGTGGGGTAAAAAGTCTTCGCATCAACGCCGAAGTGGACAACGATTACTACATTCGATCTTACCCTAGGCGCGAGACACTCATTCCTTTAGGACTTGGTGGTATCCTGCAAAAGTTTCTCAGAGAACCTCCGGCTCTCGCATTGCTTCGCCCAAAACCACCCGTCGTCCGTTCTGACGTACGGTCACCCCTCCTAGTCATTTTCTCGCTGTCCACCACCTATTTATACCTTCTTGTTTCGTCTTCTAGCTTGACGTGATTTTTCGACTGCATCTACTCACAACACCACAAGCATCGACCAACGAACTATGGTGCTGCCAGAGCGTTATTCACTATCGACGCCGGCTCAGCAGCCACATAGCATGGCTTGGGCGCCTAACCCGAAAGTGCTGATGGCAATACGCATCATATTTACAATTTTGGTATGCTTGATGGCGCTCGCATCGGCTATCATGACGGCGATCATAATTAATTATTTTCTCAGTCATCGACCAATGGTATTTCCTCCCCTCAGCTCCATGATCTTCATTCTATTTATGGGCATTTTCACATCTATCATGTATTTTGGATACTATATTTTCTTGCCCTCACTCAAGATGATGCGTCGTGGAAGTATGATGAGTGTGTTGTTCACCATGAAACTGGAGATATTATTTCAATTTGCGATGTCGGCTATCTGGATCAGTGGTGCATTGGCGTATGCGGCTGACTACCGAGGACATGAAAACTGCCAGTGGAACGGATACTACCACTACCCAAAGCCGTCCAATTGGAACCACTTGTGTGACATGATCAACTGGGTCGTCGGTATGGCCTATGCTACGTTTGGTATCCAGGCGGCCTTCTTAGCTTTTGATCTGCTTGTGGGCGCTTATATTTTCATGTTCCTTGACCAAGATTCTATCAGTGAGCCATTCTATGAATGGGGGAATCGCGCATGGGAATACAAACACAAGCCTGCTGCTCCACTCTCGTCCGTCCACAATCCCATGTTGTATCATGCAAATCCAGAGGCACGTGGCGCGAGGATGTACGGCCCACACTATGACGAGAAGTACTCCTACGATAGCACTCTCCGCGAAAGCTATTCCGACAAATGGTCTCGCTCGACGCTCGCAGAGCATCCTCCGAATCGCCGCGGTGTTGCCTACAGTGATCCAAGCGTCTCGGATCGCATGTCCGATGAGTCCAGCACGCTTGCGAGCGAGACCCGTTACTACGGTGGCACGTATTCGCGCAGCAGTGCGAACAGCCGCCGTGCAGGTTTAGCCGAAGCTCCTAGGCCCGCTGGTTCAGGCGGCACAAGCTCCGGCGGAGCGCCATCGTGGAAAGCACCCAGTGTCACCACCGATAGCGGATCGACTCGTGCACCTGTCTCAATCCGTGCTAAACCTAGAAAGCCACGGCACGCATCAGCACCTCAATCGCTCGGCTCACGTGGTCGCCGTGGTACGTCTTATCTGAGCCGCGACTCGGACACGCTGGATGATCACTCTGAAGTCACTGAGTCTATGATCAACTCGCGCGCATATGATGACAACGATTTCATGCCTGCCGGCCGAGGTGTCTCATCCAGGCGGATTCGTCGCCACCGAAATGTGGATGGTGACGATGCTGATGATTATGATACTGATGACGATGATGGATGGCATCTCCGCGAAGATGCATACCTGGTCTAGGCCCCGATACCCCGCTCGATTTGTATCTTATATGTTCCAATTTGTTCAGCTGTGTATGTATGAAAAGTTTCTTCTCCCTGGGCCGCCTTATTCTTTCCTCTCTCCACCTTCATGGCCACTCACAACCACATTCAAATCTTCATACCCTCATATGGGCTTTTTCATTTTGTTCTTCCGATTGTCCTCCTCATTGGAGATGAATGTCTCTCATGTGCCTCTTCTTTCTTCGCTGTTACATCAAATGATTCCCTGACACCCGCTTAAGAACGTATTTGAAGCATGTTAATAAAGTATAGTATGTTTGCTATAATAGTTGTAGTACATGTATGGTACGATTTGACATGTTGATGAGAAGATCGTATGTGGCCAGTGTTGGTGCCATGCCCAGTGTCGGGACCAAGTGCTCGCGCATGAATCATCATTGCTCGTTCTAGTTTGGCCAATGTGGCATCAAATTTGTGTTTCCGCACTATCGCCATCTGTCGAATGGCCAGAATGAAAAGATAAATTATCCTCGCAATGGCTGCGACGTTCAGAGTTTGTGCCAGATGTTTCGAAAGAATCTGGCATCGCAGTAGCGCCAGGTAGCCAGCGTTGTGCTAACAATTCACCACACCTTCGCATGTGTGAATCGGTCTTATCGATGAGTTGTTGGGCTTCCTGGTCGCGAGATTCTGACATTTGGGATTGAGACAATAAAAGCGATAGTTTGAGCGAATCAGATAGCAAGTATAGTGATTGCGCCGCACGAACCATACTATCAGCACGAGTTTCGAGCAAGAATGATTCACGATGCACGTCAAAATGATCCTTGTCACCAATCTAGATGTATAGTTAGCATTGAAAACGCCCAAAGGGGGGCACAGCTACATACACGTCCAAGATTGATTATTTCTTTAAAATTGTCCAGGAGTACGCGTGTGTCAGTGTCAATTTGCCGATTTACTGCCTCTTCAAGGGCATCGAGGCGCGCCGCATGTCCAGTGGCATGGTCGTGCTGATGGGGATCCATGCTGCATATGCTGTGTTAAAAAGCGTGAATGAATACCTACAAGCCACTCGTCAACACCAATGATTGCGTATGCTCTCCATATCTTGGACACGCGCAAGAAAGGCCTCACCTGCTCGTTGGGAATTGCATGTAAGAGACGTTTACTACTCCACATTATTTTTACCTCGTTCACACAGCCAGCCAGCTAGCCAATCAACCCGACTGACTGATACAAGGTCGAATAGGCGGCGAGCGCTCTATGGAAATCACTCACAATATGCGCAACGTATTGATCATTCTATACACATGATTCCATGAAACAGTGGGCATGCGATTCTGCGATCAGCCACCCAGCGGCACTACGAAAGCTGAATAATGTCCACTTCACTGCATGCATAAGTATGTTGGGAAGTACAGACTCGTTGCGCCGGAATAAAATCACGGCCATGTCTCCACTCCTATGTTGAAACCCAAACTGATGACGCCATGCTCGGATTCGGAACAAACCCTCGTCTCATTTTAAAAACGAAAGGGGAAATAATTTCGAAAATACCAATCTTGGCCGCTAGTCATGCCAGCTCTTTGTCGAATTTGTCTGTCTGCCTGTCTACACGACATCTTTTTCTGGTTCATCCCTGGTGGAATCTCGAAGTTGGGGGCGTCGAACTATCTGCTGTATAGTGGATCCTTCCGGCCGACGAAGAGCGAGAACTAGCCGGTATTTCCGAGCAGCTGATCCGCTTCTGTGACCTGTGGTAGCCATTGTTTGGTCTCTGCTGTGTACAGGAACAGGTTGTTGTGGCGATGAGAGAAAGTAACTTCAGCAACCCAACACAAAACCGGGCATGCTTGTCTATTAGTGCTGTTGTGTATGATCGCCGTGGTACGTATGCTCAGGACATGGATTGTGCAGTGGTATCGATCGATGTGGGAACCTGTCATCCACGAGTCGGCCAGTTGATCTTCTCCTCACCCCCTCCCCCCTCTTTTTAAACCTTGTTTCCCATCAGCCCCTCTTCAGGATGATCTCATATAATATAGAGTCAAGCACGGAATACGCTTGAGGAGTCTATGACTTTCTCTGTTGCATCTGTCGAAAACTTTAATCTGATCTCTCGGGGCGCTTCTTATCTATATTCCATCGCCATGCCACAACCATGTCCTTTTCTGATCTGCTCTTTCATGTTTTCTAACAAAAAATCAGCGCTGGATTGTACGGCGACATTGCCGCTTGTCAATTCATTGAACCACTTTGCATACCTTGCATCTACATCACCGCGGATCCGCGAAATGGTCATGCTCGATGGCGGTCTAGAGAGGCTCATCCACATCCTTCGTCGTCCGCCCCAAAATGTATCTGGAATGATGATGTTTGATCGGGCGTCCTCTTCCTTGAATGAGATTCAGGCTAATTGGAAATGGAGTCTGGCGTTCCAGTGCGTTGTCAACATTGGCGTGCGTGGTAGCGAGGCTATTCGAACGCGCGTCGTTGAAGCAGGTATGGTGCCGATTATCATCAGAGTTCTAGACAACTATTTAATGACAAGTGATCTGATTCATATCCAGCAACGCAAGGCGCTCGCAGCTGTACGGGAGTGGCCTGCTTCACGACAAGGGTCGCATCACTCCTTATACCCCCCTCAGCCTGCCACTGTTTCAACGGTGCCGCGGCCTGCGACTCCCATGGATATGGATACGATTCACCCGCCTGCTGAGCACACTTATTGGACAGTCGACGCAGACCGCCAGGCCTCACGTGAACTGCTTCCGCTGCACAATAGGATCGCCGGCGATGCAAGTGCAAGCGCAAGTGCTAGTGAGTGTGCCGAAGACACCGAAATGTTCCATGAGGAAGGCGCAAGTCCCAGTGCATCAGAGCTTCTCGCGCCCAAGAATGATGCGCCAGAATCAGAAACACCTCGCGCGCCTCGCACATCTACTTTGCGAGCCGAAGCTGATTCACACATTGATATGGCTCACACACCACGTGCTGGAGCGCATAACGCAACGATGCCAGACGCCATGCAGCAGGACGAGGATGTTCACTTGTGGCAGACACCTACGCCAGTATTGAACCCTCGTGAAGTCGCGCCTGTGCCGCCGCCTGTATACCGCGAAGAAGAGGTCCTTCTTAGTCTTCAGCTACTCGCTTATTTATCGAAGTATCCACACGTTCGACACTTTTTTCACAATGCTGATGTGCGCGAAGACATGATTTTTTGTCCGGAATGGCCTGAAGAGACCCTGCCGAACAGATCTTGGCAGCCTAGCGATTTGCCTCAGTCCAATGTATTTTCCGTGGCGGAACGCTTTACCCACCGCCCGACTCGGAGTTCCACCACACCCAACGTCTTATGCTCGCTCTACCCACGACTCGCTCCAGATATTAAGTACTGGGCTGGTGTTGTCATGCGCAACGCTTGCCGAAAAGACGAGTCACGTGGCGGTATTCGGCAATGTGCCAATATGCTGTGTGGAAAATGGGAGGCATATCCGCGGGAATTTGCCAAGTGTCGCCGCTGTCGCAAGGCCAAATACTGCAGCAAGCAGTGCCAGAGCAAAGGTTGGCAAATGGGACATCGGTTCTGGTGTAGTGCGCGCTCAGATGATGACAAAACGCGCGGTACACACGAATCGCGATCCAATGTCCATACGTCTGTGGCGCTAGACGTGTCTCCCAACAATGATGGGCATGCCGCAGGTACTACGCAGTTGCCACGGGACCCAACGAATGCCAGGTCTGAACGAGACACAGTCTATTCGCGCCCATTGGGACCGCGGCATGTCCCGTCGACATTCCGCGAGAATCAGATGCCATCGTTACGCGGCGTCAGTGCGGCGAGCGCTGATTCCACAGATCTGACAGAATTAAGCGACGATGGTACCAGACAGGGCGAGACATCTTCAACCACGAGTCCTGCAGGCACGAATCATGCCTCGACTGCTGCAGCACAACGAACACTCCCTGCACCAGTCATTGCTGGCGACTTGACAATTCAAGAAGCAGATCCAGCCACAGCCACGTTACAAGCACAGGAGGCACAAAACATCCAGGAACACGGTCCCCTTGACATTGTAGCGGCATCCTGGCCGCCGCCACCCCCCTCTGTTGTATCATCAACGAGTGCTGCTGATATGACGCCATCGTTACAGTCGCAGCCTCAGTCGCAGTCTCAATCAGTGCAGCCATCTGTTCGTTCTACAACCGAAACACATTTTGATCTGGGCATTACACTCCCATCTTCAGGTCAGCTCACTACGTCCCATATTCATGACGGGGATCATTCTGTGTCTACACGTTCACCCTATACGTCGCCATGGCAAAACATGGCAACACCTACAGCATTTCGCAGTGCACACCATGCCCCGCGAGCCATGTCGATGTTTAGCACAGTGACGTCTTCGCCAGTAGCCATTGGCGATGAAACGGTTCACGAAGATCCACCAGCAATCACTCCCACGAGCCAGTGGCTTCCTTCTTGGCATGCTCATGATACGGAACCCTCACGTCTATCGGACCCCCAGTAATTATCTTGCTTTTTCATACTTGCACATGACTCCTTTCCCGACCGATCCATATAAACAATTCAACACATTTACGTACAGAGATACATAGGATACAATGATTTTTTTAAAAAAAAAAGTCGGCTACTTGTATCGTCCTGCATGATTATCACTTTGTCTACTGCGAAGACTTCATAGCCCTATAGTAGTCACTCACCAAGTACAAACTACCACACACCACGACAATCTGAGGAGACGACCGAAGTGGCGAGGCAAGTGGTGTTGGTTGCTTCGCGTGCGTAACAGAATCTAGAGCTTCTTTCAAAGTTGCATATGTTGCCACAGATTTAATGTTGCAGCGCATATCCTCGACCATTGGCACAATAGCGTCTGGTGCGAAAGGTTTGATCCATGGCATGCCTTCCACGGGTGTGGAAAACGGGACTAGTAAAAAACGATGAGAAACGCGTTTTTGACCTTTGACCAATGCATGTAGCATGCCTTTCACGTCCTTACCATTTGAGAAGCCTAGGATCCAAGTGATGGTAAGACTGGTCATGTTACTGTTCGCTATGCAAAGATCAATGTATTGTCTTAATGCTAGAGCAGACGCTTGGTTGTGTGCGCCATCAAGAAGGACTGGAATACTCGTACCTGAAGAATCAAGCAAGGACTTCCACTCACAACGCCCTTCCCAACGATACTGCCGAGCTGCACATGCAATGGCCATTTTGGAAACATCCGGATGCGATTCAAAGAGATGCGTGCGAATTTGCGCTCGAAGCTGATGCCATGCATCAGAAACTATCGTTTGACCAGACGGCGTGTCATGTGCCACACTCCAAAGGGTCTGAAGCGCCGTTGACGCACCAGATATGCGAGCGACGGTGGCTTCTAAAGGAACCGAAACATGGGCCTCGGGCTCGCGATGAGCATAGAAATCTTCACTGAGGCAAGCATCGTGGGCACCATACAATGGAACATGCAGCTCAATCGGTGCCTCAAATACGTGCGGCTCTGTTTGGCGAGACGATGATATAGACGAGCTCGCGACACGAGAATAAACAACACGCGCCTGTTTCATGCAGCACATTTTATGGAGTACACGCAATATGTCACTTGACGCTAAATCTGCGGGCATAGAATCAAACGATGAGTCTTGGGTATCATCACAGTAAGACACAGGAGCTTGATCAGCGATCACGCATAGGCCATGTGGTTTGATGATGCCGGCCTTTTCGCGAGCTATATCTGACAAAGAGTTTCCCAGAATAGTTTCGTGATCACGCGCCACAGGACATATGACACTGGCCAGGACATGGTCGTCAGGAAAGACATTCGTTGCATCGAGCCGGCCACCCACACCGACTTCCATCAACAGCACGTCAGGCTGCTGCGATTTGGGGAGCAATGTAAATGCAAGGAGTGCTTGGACGGTTAATAGCTCAAATGGGGTTGCACCAATAGGCACATCTCGCGCATCGGCGAGGCATGTCTGCCGCACTGCCATGTTCCATGTCAAATCATCAATCGGCTCACCACCGTTGATTCGCACACTGTCACGGGCGGTGATGAGGTGAGGCGAATTAAATCGAGCTGATCGTATTCCTACAGCATGTGTAAGGAACGCGTCAAGGTAAGCAGTAGTACTGCCCTTACCATTAGTGCCCGCTACATGAATGACAGGGAAGCGCACATGAGGTGATCCGACGCGACGAAGAAGCGCCTGAACCCGACCCAAGCCCAAGTCCATCAATCCCTGTGCAGAAAAAACGACGCTGTAATCCTACGTTTGATTGATGAAAAAGATTTGCGCTCGTAGTTCAGCCGTATATTGTAATCGAGGCCCCACTGATTCAAACTGTTTCGTCCTTGCTCATCGAACCAAGAAAATTTAGGTAACGGCGCAACATGCGTGTCATGGCTGGCTCCATTCATGTGAATATGCGCACGCTCCATGTATCACGTGAACAAAAGCGCCAGACCGGGCCGCTTGCTGCGATTGGGTAGGGACGAGAGATTGGGCTTGTGTGGGTGCTCGTTCTGTACGGCATTTGATTTGTAGTACGCTTGATTGATTTGGTTCTTGCCGCTAGGATCTCAAGCGATGTCAGGCTGGACAACGATCTGGGTACTTTTTGCGGCCATTCTGACAGGCGCTGTTTCTTGGTACACGACACCGAAAGGACCAAATCAACTGTATGTTGGGGCATTTGGAGAACGACTTACACCGATATCTAGCTTGATCCGAACCAGCGTGATCATGGTGCTGGCATGCTGCTATATGATGTGGGCGTGCGCATACCTTGCGCAACTTCATCCGTTGATACGTACGTACCTTTAGCGACTGACGAGATACCAGAGCCAAAACGAGGTGATGTACGTTTCTTTGACTAGAAATAGTCTTCGTCATTTTTGTGCATCTATCGATCCATTCCTTTGTACACTATATTCATTGGGTATGCACAAAGTCAAGTAAAAATTTCGTATGCGCGTACTTCACCATTGTTTTCGTAAGACTTAGATGAACGGAGAAAGAGTCTATGCTTAGATTCCTACCCAGCGGTCGTGAGGTAATGCGTGTCATCGCTCGCTTGGTAGATATAGCCATCATTCGCAAGTTCATCAATGGCATCCCTGTAGAGTGTGAGAAAGTCACCGGTACACAAATACATAAAGAAACGTACTGGATTTGAGTAACATCGGCATGTTTGCTACAGCGCTTTATAATCTGCTGTACATCGACACCTTCGGGCCAGTCTGGTGCTTCGGCAGCAATAGCTTGGTAGATCCGCCTTTGTAACGGAGACAAGCTGGATAAATCAGCTGCCATGCTGTCGGCTGTCTGCATAGCGGAGTCGTCATAGACAGACGCATCTATGCCGTGTGTAGATGACACGTCTGTTTTGGTGCTTCGCATACCCTCGGCTTTGATAAGCTGCAGATGCGTGTATATCACATCTAGTTGGTGATAGAGGTACTCGTTATGGTCTTCAAGCTTGTTGACCGTGGCCGCTGTAATATTGCGTTTATTGTTGAAGGACTTAATTTCACCCAATACACGCACAAACTGATTCGGTGCAAACTCATCAGCCTTCGCACCCTCGTCAAGAGCATTATCTATCCATTGTCGCACATCGAGTTGACCTGTTCCATCGTCCAAAGTGTATTGGATATTGGTGGCATTACGATTGGTTTGGCGGATCCATGCCACCAATGTGACCTGACTGAGCTCAGCACCATCGAACTCGAACGGTGAGTCTGAGTCTGGCTGTGTTGCATTTAATACCTGCCGCACTGTGACAGGTCTTAGCCAGTTCGTTCCCAAACGCTGGCATTGTCAGTCGCATTATGTTCATAGACTTTTACAAAACGTACGCGTTGTCCAGCCTCGCCACCCTGACTTCCACCAAGGAACCCGCCGCCGACACTCTTTCCATCATCCATGTACCCTGCATAATGTTGTCCGAATGGATTCCCGCTGTATTCTAAGCATGACTGTAAGTGCGCAAGCTAGTAGCTATACACATACCGTCCATGGCACTGCAATGTCCGTTCAAGGGTGAGGAAGTGCTGCGAAGTGTCGCGTCGACGCGTCGCACTCAAATCGACAGATGGATGCAGGGCTGAATAAGCAAATCGACCTGACCACTTCCTCAGGCACACACAGACAGGCTCTGCGTCGTTCGAGAAGTTCCAGCGTCGCAAGCCAATTGTGTTTCACACATTTCAAGAGGACCACACCCGGCGGCACACAGGGACAGTGTGTGCCTAGCCATGACGCGCACCTTGCGCCCGGTACATGGATCCGGCACATCCACGCCAGTCCGACTTCGTAAATTGCATCGACTCGTGCTTGAGAACTTGCGGCTGCTCGCACAGGAACTGCATGTCCTCCACCGCATATGGTACAAAGGCGCGGCGCAGTTTCGACACATGGTATGGTGGCGGCCCATCCAGCGGGTAAAGAAACTAGGAACTCGCACTACAACAGGCATCCTTGCTTCGAGTGTGCCGCTTGCGCGAGGATCGATGACAACGGCACAAAGCCCTACCACACCAGAATCACCTGTTCTTGGCGTCCAGGTGCTCACGAACATCGCCACTGTGTATGCAGCTTGTTGGAACGAGACATGTGTGGCTTGGGATACGTACGATCATCTCACTCACAGCAGACTTCCTCGACACGAACGCCCAGCTTCCCAGCAGACAATAGATGCCGCAAGCTCGGCGCAATTGCTCGATGCATTGGTACAGTTTACGCGCGCACTTGAGTGCATGGAGGAATGCAGTCGCCAGTGTTATTCGTACGTTTCGAGACGACATGCCCTTACATCGCTACTCACAGCCTAATTCTCGCACACCTGCGGACTCCTCCTGCACCTATGCATGCGCCCACTTGTATGGTGCTTTTAGCAATCTGTGCTCGTATATGCACATTATGTGACACATTAGTCCACGGTCATGGAAAAAGTGAGAGTCTCGAGGGTTGGATCGGTAGATGATAATACAAAGAGAATCAGCAAGCACTATGGCATGTAGGTATGCGGTGCCATAGAATGAGCTGGCAACGCTGGCGGCGCTGGCGGCGCTATTGGTGTTTGGGTGATAGAGGATCGGTCAAGAGGGGGCATGGAGGAAGCATGCGGCACATGCGGCGGGATGTGTTGGCCTGATGACATGGGCGGAGCCATCGTCGGAAATGTCTGCGACGTTGCGTCTGGACGCATAGCGGTAATACTCGGGAGTCGTGGAGGTGGCATAGTTGTAGATGGTGGTCCTGGGTGCCACATTGATGGTGAGCGGATGTACGAGGCCCAGGGCACGAGACCCTCCATAGCCATGCGCAAAAGATGTGTGCCGTCTGGATCATCGTGTGCCAAACTAATATGAGGTCCCAGTAAGACATGGCAATCAGGTGCAATCTGACACACGATGGATTCACCATCCCATCCCATGGGATACGCATTCATCATCGCTTCAGACACACCGCGTCGTAACAGGTTCGCCCGCCCTAGACGGTGGCGCTCCTCTTCCGATACAGGCAGCGATATAGTAGGACGTTGGCTAGGTGGCGGGCGAGCAAGTGGCTCAAGACGCGCGCGTTTCGCTGGAGGGGCATGTGATAATGAAGCGGGAATGTGACTGGTAGTCGAGTCAGTCACTGGCGCGGATGCTGATGTCGACGCACCGGACTCGTCATGGATGGAGGGACGAAAATGAGCTGGTCTTGCAGCCGCTGCTACTGCACTTGAATCACCAGCAGAATGCGACAATTCGGCCGCCGGGATGGCTGGCTCAAACTCGCACAGATGAAGAATGATGCGCCTGGGCGCGACGCATGCCTGCCGCTTGAGAACGGGTGTGCTCTGAGACTTGAGACTGCCCGCCACGTCGACAAAATAGTCAGGCTGTGAGGGTGCTGCAGGGTCAGTTTCTCCTGTCACGTCGCGGATTTTGACGTCCGCATGCGCATATTTGATGCGTTGGCGGAAGCAGCACACAGGGCAAAACCACTTGTCCTGCAAAGCAGTCGTATCTTGGATACACATGCATGCGCTGTGGAACCAATGTGAGCACCGATCACATTGCACCATAGTGCCATTGTCGGGAGCGCCACAGAAGCAGTACATGTCAGGAGGCAAGGAGGCCAGGCGAAGCTCTTCACGGAAGGTGAAGCGCGCACGTTTTGCCCGCTTCCGTGGCGGTGGCGCTCTAGCAGGTGCGCGAGGCTGTGCAGTAGCTGCGACTTCTTTCGTTTGAGACAAAGACATGGAGGAGGAGGAGGCTGAGCGCTTGCCCTTGAGCGAGGTCGAGCCAGAATGCATGCGAGGTGTGATGTGAAAGGCAGGTAAAAACACGTCTAGGACATTCGGTACGTGCTGATGGTGCTGCGGAGCTGAGTCACCCAGTAAAAGCACATCAATAGGGCATGCGAGTGCGCGACGTGCGATGTGACGCAGTTGAGGACTCGGTGGTGGCAAGTCGATAGCCTGACCCGTTTTGGCCGGCGCATCAATGAGAATCGACGGCAAGCGCCCTGCTTGGAACTGCATGGCGACTGCCACGCCAAATTCAACTGTGGCTCGCACTGCCGCTTGGAGCCGTACAAAGTTCACTGGCACAAACCGTAGCTGATCGCGCTGGTACTTCGCGTTCTGCAAAAGGGCCACCAGAGGAAGCTGCGAAATAGCACGTCGATTCGTGAGCCATGTGCGAAGCTGGGTGACATCGCAAAAGGCACAGCGCCAGCCGCGGGATGGCTTGGTTTTGCGATCCAGGCATCGCAAATGGTACACAGTACAGCACTGCGCGCATGCCACACTTGTTGTACGATCCGTCCGTGCCTCAAAGCAAAGGCATGGAGCTTCGACAGAGCGCGGTGCAGGATACGGTACCGGTGGATACGACAGGATAGGCGCGCACGTGGGTGCATCGCAAGCGCCACGATTGACCGCCTCTGCGTTCGCGGTGCGAATGGTGCGCTCGCAAAATTCCCGTACAGCCTCGATCGCATCCGGTCCCGAAAGTTGCAGAATGTGCGCAAGCTCAGCATTCCATTCATCATGCAATACAATAGCCGCCTCGATGGATGCGGCGTGTGGCAGTTCCACACGCGCCGCATGCGCGTCGGCGAGCACCTGCCGGGCCTCAGACAGATATGGCACATGATCCGGTACATCGCTCGTACGGAGTTGGGCGCTGGGGTGCGTGTGTTCATACACGGTGGTGATGGTGCTGTGCCATTGGGCCGCTTTGTGCTCAAGTGCATGGACACGAGCACGAATGTCTGACGACGTAGCGACATCAGCGGGTACGTTGAGCAAGTCATGCAAAGCCGCTTGGGAAACGACGGGCGATTGCTCGAGAAGTGCAAGGGCAGCACTGTCCCAAGCCATGCCGCGCTGCATCCGCTGCTCTAGAGTCAGACGCATAGGATGCGACGCACTTATGCCGCAGGCATTGGCCTCCTTTTCCAGCTCGGCAACTTCGTCGCGTGTCAGAAAGCCCGAGCCAATGTCCTGGACTTCCGAGAACCAGCGCACATGGGCAATCCAGCGGTGGAGAGCGGCCACTTCCGGAAGGTCGACATGCAAAAGCTCACCCTGCGCCAAGACGCGCTCCGCTTCATCAACGTAGGAGAGAGCATCGCGAGTCTCTGCATCACGATCAAGGTACGTGCTGGCCTGCGCGCAGAAAGCATGCATTTGATCAACGACTGCATTCAGCTGCTGCAGCTCAGGCGCATCGAACGGGAGTGAGACTGCGCGCTCGTGCAGTGCAAGGAGTTTCGCCGGCGAGCGGTCCACGGCTACTGTCGATTCAGATGACGCACAAGAAGAATCAGTGGAAGTGGAAGAGATACCTGGCCCCGCAGCCGACCCTGATCTACGCAAGGTAGACTCACCTCTTTTGGGCTCAACAGCTTTCGCACGGCGACCTCCTTGCTTGGCCTGGCGCTTCGATAAGAACACGCGCGCCTGCTCAATCCACGGCTCAGCGCGAGATAAAAATTGCTCCAGACACGCGTGCTCAGGAAGCCGAAGAGGAATTTTCTCGCCTTCCTGCGTAAGCATGCGCAAAGTACGCAAGGGCGGGCGTGGATGCTGTACTAGGAAGCGGCGTACACGTTGCTGCCAGGCCAGTGGTGCAGCAGCACGCTCAGCGAGCCGAGATGCGTGTGTTCGGAGAAAATCGTCCGAGTGGCGCACACGAAGCATCCATGTGGCGGGATGGCGGCCGTGGACCTGTTCAGCATGGGCAAGACACGCTGCCTTGGACGCGGCAGAATGTAGTGACACGACATGACTTAGGTAGCACAGTGTCTTGCAGTGCGCACAAGCGACTTCCACGTCCTGGTCAAACGGCTCTTCATCCACGTCCGGCCCAGCCGCACAGATTGACGAGCGAATCCGTGCACGGCCAGCCAGTTCACGTGACACCATATCATCAAACGCCGGATGCAACCATGCAGCCGTACTGAGCTGCTGGCTGTGCAACGCAATGGATACAAGGAGTTCATCGTGCGAGAATACAGGCTGCCTGGCGTGCTTCTGATACCGTCGTACGCATTCAAGGCCTTGCATTACCCAGTCTGGAAGCGCGAAATTCACAGCCTCATTCAGATTGAAACCGTGATTCAGTCCTGAATGATACGCCTTCGGATACGTCACGACAAACTCGTTCGGATGCTGGTTGCACGCATACATACGCACGCCTTCGCGCTTCGCAAGCTCAGGGCTCATCATTGTGACGAGCTGCAGCAGCAGGTCTGGACACGCGGCAAACAATTCCGGCGCGATCCGCTCCATTGCTGACTCAAACGCCTCGGCATGCGCCCCCGGCACACCGTACCAAGTCTTTGTCGCACCAAAATGCTGATAGTTGATCGAGTAGGTATAATGGTCTTCATTGTGCCAACAAAAAGCGGAGAACATCATGCCAATGTAGATCCATGGCGCCGTCATCCCGCTGATTTCCGAACGAATATACCGCAAGAGCGAGCCATGCAAGATTGGCAGATTGTTCAGGTTCCACCCGCTCCGCGCATAGGCATTGCGCGGATGCCCCTCCATTGTCGGCGACGCATGCCCATGCGTCGTCGAGTGTACGTCAGCGCCGTATTCGACGTCTACGAGCTCTTCCGCACTGTGTACGAGCCGCCAGAACTCCGCTTCCACACGGTCTTCGCGCTCAGAGAGCGATATGGAATCCCAGTCTGTCCACCCCGCTCGCGATGCCCACAATTGCTCAAATGCGTGGCATCGGCGCCAGAAACTGTACAAAGAATGTGTTTCGCCATCATCAAAGCCAAAGTCACCGCCTGTGCGCACCAGGCACGTCGGGCAGATCCAGTCGCCTCGCGGCACTTGACTAAGCGGTGGCGTCACACACTTCAAATGGTACGACTGTTCGCACTCAGCGCACGTTACAATAGGTTTCGCATGCCCCTTGCAAACGCTGCAATCACTGCACGCCGTCGTGCGCTCTTGTGTATTCGTTACGGTTGGCAGCGGGCCTTGCGATTTTGCATCGTCACCGTTTGCTTTGCTGAGTCGCAACTTCTCAATAAACGCTTCAAACGGTTCCACAAGGCGTGCATATGCCGACTGCAGCGCACTCACACATTTCGGTGTATTTTCCACATCGTAGCCGAGCCTCTGTGCCACGTCTGTCCACGAATCAGACCCACACACAGCAACAGCACGTTTAAGTGCATACAGATCAATAGGTCGATGACTTAGCTGAGGAATATGAACACGCCCGTGTCCCTGCTGGGCATGAAATTGCTCAAGCTGTTCGACGTAGTTCTGAGCGACACGCCCCTCTGCACTGAGTTCATTCAGTCGTTGTACCCGTGTGCGGAAGCGGAAGGTCGATTCGTCCACGCAAAAGTCCATATGCCAGCCAGACGGGGGCACAATCTTAGCAATTCCATACTCAGCACCATTGCCACCATCTGCGCGTGCTGTCCATTCGATGTATTTGAGTGGGTCTTGGAACTCATCCCATGTCGGGTAAAAGACAGGTGCATCTTCCAACTCGAAAAGACGTGGCTTTGTCCGAGCAGGCATGTGGCGTGGCGTTGTTGCGCCTGTAGGAATGGGTGGTGGCATGTGCTTATCGGCCATACCATGCACAGATGTGTCAAATTTTAACGATGGTGTGTATGTTATTCGACTTGCCTTATGAGTAGCACGTCGCAATGAATGAGGTGGCGCTGGTAATGCCACTGACATTGACGGCGATGAAGACTCGCCTTTCTTTGCCAGAGCATGGAGCGCCTGTGTTTTACTTCGCCGTGTGGCGGCATCAGCCACAGCTTGGGCCTCTAATGTATCCTCGTCGACACCATCGATAAATCGCCCCAAATCACGAGATGAGACAAGTTCAGGAACTCTGCGTATCGCTCGAGTAGATCCCGATTGTCGTGGCGAGAAGGCCTTCGCTGTTGTTGTGGACAACGATGAGGTATCGCTGCCCTCCTCTTTCAAACCTGCGTTCAAAGGCCCTTGCAAATTCGAACACACACGCCCATGATCAACGAGCGCGGGCATTTGGACCGTAAAGCTCGATAGAGTCAAGTGGGCTTGATAGCCAAATGCGCGGAACCCTGAATGTGTATGTGTGTTGGTGTCTGAGTGTACTGCGTGTGTGTATTCTTGCGAAGTACGACAAGTGGGGTAAGTCCGTTGGCTTGTGACCGAGTGAAAATTATCTTGCTAGGCTAAGCGGCACACGTATTTCTCTCTCTGTCTGGGAGCTCTAGATCTCTATTCGAAGCATTGTGGCAAACGCTTTGACCAGGTAGCACACCTATGCAAAAATATCTACTACAACATCTCTACAGTCTCAGATAAACACTGCATTATTTAGAACCATCCCAACATAATCACGGCCATCTGAGCCGAGTGCCATCATGCGCCCTGTACCATGGCTTCATCGCGCCTCTAACCCGTTGGAATTCAATGAAAACGTGAATCTCGAGTGGAGTGGAGCACAAATGCGCCATGGTTGGTCACGTGAAGGTGCACTCTCTTGTGCACACACGCACACATCCGAAGGGGACACGCGTCAGTCAATCCAGCATCCTTTGAGCCACTACGTCAATAGCGACATGGTATGTCTTAATCCCTCTTGCTTTCACCCCTAACATACGCAGGGACAAATACCCAGTGGTAACGCTGCTGGACGTGGACAAAAGAAAGATACGAACAAGGTACGTTTGATAGAGCATCCAAAGGATTCAGGAGATTAATCCAATCTTGCAGAAAAAAGAGCCGAAGAAATGGGAACCTCCTGTGCCTACACGCATTGGGAAGAAGAAAAAGAAGCACTCTGATTCAGCAGCAAAGCTACCGGCGGTTTATCCTACGACACGTTGTCGACTAAAACTCCTGAAAATGGAGCGTATTAAAGACCACTTGCTACTAGAAGAAGAGTTTGTTATGAACCAAGATCGACTCCGCCCGAAAGATGATCATGACGAAGAAGAACGTACACGCGTTGACGATTTGCGTGGTAGTCCCATGGCCGTTGGCACACTGGAAGAGATTATTGACGACGAACATGTCATCGTTAGCAGCTCAACCGGTCCTGAATATTATGTGAGTATCATGAGCTTTGTCGACAAAGATTTGCTGGAACCTGGATGCAGTGTCCTGCTTCATCACAAAACTATGGCTGTTGTCGGTGTGCTGTCCGAGGACACTGATCCAAGTGTGAACATAATGAAACTAGATAAAGCGCCGTCAGAGAGCTACGCAGACGTTGGCGGTCTCGAATCTCAGATCCAGGAAATCAAAGAGTCTGTCGAATTGCCGCTTACTCACCCGGAACTATATGAAGAGATGGGCATTCGACCGCCCAAAGGTGTCATTCTCTATGGTGTGCCTGGTACGGGTAAAACGCTTTTGGCCAAAGCTGTAGCCAATCAGACATCTGCGACGTTCCTTCGTGTCGTTGGCTCTGAACTGATCCAAAAATACCTTGGTGATGGTCCCAAGCTTGTTCGCGAGCTCTTCCGTGTCGCAGATGAGCACGCGCCCAGTATCGTGTTCATTGACGAAGTGGATGCCGTGGGTTCAAAGCGATATGACTCGTCATCTGGTGGCGAACGTGAAATTCAGCGCACGCTATTGGAACTCCTTAACCAGCTGGACGGTTTTGACTCTCGCCATGATGTTAAAGTGATTATGGCTACCAACAAGATCGAAAGCCTTGATCCAGCTTTAATCCGCCCTGGTCGTATTGACCGCAAAATCGAGTTTCCCTTGCCCGATCAGAAAACCAAGATGCAGATTTTCCGCTTGCATACTTCTCGTATGAACCTTGATCCTGACGTCAACTTGGAAGAATTTGTCGCAATGAAGGACGATTTGAGCGGTGCTGATATACGAAGTTTGGTACGTAATATTTTCCTTGCTTCCCCCTGCCCTTGGATTTCTATTTTTACATGTTCATGAATACTTGCTGACACATCTCTATAGACCACCGAGGCTGGTCTTCTAGCACTGCGTGAGCGCCGAATGCGCGTCACCAAGAAAGACTTCATCACTGCACGCGAGCGTGTGATAGACCGAAAGAATGAAGGCACGCCCGATGGTTTGTATCTATAGATGCACCTACTGGTCATAACATTGATGTTAGTCTTCATCTTTCGTCTCACGCCTGAGAAATAGATCAATCGCTCCGCTGAATGCTGCAAAGGCCATCGCACTGCTAAATGCTGTCATGGGACCAGTGTTCCTTGCGAGGATACCGCCTGCCAGGAAACCGCCCAAAACTGGATTCACCATATCGTTTTTGGCGCGATAGCTTTCGACACAGCACTCGATCCCTGAATACAATGCACCAACTTTTCCGAAGCCCTTGCCACTACTGTACATGCTGCGACCTGTCTGAATGAAAAATTCCTTTGTACTCTGCATCGATTGGGCTGGCAGTTGTGGTGGTGGCGGTGGCAAATCTTTGAAATAGCTACTACCAGGCAGCTTCGTGAGGAGTTTCTGTGTGGCCGTCTTCGGGGCGGCTTGTTGAAGCGGTGCATTGGAAGCATGGCCTAGATTACTTGCGATTCCGGTAGAGGATAGTGCGCTTTTCGGTGTATTTACACTTGCATTAGTAGAGGCAGTTGTGGCTTGAACAGTTGCATTGATTGATTTCGATCCATTCGCCAATATGCGAGCTTTTTTCGCCTCTTCTTCTTGTTGTAGTTTTTGCGCCTGTTCTGCAGCGGCTCTGTCAATCATTGTCTGGCGAAGAGGGTCGTCGATGGAAAAAGATGCGCTCATGAGGCTAAAGAATGCACCCAATCCGAATCCCAGGACACCAGATATAGCAGCCTTACCAACACATGATTCCATGGCCGATACCACATAGCCTTGGTATTTGAGTGTTTGTCTCAACTGCTCGCGGTGTTCTTCTGTAAGTCCAGGTGGCAAGGGCTCCTTTCCGGGAAGGTATATGGGTGCCACCATGGGCATTTTGTTTGCCATGGTCGGACACGTTCGATCCACGTAGGTTGATGCAGACGACCTCGTGTGTGGAAGATCAATGTCTTCAAAAATGGACCACATTTCTTCACATAGGTCCTCCACGTGACGATTGCAGGCACAATTTAATGGGGTGCACATTGGATAACGTGAAAGGCAGCACGGATATTACATGCCGTAATACAGAGAACGAAAACGACGAGGCATGTTCCGTTCGGGTACATGCAGTATAACACACAAGGTCTGAACGACGACGTTGTCATCGATCGCAACGGTCGCTACTCTTTCGTGAAATTAACTGATCTCTATACTTCGACCAAGACCTCAGAGGTAGCACTCAAATTAAAACTCATTGTTCCAATGCTTCAAATCATTTCCCAACCCTACGAAGAGATATATAGAGCCAAGTCACAAGACATGGACAACATCACGGTGCAAATCAAAAGGACAAACGCCTCACGACTAATCTTTACAAGAAAATCGCGAGCGAATTCATGTTCCCTCAAATGCATCAACATATATATGGATGATAATGAGTTCGCAGAGAAGAGATGTCGATCAATTAGATTAGGCAAGACACACGCTTTTCAATTTCATTGAAATCAGTAACCGCAGGAACGAAGACCTTAACATATCCATCCTGCTGTCATCGTAAACTTGTAGACGCTTACTCATCGTCGTCAACATCGAGACGAGTCTGGAACGAGTACACATCGTGGCCCTCTTCGTTGCCCTTCTCGTGAACAAGCGTAAGACGCTGGACATTTGCAAAGAAGTCCTCAAGTACCTCATTCTTGACCGAGCGGTTACGGCGACCAAGGTTGTCGAGGTATGGGATGCGGCACATCACATAGTACACGAGAGCGCACACCACCATAACACCGAACGAATATGCCCATACACGAACGATGGTCACCATGTCCGTCCAACCGCCGTGAGGGGCAGTGATAGAGTTGCGGTGCTCGGCACCTGACAGCCAACCGAATAGAGCGAAGATAGTGGCAAGGATATCAACAACCGCCACAGCGCCGACGAGCTGCCACGAGGGGAGCGTGATCTCTGACTCGCCGCCACCAAGACGAGTTACGAAAATAAGCCAGTTTTCGGTCAAAGCAACTTCAAGGTACAAGATTTCTTGGATGTTACCGAAGTTCTGGATAATACCACCGCCAGTCAGGAACATCGTAGCACGGCAAATCCAAGTACCACCGGCAAGAAGAAGACCAAGCACGACGGAAATAATCCAGATCTTTGGCAACTGCCATTCAACAGGCTCACGCGAAGCTGGAGCATTGTCGTAAGCAATGGCAATCGTAGCAACATCAGCGAACAAGGCAATGAACACAACCAGGTTGGCGCGGATCGACTCGTTCAAAATGATCATCGAGAGCAACAGGTACACCTCCAGATGGATACACAACGAGATACGGTACTGGATGTAGGCCTTCATACGGTGGAAGATCTGACGGGCCACCTTAATCGAAGTAATGATGGTCGAGAGACCCTCATCCAGGAAGACAACATCGGCAGCAGAGCGGGCAGCGTCCGATGCACCCTCGACAGCAATACCACAGTCAGCCTTCTTGAGAGACGGAGCGTCGTTCACACCATCACCAGTCATGGCCGTAAGGTGTCCACGGTGCTGGAGCATCTCGACGACCTGGTACTTGTGCTCAGGGAAGACCTCAGCGAAACCATCGGCAGCCTCAACGAAGTCGTGAATAGCTGAACCAGCCATACCACCCGAACCAATCAGGCGCTGCGAGTCGTACACCTTAGTTCCGAGCGCGAGCATGCGACAGGTCTCCTTCGCAATCGCAACGGCATCACCAGTGAGCATTTTAACCGACACACCAAGACTCTGGGCCTCAGCGATCGTAGCAGCAGTGTCAGAACGCGGGGGGTCGAACATAGGGAGCAAACCAAGCAGACGCCACTTGCCATCCTCCTGAATTGCAACACCAAGCGAACGGAAACCACGCGCGGCGAAGTCGCCAGCGACCTTACGGTACTGGGAAGCCTGTTCCTGAGGCGGGTTGCAGAGCTTCAAAATAGCGTTAGGGGCACCCTTGGCAGCAACGTAGTCCTTTCCATTCTTAGCGACTTCAGAAGTGATCCGCTTAGACACGGGGTCAAATGGCGTAAAGCGCTTGGTCGTCCATCCAGACTCGAGCTCCTCGACAGCAGCTGGGTAGTCCTTGAGCGTTGTAAGCGTCACCTTGTCGATCGGGTCAAGCGAGCGCACGTTGTGCGAAGAAGCAAGTGCAGCAACGGCCATCATGAAGCTAACATCAACACCCTCAGAAGTGAAAGGTTCATGAATCGAGAGCTTGTTGGCAGTGAGGGTACCAGTCTTGTCGGAGCAAAGCACGTCCACACCAGCAAGCGACTCAATAGCAGTAAGCTTTTGCACAATAGCCTCACGCTTCGCAAGATAGGCAGCACCGACAGCCATCGTCGTAGTGGTGACACACGGAAGACCGACAGGAACACCAATGATCAAGAAAATAAGAGTGTAGATGAGCAAGTTGTTGTCCGATGGGCGAGCAATCTCAATGTTGCGGAAGAAGCCAGCAAACCAGACGACAAGTACAAAGACAATGACGAGCACAAGAAGCGTAGTACCAATGAGGGTCATGACCTTCTGGAAGTGACCACCACCACCGCCTTGGGTAACAAGGGCAGCAGTGCGACCAACAAACGATTGCTTAGCAATGTCCGTGGCAAGCACATAGGCCTTTCCGCGCTTGCAACCAGTGGTGTAGAAGACCATGTCGCCAATGTGCTTGTCGACAGCAAGCGATTCACCAGTGATAGCTGACTGGTCACAAGCAATAATCGCGGGACCCTTGTCGACACCTGAATCATCGTCGTCATCGCCACCCTTCTCGTGCTTTGTCTCTTCCATACGCTGACGGATAGCTGTAGCCTGGGAGAGGTCCTTGTCTTCATAAGCAGCCAGCAGACGACCATCGCAAGGAACCGTCATACCGTCCTCAACAATCACAATGTCACCGGGGACGATTTCACGAGCCTCGATTTCGCGCTCCTGGCCGTCACGAACAACAGTCGACTTGAGTGCAATGCCGGCCTTGAGCTGAGCGACAATGTCACCAGCTTGCTTTTCCTGATACCAACCAACGAATGCGTTAAGCATAAGAATACCGCAAATAACACCAAGATCGATCCAATCACGCAAACCACCGGCAAGACCCACAGCCAGCTCCATCACGTACAGAATTGGACCACGGAAGAAACCGATGAACTTGAGCACGAGATTCTCATGCGGACTTTCGAGCTCGTTGTAGCCGAACATGGCACGGCGCTTAGGCACCTCGGACTCGCTCACACCCTGGAAGACATCGGTCTCGAGCCAAGCCTGAGGGACTTTCTGAGCAACGGTCTCCTCCTCGCCGTTCTTGTTAACGCGAACCTCGCGAACCTTCCACGGGCGCCACATGTCGCGCTTCTTAACGACTCGAATACCGGTATCCTCTTCTTCATCGTCACCGCCCGAACGCTTTTGAGAGCGGATGAAAGCGACAAGTGCTCCATACTCGTCTTCTGGAAGGTCATCGCCATCACCCTGGGGCTCAGCGGGGGCCTGTGCCTTTTCAGTTGGTTGCTGCTGGGCCTGTTCCTGCAGTGCACGCTGCTGAGCCTCCTGCTGAGCATTCACTTGAGCCTGGTACTCAGCATCCATCTCTGGCTGAGCGTAGTATTGCTGCGTTGGCTGCTCATAGTGCTGGCCATAAGCATTCTGGTCGTAGTGCATGACTGTCTCCCCAGCTTGAGTCTGGTAGTCATTACCCTGGTAATGAGCTGGGTTAGTCATAGGGTTTTCTTGAGTGAAAGCATGGTCCGCAGCCACAATTGGCGGCGGGAGCTCGGTTTGCCCGTAGTTGGACATGTCTTGATGATTTACCTTGATGTGACCAGACGCTCAAAGAAGATCCAGATATCCGACAACAAGCTTGAACGTGCTTGTACTTCTGTCCGAGGACACCGCAGGACCTGGGAACGTCAAGGGAGGTAAGGTAGAGAAGGTGTTGTAGATTCTCGCGCCTATTTCTGTTATATAGGACTTCCCGTTTGCTTATTCGAGTTTGTCACTTCTGCGCGAATGCCGCGCAGGGAACTTACTGACGGATGAATTCGGGTCCGTGTTGCGAACCTTTTCCGGCTGAGCTAGCGCATTTTGGTGCATGCTTAATCCGAACGGCCGACTGGATATCACGTCATGGATTGGCTGTCACTGGATATGCTGCCCTCTGATATCCACTGCGTGTGATATTTCACACCTGGGACTTTAATCATTTTCAATGATTGGCGAATGAATGACTAGAATTTTATGTTGTTGGATCGACGCATGTGGAAACTTAGCTGACATAATTCACTGATTTTCTACGCAGATGTGTGTTTTGATACGTTCCGCGCTTCTATTGGGTAGTTGTAGGAAATGTAATGTCTATGTTTTCATTCTTTTCATGCGAAAGCGGCGCCAAAATTACATGTTCGGTGAGTGGGTGATTGGATAGTGGAGTTCGTAGAATATAGCGAGCGATATGTGGTGTTAGGAACGCTGCCAGTCCGGTAGATCGACTGTGTACGTCGGCGTTGGCTCGATCCTCTGCGTGATTTTTCTCGTGTGACTCACATGACTTTTCACTGTGGCTGGAGTTGCTCACGTGCACTCTGGGCTATATAGGTTTCTGTTTTCTGGCTTGGTGTTATGAAGCAGGTGGACCGGTCCAATACTTTGTTTCGTCGACAACCGATGTTGCGGTTTAACTTGTGGTAGAGGGAGAGAGCAATTTGTCTGTTAGTGTAGAAATCGTAATTTGGATTGTTTTGGTTGTATTGATGTTCACATCAACTGGCTTATGCGCCTCTTAGCTTGTCGTTTCAAGAATGCTGTCTTTGCATGCTTCATTTCTGATCTAAGGTACAAATCATTCCCCCGTCTTTGCTGACGTGTCGGAGTTGAAGATGGAACTGACTTTTGGGAGCAGCGCCAGTTTTTTTGTGACCCGCAATCGTGGAAATGTGTTATCTTGAACCCTTAATACTCCAAATCATTATGCTCCCGTAAGGGTTGGTGCCTTCTGAGTCGTAAATCCATCGTATGAACTGACTGTATGGCAATGAATAAAGTTGGTGTGATACAGTGGTGGAAGCGTATTTGTTGTCCGTGTCAGGTCTGAGAAGTGAAGGTCTTGTGAATTCCCAATGTGAATCTCAATAGAGGCACATGTCCAGATGATGCATCTTGTTTGCTTGGAGTATGTGGTGGGCCGGACATATGCACGATTTTATTAGGCACTAAGTCAAAAGAGAGTTTGAGTTCAAGATAGAGCGACCCACCCCCGTCTTTGAGCGACTGGTCCACCTATACTCGCCGCAGACGCATAAGATGTCTTTAGGCTCACGAGCCATATGTATAGGTTAATGACAATCCCAGTTGATCATTACAAGCCCAATCCTTGTCATGTCATGATCATGGACCATGTGCTAGTATTTTTATTTATTGCTGATTCAGCTATGATACGTGCATTTCTTTGACCATCAGGGTATAGCTGGCGATCATGGTTCTTTGTCTAAGAAAGTTTTATGCCATACCCATTCCTTCTTCACCGCCTGCCATGGCCATGTTGGGAGCAGTAGGTCCACTTGCGCCTGATTGAGCTCCTCGCTTGGCAGAAACTACATCGTCGACGCGGAGCAGGAGAGATGCGGACTGGGGTTAACGTGTTGGAATAGTCATGCATACGTACTTCAATAGCTGTTTTAAGAATTTGGATCTTCACAGATGCACTCTCGTACAGTCCGTACTGTTTCATGTCCGCCACACGTCCTGTATTTCCGTCGACACCATATGAATACTCGCCATTCGCATGTCGCGCACGCAGCTGCGTCAATGTTTTAATCGTGTTTCCTCCACAGTTCTGAATAAGAGTTCGGGGAATCACTTCCATCGCATCTGCAACTGCGTGAACCGCTGCCACTTCAACGCCCTCTAATGACTGCCCAGCATATTGGGCGAGACCGACAGAAATAGCCATTTCCGTCGCTCCGCCGCCAGGAGCCAATAATGGATGAAAGACAATATTTCTTGCAACGGACATGGCATCAGCTAGGTTTCGGTCAATTTCATTTAGAATGTCCTTGGATGGCCCACGCAGCAGGATCGTGCATGCCTTGGGGTCTTGGCATTTTTCTAAGAACGTGAAATATCTGGAAGCAGGTTAGTTCAATTTTTCGAAATTTTTACGTACTCGTCACCGAGTTTCTCAACATGGAAGAGACCGCAGCGCGTTCCGACGTCAGTGTCGCGTAGGTCATCAACACGGTTCACAATTTGTGCACCAGTAGCACGAGCTATACGGTTGTTATCAGATTTTCGGACGCGACGGATGCAAGTCACATTCGCTTTAAGCAAAAAGTGCTGTGCTAAGTCCGATACTCCCTTTTCTGTGAAAACGAGATCTGGTTTAAATTCAAGAATCTTGTCACACATTTGTTTAACCTGCTGTTCTTCGATCTCAAGGATCTTGCTCCAATCTTCTTCGCGGGTAATTTCAATGTTCGTTTGTGATTCTCCCTTTTTGTATTCCAATGAGCAGTCCAATAGAATAATTCGTGGGCTCTCAATTCTCCTGCGCATTTTAGGGTGCGTGACATCTTTGTTGAGCATGACGCCATCGAGCACACAACTGTTCTCAATTTCCCCTCCCGGCACCTTTTCAACTCGTGCATATCGTTTTAAATCCACAGTAACCCCGGAAGATAGAGAATCGACTGAGCGTTGCACAGTTGGATCAATACTCGCAACAGTGCGGACGGCCTTGAGCGCAAGGCGGCACATGAGCTCGGACCAACGTGACACAAATTTGGTGCCGATCGAAGTTCTGATGATGGCAAGCATTTCATCGTCTTTTTCAATGTTCACAGGAATAGATATCGACTCAATAACTTGAAGTGCACGAGTCAGGGCTTTCTTGTACGCAGAAATGATCACAACGGGGTGCAAATTACGTTCGAGCAAAGGCATGGAGTACGCTAGCACTTCGCCCGCGAGAATAATTACACTAGTAGTGCCATCTCCAACCTCCTCGTCTTGTGCACGGCTTAGCTCAATCATACTCTTTGCGGCAGGATGAGCTACTTCGATCTCACGCAAGATCGCGTGCCCATCATTCGTGAGAAGAATGCCACCCATCGGATCCAAAATCATTTTGAGCATAGCCTTAGGACCAAGGCATGTTCGTATCACATCTGCAACAGTCTTGGCAGCTCCGATATTCGATGCCTGCGCCTTGCGTCCCGAATGACGTTCTGGGCCAGTATTCACCACGAACACTGGCTGCTGTGCGGACATGCTTCTGGCTACTGTGTGCCTTGAGGGGGATCAGCGGAGGTGACGCAACGTACCCTCTAACCCACGTGGTTAAAATCACGTGATTCATATGTATTGGTATGTACGTGATGATTCGGCTCGATCCATGGCTGCGCGTGGTTGGACAGGGAAGTATGTTCCGACATTCCAAAGCGCGGGCAATGTCGTGTCGCGCGTCTTAAATTTTGGATCGCGGCGAACGCGTTTCCTCTCTCCTTAGACGCTGCTCATCACCGTATCGGGTCATGGCGTTACGGGCTCTAAAGATTGGTAGAAAGAAGTCGGAGGGCCATCTGAGTCCAACGAACTCTGGAACGACGGCCGCAGATTCACCCAAAGGCCAACATGCCAAGTCGTCAGGGGGATCTGGTAAAGGTCTGCCAGATTTTAGTTTGACCAAAAATAAGAGTAAGAGCAAGTCGAAATTGACATCAACCGCTCACTACGAGACGACCTCCAGCAAGGGGAAGATGCCCGTGTCCTCCAACGCTGGTGAATCTGGCTCACTTCACGGTTCCACCAGCTCGTCCGACCTTAGAAAGCGGTTCCGTATGCCAAGTAACCTGTCTTTGAACAGCAAACGGAGTTTTGGGTTTGGTCGCTCGGCCAGCAGTGCAGACCCCTCGTCTAGCGTTGCCAGATCCTCTGCGGACAAGACGGTAAAGAGCGCGATATCAAATCCTACGCCGGGAACCCCGCCAGGTGTGCCATCTTCATCTTCAGTTGCGACGTCGCTAAGCCGTCAAAACTCGAGTGTGCCGGGGAGTCCTCTCTCAAATGAATCTGCTTCCATTAAAGACTTTATTCCTCAGACTCCTAAGGGAAAAAGTAAAGCATTTGAGACTGCACCTGCGACGCAACCCGTGGAAAGGAGCAGGTTTTTTGCGCCGGAGCATTTGCTCCGCAAAAAGTCATCGTCAGCGACGTTGCGATCTACGGCAACGTCGGGCAACCCGGGTGAGATTGTCACGTTTGCTAGTCATCGACCTCCACAGAGAGCTATTTCCACGCCAGCATCTCCCTCGCAAGCCCCTAACAATCTTTCCATGCTTCCTGGCACTTCGTTGAGCGGTCTTGCACCCTCGATTTCTGGTGCTGGTCTAAACTTGTCACTCGCTTCTTACAACTCGCCTAGCGTAAAATCGTCACACCCCTATTTGCCATCTCCATCTATGTCTGCAGGGTTGGGGACTCCGCAATCTGTACCTCCAGTGGACCGCTCAAATGGTGTTCCGGCATCCTCCAATGCTCTTTCGTATCTCATGAGCCATTCAGACTCGTCTCGCGGCGAAGTGTCTGATCTGTCGTCTACGACAGTCATCCAGCGTCCGTCAGAAGACGTTTCTATGCCTCGATCGGGCACGCAGCAATCATTAAGTGATACTGCTTCTATGTATGATGACTTTCAAAGCGTAGAAGGCACGTATGTTTCACATCCAACTTCGATGATGTTCGATGCCCTAGAGCATTTCGAAGCACCTGCAGATTCTGCGGCGCCGAAAGGCGAGAATGCGATTGATACTACGGAACCGCAGAATGTGAGTGGTGTTCCAGAGCGAGTTCCCCTCGGCCATCTCAAAGAGAGTTTACTTATCAATTCCGCCGGTCGTGCCCCTGAAGTTCAGGCCGATGAAATTAATGAAATCCCTGTAATCGTTCAAGCTGCCCAGGAATCTAGGGATCCGTTCAAACCGTCAGACAGTACTTCATTCAAGTTGAAGAAATACACGGGTCAAAATACTATGGGTAAGGCAACACTTTCTAGCAAGAACAGGGAGGGTCTGAATGCTCATTCATATGTGGATGAGGAAACTAATGTTGAGTTCAAGGATGCCACGAATATGTCTGAGCCCGAGTTCACGCAAACTATTTCACCAAGAATAAGCGAATCGTCGGCCTACACGGATGCACCGTTTCAAGATAGCGCGTCTCAAGCAACTCAGCCCCTGTCTGCGTCGGATCAGCCTGGTGATGGAGTTGTTTCAAAAGCTGAGACCACTACGTCAAAATCTGATGCGCAGTACAGGCCCGAGGCTGAGTCTATGTTTGGATTTGACAATGAGACGCGGTCAATAGATGACTACACCCCGTGCGGGAGCCAACGGGAGAGCTCGGAGTACTCATTAAAGACCTCAACCCCTACGGGCACGCATGGTAAGGTTTTAAGTCTGTCTCGCTATTACCCTTCGAACGTTTCGCCTTCAAAGGGTTCGAAGCGTGCCAAGCAAGCACCATCACCGACTGCAAATCCGTCCGAGCTGCTTGAGGAAATCATGTCAGACAGGACTTTGAATGCTGGATCGTCTGTTGCTAGCGGCAACAGACCACCTGTGCATTTGGTGGATGCTCTTCCACACTTGAGTACGCCAAGTGCGCTATTCAAGCCTACTGAGCCTTTGGCGTTGAAGAAATCAAATCAGTCCATCGCTCCAGATTCAGTATCGACGAAGACGGATTCTCCTGCACAGGAGCCTAGGAAGTCCGTAAGAACTGGCAAGCCTGTGGTTTTGGTGGACCCTGTGGTTCCTATCGACAGAGATACCGGGACCCCTGCTACTGAGAAGTCATTGCTGGCCAATATGCCTGTCTTGCCTAAGATCCCGCGCTCAATGTCACAAGACCAAATCAATCTCCCTGAGATTCTTCCGGTCCCTGTGGAACCGAGTTCGGCATCGTCGTTCGGCTCTGCGAAACAATTTTCGTCGTATCAATCCGTTCCGCTTGCACCAGTTGCACGGGATGTTTCACTTGTAGAGAAGCCCGTCACTCCTCTACCTGTCTCTGCGCCTCCAACGCCTATGAAGGAGCAACCTTTGCCCAACATTCCTGCCAATCATTATGGCTCATTCCCTCTGGCGCCAGTGGCCAGAGAACGAATTGTGAATGAGTTTCCGGATGGCGCGGATGGTATAACTGCTGCTGCACCTCATGCATATGACCTTGGCGTAAAGTCTGCTGCACCAGCCCCAGTCGGACTGCCTCGTTCTGTCTCATTGCCTTCTTTCTATCATGCAGATGCTTCGTTACCAGTGCCGCAGCCTCTAGAAAAGAATCGGCCAGATGCAGTGGAGAGTAACGACCTTAATCCTTTGGAATCTGTCGCAGAGGACCGTGATGAACTGTCAGAGATACCTCCCGAGAAGCCGTTGAAAATTCTGGGACCCCTCAAGGGGGCTGATTGGCGTGTTCCTTTGGCGAAGGGATCTGTTCAGCCCCCTCACGCTTTGAGCGAATCACCGAAGAAGGACGCTTCGCTTCCCGCGCCCATCTCTTTGACAACACCCGTATCAAATCATGCTCCCAGCTCTGAGAGTGTTTCGCATGAAGAGCATCCACAGGAATCACAGATGCCTCTTGAATCAAAGGAATCTGAACAAATGGATGCGGATGTGTCTAGAGATCGTTGTGACCCGCCGTTGGACCCTGAAGACTTCGTTGACGAGGCTCAAGTCGACACCATGGAACCTATTCCCGAGGCTTCCACAGAGACCCATGGATCGACAGAGTCAGAGGAAGCTGGACCTACAAGACCTGTGGCAGAAGGCTCCAAGTCTGAAGGCACTCTTCCATACGACGAAACTTCGCCAAAGCATGCCAAGAACGAGGCCTACACTGTACCTGTGAGGCGTTCTCAAGTCTCGACTGATTCTACGGGGCCCTCCGATCCTGTTGAATCTAGTGCAACCGGGTCACGTGTCACAGAGCCCATCGAGATCACGAAACCGACTGTGCCAATTGGTAATGGTCTAGCGGAAACCAACAGGGAAGATGACCCTGTGGAACCTTCGTTACCGGTCGACTCGCATCCCAATGTTCCTGTGAAACCGGAAGCTGTCGCACAAACGAAAGCGGAAGAGCATAGCATGCCCGAAGGTCAGCAAGCAACTGGACCACTCTCTCATGCTGCATCGGTGGATGCTAAGGTGACACATGAACCCGTTTATGGGAAGAATAGTAACCTAGCAGAATTTTTGTCGGAAGGCTCTGCCGACCCGGCGCAGACGCCTTGGGAGGGGTCTAGCGACTTGACTGGTCCAGTCAAGTCACTTGATTTGGCACCAAGGAACGCAGTTTCAGAAAATGATACTGTTGGTATCGCGGCCGATGATGCAGAAACCTTACAGCCCAGCCTAGATGGATCCACTGAGCTAATGCAGCCAACTTCTCAATTTGCACCAAGTCTTGATGCTCCTACTACCCGGGAAGACATCCCTACACATTCGGCGGCATCAGTCGAGCCAGAACCCGACATGCAGCCGCTTGACAAGAAATCTCATCTGTCTGCAGGCCATATTGCTCCTGCAAGAGACGCATCTGAACTGGGAGGCATGATGCCAAGCGAGTCAAGTTCTTGTGTTCTTCGTCCGCACTCGTTCCCTGGTCAGCCTGAACAAGGTCGTGTGCCTGTGGCGGGCTCTTTATCTGAAATACTACAACCTCCTGCTGCTGCTCTAGTTGAACCACCAAACTCAGGTGAGCCTCCGACACCCGAGTCTACGGATGCAGACACCAATCAACCTATGAGTCCTGCCGAACCAACGGCCGTGATGGAGACGCCTTCGTCGAGCGGGCAACTGGTCTCTAAAGACACGTCTGACGGGCCATTGGGTGACATTGACTCGTCAGCGCCAGTCCCTGCCACTGATTCGCAGGACGTTCAAGCTTTGCCTCCCACGCCCAAGCTACCTAAGGCGGAGGACTTGAGTGAGGGAGTTGCTTCGAAGTCAGAGGACGAACTGTGCGCCCCTGATTTTGAGGCGGTTGATGGGCACAAGCCGCTTCCGTCTGTACCGTTGGATGGCAATGATCTACCTCGATCTGCTTCACCCGGAAACGACCAGTTTGCTTTAGATGTGCTGAAACCTGACGAACCGGAATCTGCCTCTAAAGCCGATGACTCGATGCCAGGCGATCCTGGTGCGTTCTCGTCATCAGTAGGGTCTTCACGCCCATTATCACCAGATATGAATTCCAAGCGCTCTACTTCGGTTTCTCCGGCCGAGTTTGACGGAGATGCATCCGCAGAGCCCCCATCACTAGAGTCACAGGAGCAAAAGGAAGCGTCTAGCGCTATCGAATCTTTATCGGCTGTTGCTGGCGCTGCTGCTGATGCCGCGACAGGGGCAGCTGGAGCAGCCGCCGATGCAGCAACCGGTGCAGCCGGTGCCGCTGCTGGCATTGCGGCTGGCTCAATGCTTGCTGGTTTTTCGGCTATGCGCAAGCCAGCATTCATGGATAGCTTGGACGAAAAAGAGGATACCAAAGCTACTGACGAATTGTATGAAACTGATACAGATATGGAATCGACGTACTCTGCGACGCAAAGCACAGAGCCTGATCATTCTCACCAAATCAGACCAACCAAGGAGCCACTAGAGACTTCTGCATCATCTTTCGTTGGCGAACGAGATCCTGCCATGGAAGAATTTGGCCCGACTCCTAGTCATATGATGAAGGAGTCGGAAGAGTTCAACGATGATGAACAGCTCTCATCTGAACAAGAAGCTCAGAAGACATCAGAGGAGCCAAAGCATCGTAACACGTTTTTGCAGGCTGCGTCAGGTCTCTTTTCAGCCTCAGCCTTTGCATTTGCGAGATCTTCATGGGGTGGTGATTGGTCTTCGAGGGATTCTCCTAAGGATGAATCCTCTCCCTCGGATGAGCCTACTATCACTACTATTCCACAGCCCGAACAGACCACGTCGCTGGAATCTCGCTTGGAGCCGAAACCTGCGGCAGAGTCTGATTTGCTGCTCAAGTCTGACCAGCAATTGGCCTCGGATAAAGAAGACTTCCCGATGGAAGCGCAGCAGGATGCCGTTCCCAAGCTTGACGAGCAGGAGTCTGACCTATCGATTAAAAAGCGTACTGATGAGAATGTGCCAGAGCCAAGTTCGGAGTCGGCATTGCATGAGCCGAATGTGGAACTAGAGCCGGAATCGCAGCTTGCTTCGCAGCCGCCGTTGGCTGGTGCTGAGCATGATGCTGAATCGAAGCCACAGCCCGAGACTACGCTTTTCAAGTCTCCTGAGGAGCCTCTGGAGCGCGGCGCTGGATTCGGACCCGACGAGGCCGAGTTGCCGTCTCAGCGTGAAGCAGAGCAATTGCCGGAGATCACAACAGCCCCTGAGCCCCGTGTTAAGCATGAGTCTCAACCGAGCATTCTCGAATCTCAAGCTGGTCATGATGCTGGATTGCAGTCAGATTCAGCAGGAATTTCGGAGTCTGCAGATCAACCCAAGTTGCAGCCGAGCGTTGCGAAGACCCCAGGTGAAGAGTCAGTGCCGCATGTTTCTGATGCAGCATCTGTGCATGAGCCCGGGACTTCGCCTGTTATTTCGGGGGGCCATGTTGAAGGTGAGCGTGAGCCCAAGCCGGTATCGATTCCTTCGGATCAGATCTCCAAGTCTGAGCAACTGCCAGTTCTAGATGACGGTATTGCTCATGATTCCGATGTGGAGCACGAACGCAAGTCGGAAACGGTGTCTATGGAGCCACCGGTGAAGTCCAATGTAACTTCTGCGGTCCACGCTGAGCCAGAGCCCGAACTTCCGCAGCTACCGCCGAAGCCCGAGGCTGTGTTGATGCCTGATTCAAATTCCTCTGTCCATGTCGCGACAACCCCTAACTTCGTTCCTGAGCGAGGTGACTCATCAGTTGACGCAAAGTCTGACCGTATGTCTGGTATCAAGCATGTGCTTTCGTCGCATGAGACCGCGGCGACCCCTGCGATGGCCCAGGAACTAGAGTCAGTTCCCGCACCTGAGGCACCCGATACAGAGAAACTGGCGCTATCGTCGAAAGAGTCAGAGTCCGTTGAGTCAGCTCGTATGACTCCGATGTCGTCAGAGCCGACGATAGTATCGGAAAGAGAGACTCGTGCTCCTTTGGTTTCGCAACCAGAAGTAATCACTGTGCCATATCCAAAGGACATGTCGTCACAGAAGTTTGAAAGGCACACACCACTAGAGGTACCCACGTCACATGCAGACGCAGACCACCACGCACCTGTCAAGCCGATCATGGCACAAACGGCCGCCTCGCCGGAACTTCCGCATAAACCCATGTTCATGGGTTTGTATCCACAAGGCACCCTGCCATGGGCCGTGGGAACTGTGCCATTGCCTCATCATGCCGAAGTGCAAAGCCCACACACACAATCTCGCTTGTCTTCGTCTATGGCTGATGTCGATGACGCCTTGCCACCGAAGCCACCTGTTCTTGAGGAGAGTCCGTCGTCGATAACCAACTTGCGCCCTGAACACACTGTGCAAGGTATGCAACAGCCAGTCAGCTCTGATCCACCAGCGCATCCCCATGACAAAGGTCAAGATGTTCGATCAACACCAAAAGACTTGCCCACGGACCCAGCTCTGCCATGGCACATGCCAGCACAGGCTAAGATGGCATCGGAGCCTAGTCATATCGCTCCTTTGGAATCGTCTCTAGCTCTTAATCATGCTCTGGGCAACCAAGTATCTCCTGTGCCCGTTCAGGAGTCTTCATTGTCAACTGAGCATATGCCACGTCAGGTTGCAACTGATAATGCACAACAACGTGAAATGGGTCCCGCTCTATCGACGCGCATGGACACGTACGAGCGCAGCTCTTCTCCGTTGGTTTCTGCGCCCAAACCTGTTGCAGCGTCTATCCCTGATAATGTCGTGCCACCAAATGTCCTAGAAAAGCAACCCAGTGAAGCCATGCCCGCAATGCAAGGCCGTTCAAATCTTCATGACTTGGCTGACCAGGAGCCATCTCGTCGCTATTCGGTCGAATCTCAGTATGAGTCCGAAGTGCATGATGGAGGCTTCGAACCTCGGTTCCTTGATACTGTCCCAGAAGAGCGCGCTGAAATGTCTACGGAGGAGGACATGCCTCGCGGAGGCGCACATGCTGAGGCTCCAGCTATTTCTACTCGTGCTACACCGGCGAAATCCGGCAAACAACCGACCATTTCGACGGCACGCACACCTCTCCAGGGCACTGGAAAGTACGATCCTTACCAATTGAAAGGCTTTATTCGGGCGATGAGCGCCGATAACTACGAACATGCCATGCGTCGTGCTTTTAGGATGGGCGTGCCATTGGCTGAAATCCCTGCCAGTTCGCCGGAGTCCTCCACCGAGCCAGCTGAGAGCGGGAAGAGGCCTAGCGAGCTTTTCGCCGGCAAGGGTGTGCGATGGGATTCGCCTGACTGGTTACGATCACAACTCCGCAAGAATATCGAAGCCCCGTCACAGGCCGAGTTCCATGCCTTTTTGAAGAGCCGTCGGCAAATTATTCCAGCCTTTGTATGGCGTGATGCGGCACAAGAGCTCAAGCTGCCAAAGGAAAAGTATGTGCCTTTGACGCCTTCGCCATCAGCCAAAACAGCTGCTCGTGACTCCATGTCGGACCGCACGTCTCATACATCGCAGCCGAGCATCTTCGAAGATGCAAGCACATTTGAGCCATTGATCCCTGATGTTCCGCCTGACCTTGTTTCGTCGGAAGATACAAATGCACCGAAAGTACCTGAATCGCACCAAGCGCGTACTGAACAAGAAGCGCCTGTCACTACTAAGCAGACACTAGAAGAAGCTGCTGACATTGTTCCGAAGAAAAAGCCGTCCGCAACTGATTTAGGTGTGGGTTCGCTGATGTCTATGAACTCGTTGCTCTCGGATTCAGACCCTATCGATACGAGTCTGCTAAGCATGGATCAACTGGAGAAGTCATACCAGGGCAGAGTCCGCTCTCAGGCTCCCAAGACGCCTGTCGTCGTCCCGTCAATTGCATCGAACAATCCAGGGTTAACGCAAACTTCTGCGTCAACTGAGCCTGGACCCAGTTCGTCGTCATCGTCGTCAGCGTTGCCAGGCCTGCCAGGCCTTGCGCCTGTCGTTTCGCCGACATCAGCCACTATTGCTCCTGTTTTGACGTCGCCTGGTGGACCGTCTCCGGCAACGACGTCACCTGGTTATGTTCCAGTTCCAGCGTCAACGTCAGTGTCAGCGTTGTCCTCAGTGTACGCGCCAAAACACACTCAAGCGCTCAGCCCCATGGGGTCATATGCTCCTACTCCCTATGCGTCTCTGGACGCCGCTAATCACTCAGCTACTCAAGACCGTGGTGTTAAACCAGTGCCTGCCCCGACCTCAGTGCCCCTCAGCGAGAGCAGAGCGTCAGAGTTTTTGCCATACGCGGATGCAATGGCGGCCGGCACTCCGCAGCTGCAGGAGTCGGAGCCAGATATTCCACCCATGGTGCCACCGAAGTCAGACAAGCCATGGAAGAAGCATACTAAGCCAAGCAAGTTACCGTCTTCGTCTGAGAGTTCACAGCAAGACTCTAATATGGAAGCATTTTCGCATCGACCTACTCGCGATGATGTTCATTCGCATGTTGCTGATAGGCCCTACACAAGCAATGAACAAACCAGCATGATGCACCCTGAACATCAAGAGCTTGGCCTTTCGCTGTAGTACAAGAGCCAAGCTGTTCCCCATCATTGGTTGTCAAGTCCACAGCAACAAGTTCAGCAACCGTATTCTCGAGCCCCGAACGAACAGCCCGAGTACGGGCAACCTAAAGTGGAGCCGGCTCAATACGAACAGCTATCATACGGACGGCCTCAAATTGATCAAGCTCAGTACGAGCAGACGCAGTACAGGCAACCAGCAGGGCTAGAAACATCGTACGAACAGCCACAGGTCGAGGAAACTCAGCACGAACAGACTCAGTACAGGCAACCAGCAGGCCTGGAAACACCGTACGAACAGCCCCACGTCGAGCAGATACAATACGAGCAGCCACAGTATGGTCTGTCCCAAATCGAACAAGCTCAGTATGGGCAGCCTCAATTTGGTCAATTAGAGGGCATGGAAACTCCATTTGATCAGCTCCAGTACAGGCAACCTGAGGCTGCGCAAGCTCAGTACGAGCAGCCCCAATATGAGCAGGCACAGTACAATGGGCCTGAGTATGAGCAGTCACAATTCAAGCGCCCTGAAAACGTGCAAGTTCCGTACGAACAACCCCAGTTCGAACAGCCCCATCACAGGCTTCATCAAATGGCCCAAGTTCCGTATGATGCGCCCGAATATGAACGGTCTCAGTACAGTCGACCTCGAGTTGAGCAGGCTCAATACGCACAGCCACAATTCCGGCAACCTCTCATTGAGCAACGTCAGATCGATCAACTCCAATACAGTCAGCCCGCGTACGGTGATCGTCCCCAGGCACCGCCAAGTCAACCTGACTTTGTTTATGAACCTGCCCCCCAACAAAGGAATGGTATGTCTTCAGATGTTCCATATGCATACCCGTCGCAATATCCCTCTGCGTCGAAGGACCAGGGTATGAGAACACCGCAACGTGCGGGACCGTCCCTGATGCATAGTCCGCGCATGGCGCCAATGCCTGACGAGCAAATGTATACGATGGGCCGACAAAATATGGTCCAACCGATGTATCCCGAGGATAGATTTGCCGCCTATGGTCGTTCTGACCTGACCCTGAAGATGGACCATCCTCCTTCTCAACCGGAGTTTGGCGGCGTTCCAACGCAACAACCACCTCTGTCGCCTCAGCTCTTGCCTGGCCATGTGTACCCGCATGATGCCTACGCTCAAAGCGCGGCGCGTGGCCATGCGCCTGTCGCCCATGCTCATCCGACAGGGTACTCATCTCCCTACGCGAAGCATGCATATCCAGACTTCCGTGGTGCCCAGCCTCCGCGCAGAGCTGAAGTTCCTGGACCCTTTGCTCCTCAGCCGCAGGTTTATGATTCTTATGGCGAGCCTACGCCAAAGGCTATGGGATCTGGGTATGACCAGTCATTTATGCCACCATCCGATCCGCGGATGTATCAAAGCCCTGTGCGGTCTCCGCTGAATATGATGCAGCCCCATCCATTCATGCAAACGGCTACGCCGCCACGAATTCAGACTAGGCCCACATCACCGTCGAGGCAACCTTCTTACGGTCCCATGTACATGATGGAACCTAATCAGCCTCAAGGTATGCATGAGTTACCGTACGGCATGCCGTATGATCCACAAGAGCCAGTGTATGCACCTGAAAACTCACGGTATGCATACCCACCGGGTATGCATTCTCGTTATGAGCAGCCATCGGCCGATTACAGTGCATACTCGGCGCCGCAGCACCCACTTCCGCATCCACATCCACATTTTGCTATGCCCAACCAATCCATGTCATCATCATGGGAGCCGCCGCAATCGTCGGCAGCATCCATTTCCTCGCTACAAAGGATGCCGGGCAACGGTCTGATCGGCACGCCCCGCGGTAAAAGTGGCCTGCCACATCCGCATCAGTATGAATCTGGGTCAGCATATCCGTCGTCGTCGACGTCAGCGTTGTACTCGCCAAGGCCACTTGATCCTGACTTGCCTCCTGAGATTCCTTCGTTCATTTCAGCAACGCCCCAAAAGTTGGGCACTTCTCGTCCATTGGATCAGTCAACGCCACAGTCCCCCTCTTCGCTGCCTGGCGATGTGTTTGGCGGCAGACGTCGGAAGCATAAGAATAAAGGAGCCTCTAGCAGCCGCTCTGGTTGGGCAGCCTTGTTCCAAAATGATCCCTTGTCTGCCGTTCAATGAGGTGTAATGAAAAGCCGTAGTATCGAATCACGTGTGTGCAAAGGACAGTAGAGATCGTCTTTCAATTGTCTCTCCTTGGTGGAGGTGGGCAATTGACAACCGAGTAACGCGCGTTGAAACCAGTAGTTGAATCTTGCAGTGTCACACGCCCTTGAGTTTGTCTGGGGGATGCGTCCGTACAGGACTAGAGCGGCAAAAGCACCCCGCATCGTATACAAAGACTATTCTGATGATGACGACGAGAAAGACGCGGCTAGCGCGAGTTCGGAGGAAGATGAGTCTGATTTTAAAGACTCTGGCGCAAGTTCGAGCTCGAGCTTAAGCGATGTTGACCGGCACGAGCGAGCTATCTTCGCCATAAAGGATTCAGATTTAGGGGATAAGCAAGATGCCAATTTTTTTACTGATCCGAAGCGCATGGGCGTGAAGCAAGAAGATGTGCCCGCGCTTGGTCTATTGAGCTCTGACCACGACGATTGTCCCAAGCGGCGGTCGAAGATGATTCAAGATTCGCAGTCGTCGCATCTCAGAACTGATGACAGTACGAGAATGCTAGATCAATGCTCACATAATGTGCCTGCGAAGCGTGCACAGGCCGCCTCTGACACAGACAGCGACACGCCACTTGCCCAGCTTGTTTGCCACAAAAAACAAGAAAAGCCTAAACTCACTCGCGTACGTATCTTTCTGTCTTTGCACTTACGCAGTTTCAACGGTCTCTTGCTCAATTAAACCGCATGCATCCCGAGCTTATCGCTGTTTGGGATACTCTTCAGACACTGCGGCGCGACAAGACAAAGCAGGCACCGCGTGCTGAGCAGCCCGAGGGAGTCTCTATCTCGCTTCTTCCTTTTCAACTTGAGGGTTTGTATTGGCTGCAGCACCAGGAGGAGGGAGTATGGCGTGGCGGACTTTTGGCAGACGAAATGGGCATGGGAAAGACGATCCAGATGATCAGCCTTCTTGTTGCTGATCCAAAGCGGCCAAGTCTCGTCGTTGCTCCGACGGTAGCTATTCTCCAGTGGCGTAACGAAATGCAGAAGTACGCTCCCGGTCTTCGTGTTGTGGTTTGGCATGGGGCACAGCGATCCAGAGACAGAGACACCCTCAGTACTGTGGACGTAGTTCTGACTTCGTACGCTGTTCTGGAAAGCACATTTCGTCGTGACCGCTATGGTGTCACGCGCAATGGCCGACATGTGCGTGAGCAAAGCTTGTTGCATGCAATGAAATGGCGACGAATTATTCTTGATGAAGCGCATCACATCAAAGAGCGCACTTCCAACACGGCACGCAGCGCCTTTGCACTACAGAGCGACTTTAAATGGTGCCTAAGTGGTACGCCACTTCAAAACCGCGTTGGCGAACTGTATACAATGGTTCGCTTTTTGGGTGGTGATCCGTTCGCTTTTTACTACTGTCGGCAATGCTCGTGCAAGTCGGCATCGTGGGAGTTTCATAATAATAGCTACTGTGTCCACTGTGGCCACAAACCAATGGTTCACTTGAGTTTCTGGAACTTTATGATTCTTCGTCCTATTCAGCGAGATGGAACTGAAGAAGGCGAAGGCGAGGAGGCGTTCGCTAGGCTTCGTCTCCTGCTTGATTGTATCATGCTTCGCCGCACGAAGCTGGAGCGAGCAGATGACATGGGGCTGCCGCCGCGCACAATCGAAGTGCGTCGTGACTACTTCAGTCCTGAAGAAGAGGACCTGTATCGTAGCCTGTACTCTTCGACGACGCGCAAGTTTAGCACATTTCTTGATCAAGGCACTGTACTGAACAATTACAGCAACATTTTTACTCTTCTAACGCGCATGCGTCAGATGTCAAATCACCCGGACCTAGTCCTTCGTTCGGCAACGCGGTCGAATGTGGATTTGCTCGGCGACGTTGATCAGGTCAATGTATGCAAGCTGTGCTTGGAGGAAGCAGAGGATGCCATTCTATCCCAATGCCGCCATGTGTTTTGTCGGGCATGTATGCAGCAGTATCTTAATAGCTTTGAGGGTGATCAAGACCCAAGCTTCAGGCGTGACACCCAAGATGAGCCAGACTGCCCATACTGCCATGCTGTTTTGTCCGTGGATCTCGATGCACCGGCTCTTGAGCCGCCACAGCCATTGGCCGTACATGGTGATCCGAAGCGCCAAGGCATTCTGTCGCGATTGGATCTTGCTAATTGGCATTCCAGTACCAAAATTGAGGCTTTGGTGGAAGAGCTCACACACCTTCGAGAACAGCCGGACCGAACGATCAAAAGTCTCGTGTTCAGTCAGTTTGTTAACTTCCTGGACCTCATAGCTTTTCGGCTTCAGCGTGCAGGATTCCGAATTTGCCGTCTTGAGGGAAATATGACCCCCGATGCTCGTGACCGGACGATCCGTCTTTTTATGGAAAATCCAGGGATCACGGTGTTTCTTGTCTCGCTTAAGGCTGGCGGTGTTGCACTGAACCTCACAGAAGCATCTCGCGTGTACCTTATGGATCCATGGTGGAACCCTGCTGTCGAAGTGCAGGCCATGGACCGGATTCATCGACTAGGACAGCATCGACCGATTGTGGTGAAGCGCATGATCATTGAGAACAGCATTGAAAGTCGTATTATTGAGTTGCAAAACAAAAAAAGTACGTTGGACTCATTACAATGGATTCGCGTATTTCTAACTGTACAGGTGCTATGGTTGATGCAGCTCTTGGGAATGACGACTCTGCGATGGGCCGTCTCAGTGTCGATGATCTGCGTTTCTTGTTTACCATGTGAGTTCTGGGGCCCAATGGATGGGTCGTTGTAAATAGTAGGGAGGTCCTTGTCCGGCGACGGCACGGAGCACGATCCATAATGCCATGCTATCTGCACGGATAAAACTCGAGTACAAAAAAGCGCCAGCTTGCCGGATTGTTGGAGGCTGCCGTGCATCAAGGGTATCAATTAGCACGGGATGTGTGGCCATATCCCAAAGTGCGGCACTTTCGGTCCTTTCTCCCAAACTCGTGATTACGCTCGTAAGGGCCTCAACAATGGCACGCACTATGCGTCCGTTCGTCGCATGCTCATCGTAGAGCCCGATCCGTGTGGCATGCTGTTCCCTTTGGGCGGCGGCAGGCGTATTGTTGGGCAGCAGAGCTGCATACGAAATACGTGCGTGCTTTGGTTTGCCAATGCCTCGTTGATCGTGCAGCATGGTGTTCCAACGGGGCCACACATCTTTGAGAATGCGCCGACCGAAACCATCAGATGCACATTGACCCACGGCTGACACGAGCATAGTGGCATGAATCCATACGTTCAGATCGTTCTCTGACTGGAGCCCGGCACTTGAAAAGCTTGTGCCTAATCGTGTAAGGATCAATGGCCATGCCCGGTCCAAGACGGGATACAGCTCTGCTGTACGATTCTGCGGTGCTAATGTTTTAACGCCATCGCGAAGCATATCCAAAGCTCGCACACGGAGATGAGCGTCCACGTGACTAAGGAATGGTACACACCGGGCGAGAATGTCGGACACAACAGTTTGAAGACGGTCAGGTGGTGGATTCGGGTCCTCGTTCGTATTTTGGTCCGGGACTTTCGTGTTCGCTGGCGCTTCTGCTAAGTCATTAGCTGTAGACGTTGATCTCTGAATCCAAAGTCGGAACTCTTCGATCGCATCTGACGATCTCGGAGCAGGTGTGGGGTTCATAGACTGCACGGGCGCCATGACTGCGACGAGGCGTGCAAGGACAGCGAGAAGGCCATCACAGACATCTTCGTGTCCATGAAACTGATCTAGCGCCGTCAGCACTTCTTCCACAGCATCCTCGACCCATGGAAGTGCCTCGATGCCAAGCATTTCGATGATCTGGACCAATACCCATGGTGCTGCGCGTGCACTCATGAGACCCGTTGTAGGAGCGGGCTCGATCGAGTCAATCGTGACACCAGCATATAGCTCTGTGCGTAGTCCTGAGACAAGTCGATGACTCGCTGCTCCCAAGACATAATCCGTGTGATGAAGCACACAACTCCGTACGTCCGGATAGGCACAAGCGTCTGCCATACACTCCAATGCGTACTGGGCAGCACGTCGAACCAATTCGCTGCGTCGTCCTAAAGCGCCGAGAACAGGGTATAGGATATGCAGAAGGAGCGGACGGCATGACACACCAAGAAGCGACACTGCTGAAGCCAGAACACATAGGCTAATAGCATCACAGTGATCGCGGATCTTGAGGTATCTTTCACGCGCGCGCTCTATTCTCAACTTTTCAGGAGCTGCTCGCTGAGTCATACCAGACTCGATGCGCGCGCTCTCGACAAAAGAGACGTCCAGTGCAGGGCCGGTCTTAACAGGCAATGCGGGCTCTCCATGCATAGGCATGCCGCGAAGCAATTCAGTGTCTTGTGTTGGGCTAGCAGACATAATACTGTTGAGCTTGTTCCGAGCGCTGTTCGAAATCATTCGGTTCTTCCAACTCGGCTTGCCAAGCATGTTGGATACTCTGTACAACACGTCGTGCGAATGCATGTACAGCTTTCCGGATAGCGCGTCCTTGCGGCAGAGCCATCCAAACTTCCGTGTCACGCGCCGAGAAAAGACCACTCATTCCTAGCATCATTTCGTTCATCGCGAATAAGAGAGCGCGTGCTCGCGCAATGTCTGTGAGGCGGCAAAGCCGGGCAGATTCCATCATATAAAGGGGAAGGGCAAATACATCTTGGTATCGAACTGTCGATCCCTTTTGTACGGCATACTGCAGGAATATGGCTGTCGCTTGGCCCCATTCCGACCACATAAGGGCAAGTGCATCCATTGTGCTGGGCTCCAGGTCGGCAAGAACAAGCGATACATGTGGAACTGAGTCATCTGCGATCAATTCCAACGCATCGCTGGACATACTTAACGCACGTGCTAGAGGATCGATCCAGCGTTCGAACTGAGCGTCAGACGAAGCGAGTCGCAAAAACGCCGAATTTATTGACTGAAACTGCACGTCGCGCAGCTCTCGTGACAAAACTGACACACATACGGCAACTCTGTCTGCATGCATCCTCACAAAGGTATCATGTACTCGAGTAATAGAGCCAGACAAAGAAGATAGTGCGATATCTAACACACGGTCTAGGACAGAAAGCACAATACTCCCCGTGTCTTGCACAGCATGTCTCGCACATTCAACGACTGTCTTAGCGTTGGAAGGATGTGCAAGATCAAGCAGACAGCACGTCAAAGCCTCGCAAGGATCCATCTCAGTGTCCTGCCTTGCCCACTCGAGAGTTTCATGCATACGTAGCAGGAGCAGATGTGCCGACCGTGCGAGCGCGAGTTGGACAGGTGCATCGTCACGCTCATGTAAAGAAGTGAGAGCTTGAATGACTAGTAAAAGAGGCGGCATCGTCTGTTCAAACCAAGGCAGTTCAAGAGCATCATCTCTTACAGACGTGGCCGGCGTGCTTGGATCGCTCTGATCACTTATGGTGTCTGAATCGCGTTCCGAGTCCGTGTTGCTAGGCTGCATGCCCCAATCAAGACTCGCAAAGTCCTCCAACTTGGATGGCAGATTATATGTAGGTGGTGCTGGACGATACGCGGCTGTGAGCGAGTCATCCAGACACATGACAAGCATCGCTGATAACATGTCGATGGCGCGAGCAACAATCGGTGCGTGTGTTCTATTACTTGTGACCACTTTGACGAGAGAACTAGCAACACCAGGCAAAAAAGGACGCAGCCGTTCACTGCAAGCACTGAAATCTGCATCCACATTCTGTATTCGCAATGCAGAAAGGTTGAGTTGGGCGGCGTCGTCTAACAAACCAGTGCAACCGCCCATCCAAGTTATGGTTGTAATGCAAGCTAAATCCAAAGCGAGTAGCCGCAGATTATCGGTTGCGCTTGTATCACGGGCCGTATCCAGAGCGAGCTTTAGAATGTGTGCCAGAGCGCCGGAGCAAGCGCGACTCTCGCGTGCAGCTGCGACTTGTTGTATTGAAGGGTAGAGTTGTCTAGGCCCGTCCATGTCATCTAGTGAGGGTAAGTCTGACGTCCCGTCCCACTCCCACGCAGCACTTTGGAAACAAGAAGGCAAAGATGGGATCGACGTGCGCGGCTCAAGCATACGAGAGAGAAATTGCATGATCATGTAGCGAGTTTCATCGCTATTTCTCACCGGTGCAGAAGCCGGTCCACCACTTAATGTCATAATGCCCAGAAATAATAACTGCTCCCACACTCTCCAATCTGGCGCATTCGTTATGCTTCTAGGTGTTGTTGTTGGGACTGCACTATTATGCGCACATACATGCTCCCACGTCCATGCGCGCCACCAGTCACGGGCGAGTTGGTGTAATACGGAGAAGATGAGAGAACGAACTTTGTCTGGAAAAGAAAAAAGACTTGATTCATGTGTGCGCAAAAGCTCCGATATGGGATAGAATACATAGTGAATCAGTGCTGGCGAAAGGGTCGTACATGTCGAAAGGCAAGCATGCAATTCAGCCAGGGCGGGCGGAATAGCTGGATCGTTTGGCGGCAATACTGACAAGCGCAAGAGACGAACGCATATGGGTCGGAGTTTGGAAAACGATGTAGCACTGGGCGCGTCGCTACATGATACGCCTGTCGCTGTCGCCATTGACGCTCCCAACAAGAATGTGCGTGCAACGGCTGTCTCGCACTCTGCCAGGGCTGCGACGCGCTGGAACACGTGGCTCCACGTGGGACTCTTCGCGATTCTCCCGTCGCGTGAGCGACGGCATGACACTAACGACAAGTGCCATGTCAAACGTCGAGATCGCTGAAGATGAGGCGTCGGCCAACATGGCCATGATATCGAATGAGGTATGTGGATGCATCACCTGCTGACATGTAGGAATACAAAAGTACGTGAAAAACGGTAGAAGGAGCATGGGTTCTCACATATTCAGTTTGGAAAAAAAATTCCCCATTCCTCTATGATATGGTCATTACGCACGCACTCGAATGGCCCACGTTAACGATGCAGTGGATGCCTGACAAGGAAGTGTTTGCTGAGAAAGGGTTTACGCGGCATCGTTTACTGCTGGGAACGCATACATCAGGTCAAGATAACAACTACTTGCAGATTGCAACGGTGAATTTACCCAACACAGATAACAGTACGCTGGACGTAAAAGATTACGATGAAGAAAAAGGAGGTATGTACGGAGTTCCGTTCGCATGGTCTCACATGATAGAAATCGGCTCGTATTCATCTGCATCGACTCGTGTTCAGGTGACGCAGCGTATTAATCATGAAGGCGAGGTGAACCGCGCACGATATTGCCCGCAAAATTGTGATCTGATCGCTACGCGTGCCGTGAATGGACTTACCTACGTATTTGATCGCACAAAGCACAGCAATCAGCCAGACAGCGATGGCAAGTGCCGTCCAGACATTGTACTGCAGGGTCAGACACGAGAGGGGTATGGGCTCTCATGGAACCCTATCCGACAAGGACATATTTTGTGTGCGTCTGAGGATACGACAGTCTGTCATTGGGATCTAAATGCGTATCAAAAAGAAAGCAAGAATTTGAATCCTGTGCGCACGTATCATGGTCATTCAGCTATTGTGGAAGACGTGGCTTGGCACAACCACCACGAACATTTATTTGCTTCTGTGGGCGATGACCGACAAATGTTACTCTGGGATACGCGTGACTCGAATGAGGTGCCAAAGTACCGCGTTGAAGCACATACTGGGGAAGTAAATGCGGTTTCCTTCAGTCCTGCAAGCGAATACATCGTGGCGACGGGTTCGGGCGACAAGACTGTCGGCCTATGGGACTTGAGAAACCTCAGCACCCACCTGCACTCGCTAGAAGCTCACAATGAAGAAATCTTACAGATTGCGTGGTCCCCACATCATGAGACAGTTCTGTGCTCGGCATCAGCCGACCGACGCGTAAATGTTTGGGATCTGAGCCGTATTGGGGAGGAGCAGACCGCCGAAGATGCTGAGGATGGTCCGTCTGAGTTATTGTTTGTGCATGGAGGACATATTAGCCGCCCGACCGATCTCTCTTGGAGTCCGCAAGATCCTTGGAAGATTGCAACGGCTGCTGAAGACAACATCGTCATGGTGTGGCAACCCGCGCGCTCTATTGTCGAGTCTGTCGAGGCCGAGCCGGACGCAGCCGACCTGGAGTGAGCTTTTCGTGCTCGTGCCGCTCTGGGGTGTGGAGACTGGGGTTCATCATGTAGGAGACACACCTCCATAGTGCAACTGCAACCCCGCTCAACTGATGCGTGTGGGTCTTTGTGTTAGTGTGTATATTTGTGCTTGGGGCGCAACTATTCGATCCAGTGTTCCAGAGACATCTGCACTTGTCGTTGATCATGGCCCTGTTTGGACTCACGGGAAGTCGCAGAGAGCTGTGCGTTGCTTGCAACTCAGACTGACTCTAAAAGAAAGCCGACACCGCGTCATTTGTATCTCTTTTTCATTGTCTTGTTTAGTATTCTTGTGCCACCCCTTGCTGTGTTCATTCGATTTGGCATTGGAACAGACTTTTTCATCAATGTTCTCCTAACAGTAGCAGGTTATATTCCAGGTCATGTAAGTATGGATATGACAGTTACGAAATGGGATCTTACATTGTCTTCAGGTGCATAACTTCTTCATTCAGGTGCGTTCGACCATGATTAGCATGGCACTTACTGAGTAAGCGTGTACGTGACAATTCGCGCCGTCCAGACCGAACACCCAAGTGGCTTAAACGTTCAGGCCTCGTGAATGAGGATCGAGGTGTGCGAAAGGACCGGCGGTGGGCAGATCGGTATATCAATGCGTCTCGCCCCGTTCAGTACGATGACGAAGGTCGTGCTCATTACATGGATGAAGATGACGACGATGATACTGTTGAAATGTATGATCCACATGCACTTGTTGAACCAGATCGTTACATTAACAATGAGCATGGACGATCGGCCAGAATAGCCCGGCAAAAAGCGTCGAATCCGTCGCTACGGCGTGCTCCTACGGCAAATACCTATGAACCCATGCCGGTGCGATCCAAAAGTAAGTCGCTCAAGTCACGCACTAAGCGCTTTTTCGGGTTCCGACATGGATCAGGTGGTCAAGTTCCTCCCGAAGATCTCATTGTTCGACATGATTACGATCGCAGCACAAATTTTGGGTACGAGAGCGATGAATACGCACCTGCCGAGCCACCTACCACTCAAACAATTGGAGAGTTGCAGAGCAACGATTACGATGATTTGGATCGTGAACTCATGGGTCTTTCAACTTGCTCCAATTACCCACCTGTTCGCTCGGGCCGCGGGAATGATTCACGTCGTGCTCCCTCGAATGGTGCAGGTAGGAGCAAGAAACCAGTGGCTTCCCCACGTGCATCTTCCTCTCCCATGGTAGACATGTCCGAACCGACTCGCGACGTGCTAGAGTACGAACATACCTTCTAGCTAATCATTTTGGTGTATTAAAGTTTTTTTTTTTAAATTTTTTGGAGGGTTGTAAAAAAGGGTTTGTGATGGTGGGTGTGGTGCCGATGTGGAGAGGGGGAGGGGGACTGCATGCAAGACTATGGTCACAGAGTCGCACACAAATACATGTACGAAAATGAACATCATGAACGTCGACGAGCGAGGACTGGACAAAATATAAGCAAAATCGAGGTCCGAGCATGAAATTCAGGACGAGTGATTCGGCAAGAGTGGCAATAAGGATTGGACCAAACAAGACGGGGCATCATGAGTATCAACCGCAGTTGAGCCAGCGCTCAGCAAAATCCAGAGGCCGTACTCAATGCGTGAAGAGAACTGAACCAACATGTGGTTGAGATAGAAAACGAACATGACTGACCCGGTCAGCCTAGTAAGAAATAAAAAACGAAGAGGAAAAAAACCATCTGGAAGGAAATAGTAGATCAAGATTTAGCCATGGCCGAACGCTTGCACCACCAGAAAAAAGACCATTGACCTTCCTGTATTTTAGACGGGCGGCGCCGCTCCTTCAGAATGACCCTCATTGCCTGCAGTAGATTGATTGTGAATCCTTGAGTTTGGGTTCCTATTGCCATTGCCACGGCGGTTGTTTCGTCGACCTCCACGGCGGTTGGGTACAGTGTTGGTAAAGTTTGCGTTCTGTGACACGGGCACAGCATGCATCGCTGCTTGTGTGGGTGGAATAGCAGGCAAGCCTTGTTGCATTATACTTGGGCCTTGTGTAGGCTTGCCTTGCTCCTGTGCATCGCGTTCGCGGTTTTCTGCCTCCTGAATCAAAGATGGCGCGACGTAGAGGCGCTTATCAATGGTGGCAGGAATCGGCTGAACTTCTGTGCCTAGCTCTTGCTCAATTCGATACAGGTTGAAGCGGTCTTCGTAAGTAATCAGATTGATTGCCAGCCCCATGTGACCGAAACGGCCACTACGTCCAATTCTGTGCAAGTATGTTTCGGCGTTCTTCGGAAAGTCAAAGTTAATAACAACATTCACAGCCTGAATATCGATACCACGTGTCAAGAGATCTGAGCATACCAGGTTGCGGCAAGCACCGTTCCGGAAATCATGGAACACACGGTTTCGATGTGCTTGGAGCATCTTAGCATGGGAGTAAAAGCAGGAATAGCCAAGTTCAGTGATCTTCTTGGCCAAAAGCTCAACGCGGTTAGTCGAGTTACAAAAGATGATGGACTGGTTAATTTGGAGCTTGGAGAAGAGCGTGTTCAGGCAGTGAACTTTTTGGCGTTCCTCAACGAATGCATAATATTGCGTCACACCACGCAGTGTGAGTTCGTCCATGAGATTGATTTCGTATGGCTTCACCATGTGCTTGTCCTTGAAGTCTTTGACAATAAGTGGGAACGTTGCCGAAAATAGCATGACCTGACGTTCCTTCGGCAACAGGCCTAGAAGCTGTTCCATAACAGGCGTAAACTCAGGTGAGAGAAGCTTGTCAGCTTCGTCCATGACATATGTCGTACACTGACTAAGATCCGCAATACCCTTACTTGCGAGATCAAGAATGCGGCCTGGCGTGCCTACCAAAATGTGTACAGTTTGTCCAAGACGCAATATGTCATCTTTCAATGTTGTTCCGCCGGTGCTTACCATGATCTCGATACCCAAATGCTTGCCTAGCGTTTTAGCCACCTGGCTTGTCTGGAGTGCAAGTTCGCGCGTAGGGACGAGCAACACAGCTTGGATCTTATTTTTTTTCGTATTGACACGCTCTAGCGTAGGAATGACATACGCGGCCGTCTTTCCTGTGCCATTTTTTGCACGTGCTAAAACATCACGACCAGACAAGGCAATAGGAATTGCCTCTTCTTGGATAGGAGAGGGATGCTCAAAACCTGCTTCAAATATACCCATGAGCAGCTCCCGCTTCAGAAAAAAATCTTCAAAATCATTCCCTTTTGTCGCTGTCACATCTTCAGTCTGTGGCCGGGTATCTTTCTGCGGCCTCTGCGATTCCATTCCTGGCGCTGTATTCGCCATTGCGATGTACTTTCACTTGACTTTTTTTTTTTTCTTTTCGCGAGAGTCGCGGTTCGTGCAGTCTCTACAAAACGTCGTCGTCAGTCGTAACACAGAGCGCCTGGAAAGAAGTCGTGGAGCCTTCAGGGGATGAAGCGTTCCTTGCCCGAGTGCACGTGAGATACACGTGACCCTATCCGCTAGCAAGCCGCTCCGTGCGCTATGCAGAGAGAAATATGTGTCTGGGCCGACTGTAGTGGCCTGTGGCACGCGCGTTGTAGTAAGGGTGTGCGTGTTTGTCAAGGATCAGCTAGGGCATGATGTCACACATTCTGCGCGGACGTCTGACGCTCTATTCGGCCTCTCGCACTTCCAGTTTTTGTGGGTTGCGATCCAGGATGTTTAGCACATCCGGTGTGAGAGGTGAACCAGCCGAGCCGCTGCCTTGGGATGCATGTACGTTCAAGCATGCCACGCGCAAGTTAGGCTAACATCGAACACAAGACTTGCGGCTCAGGAAGCAGCGTCGTATCGCTGGTGTCGCAACAACGTGGCCCACAATGATTTTGGCTGCGGTCGGTTCTGGCTCATATTTCATGACCCTTGACATTGATCCAAGCCAGACGATTGCTGGTGTACGTATCTCGGACAAAGCATAATCACGACTATATTCAATTTTTCTCCTTTTATCAACTGACCATATTCTAGATCGATCCCATGTTTGTGTACTTGGGTGCGACACTTACATGCACGGGTCTTGGTTGGCTCATTGGGCCGTCATTCGGTTCTACTGCATGGAGTCTTTTGCACCGTCGTCAGGCTAGTCGAATGGCCCAACGTGACAAGCAATTCTTTGATCACATTCGTAAAATGCGTGCAGATCCAACTCGTCAAGTCGTGCACAATCCATTGCCAGATTATTATGTACGTTACCGAAAGATAGTCAAACTTACATGCAGGGAGAAAAAATTGGCTCGCTTCGCGAGTATCGTCATTGGCTTCGCAAGCAGGTACGTGTATGGCACACCCGTCGAGTGTTCAATGTTTTCCCCAAAGCGCAAAAAAAAAAGAGCAGGGTCGACGGGGCACGTCATTGATTCATAAGTCGGGAGAAGGGACGGAGCGCGAGCAGAATCTTACGGGTATCACAGCAAATATTCCGTCGGAAAGCTTCACATGGCGTCGAGGAAGCCCCATAATTCACGCTGCCACATGCATTGCTGCAGCTTGGCGTAAACGTTTGAGTGTGCGTGCTTCATAGTCGTGGTCGAAATGATCACCACAATCCGTGAGCGCAGTGGACAGTTGCACGGACATATCTTGTGCGGTAATTCCACGAGCAAGACAGGCCTGAACTCGTTGTGGTGGGAGCGAGGTCGCTTTGCCAGACGCGTCGCACCAGCGGATCCAGCAGTCCTGTAGTAAAACGTGCGAGCAACGCAAGTCACTTCCCTCGGACACGGCACGCCATGCATGCACACCGTGTAGAAACTGAACGACGACGGAAATTTCGCGCCGCTGCTTGTGACTTGGCTTGACTGAAGCGGATGCCAGGGGTCCGTAGGACGATGCCAAGGCAAGACACAAGGGTGATGACGTTAGTGGCTCAGGCGCCGCAGTCGATCCCCACATCTCGTGAGCCTGCTCCGTAGGAAATCGCACAAGTACCCAAGAGTCGTTGGCATCCCAAGGCGGAAGTTCAGTAAGTGTCGAGCTCGAGTCCGGTGTAGAAGTTAATGCTTGTGTTGAAACGGGGTTGAGGCGTGATGTGCGTTGTTGCCAGGCTTCTAAAAGACGTTCGTGCTTATCAATGCGCATTGCGCGACCCTCTTCTCGAAGCGCAAGAATGCGCTGTTGACGTGCCAGACGCTGGCGCTCTCGTTCCATTCGCTGCAGACGATCTTGCTCCTCACGCCGCTCGAGATCAGCGGTCATTGTGCGACGTTTAACATCGAAGGCAGCTTGTCGTTTTAGTTTCTCGCGCTCTCTTTGTAGAGACTCTTGTAATTTTGCTCGCGATGCAGGATTCATGAGCTCCTCATAAGCAAGAGTAAGCTGATGGAATCGCTCGGCAGCCTGGTCAGGCGGTACATCCTTCACCTTGTCAGGGTGCAGTTGTAGCGAGCGTTTCCGGTACGCCGTTCGAATCTGAGCCTCAGTTGCATGAGTTTCGATCCCTAGAAGCTCGAATGCATCAAGAGGCACGGCATGAAGATGCCGGTCCATCGCGCGCTCTGAGACTGGCCCGGTGGCACTCTAATCCCTTTCACGAGAAATGTGTTCGAATGATCCACAACCACACGCTCAGCCGCACGCACGCAGAAACAAATGTGATGAGAATAAACATGTCGTAAGCATCCTCCAGGCGCGTTCGGCTCAAGTCTGCTAGTACACGAATGGAGGGGTAGGGGTAAGGAGAAAGGACATCGAGCTCCACAGGGTGTCGTAAGTGAGCCATTCCCAACTACACTGAGTGCAGATTGGATTTTTTTTTGCTTCGTCACTGTAAGGCACACGTATACATACACGCCTTAGGAGCTTGCAGCCGAGCAGGAAGAGAGGGAACGTGCTTGTGAATCGGTATGCTTGCGTGTCGAGCGTTTAGCGTAGCGCGTGCGCCTCAGGCGGTGATTTCTGCTCATATGGCCCGTGTGCCGCTGACCGTAGGCCGAACAGGCATGAACGGCGTGCGGTTTGCCGGTACCAGATCGAAAGACTCAAACAGCAATGTGCGCACAGAGTCGATACAGCAAGGATCAGAACAAAAGTCCAAAGAAGCGAAAGGGTCGGGCGCGAGGCGCGGCTCTCGCGCGCGACGTTCTTCTACGAACGAGAAACGCTATACAGATCAGCCGTTGTACAAATACACGCCGGAGTTAGATGCAGCTGACATATCGTTTTGCCATCCACATATGCCACATCCTTCACGATGGAAGGATCTTTTTGCATTCTCGAAAGAGCAGGGCGCCCGATACCGATACTTTGTCGCGAACCGAGGTACTGTGCAGGGCATAGTCAGCCAATTAGGGCTCGATGAGCGGGAGGCTCAAGGCATCAAAACCACGATTGTTGAAGCATATCCAGGACCAGGCACATTTACGCGCGAGTTTCTTTTGCATCCGAATGTTGAGCGAGTCGTATCCATGGACAACGTGCCGATGTTTCTCGAGCAGCTCGAGCATTTGCGAGAGGATCCGGCCTTGAAACATGTGCAGCATAAGCTCGGCATCATTCCTGAGTCTGGCTACGCATGGGACTCGTACGAGATGATGGTCGAACAAGGACTGTTGCGCCATCTGGAGGGCCGTGTACCTAAGCTGGGTCCCCAAGCACCGCCGATGGATTGGCACGCCACGTCGCCGATTTTGTTTTTTGCACAGTTACCCAATACTGTTCATGGCGAGCAGCTGTTTGCCCAGATCATTAACGCAATATCGTCGCGTTTTTGGCTCTTCAAGTTTGGGCGTGTCAAGTTGGTGTTTGTGTGTGGCGAGACCGTATCACTGCGGTCATTGGCTACACCACAAGAGTCACGCACTCGGGCCAAGCTGGGTGCGACAGTCCAGTGCCTTAGCACGCCACGTCTGTTGCTGCCCGCACATGATCTGGAGCCATACGCGGACCATATGTACCCACCTACACCGTCGGTTGGACCCCGTGTGCCGGTCACATCCGTGTTTATTCCGAACTCGAACATATCAACGGGGCTGCAGAAGCGCAAGCTGACCGTCTTGGAAATTGATCCTTTGCCAGAACCTCTAATTGATCAGCGTGACATGGATGCATTCGAGTTTCTTACCCGCAATATGTTTGTGCTCAAGTCCAAAACTGTGCTAGAAGGGCTAAAACACGTCGTGCCAGGTGCGCACAATGTGTTGCGCTTGGTAGCGCCTGAGCATCCCCGAATGAAAGATCGACCCGACGATGTCGTGTTGCCAACCACCCCAATCGTTGAGTTGACGAATCGTCAGTGGGCTTCATTGGCCGAGGCGTTTGAAAAGTGGCCGTTCAGGCCGGAGGTGTTTGTCGACGAAGGCCGCGTTCGGCGCGGCTTGAGTGACTATCTGTTTTAGTAGTATTTGCTATGGCGTTCTCCGAGATCGTCGCGAAGCTTGTCTGGCCGTGGTGGACGACCGAAGCGTGGCTCCGGCACTCGTAGTATGTCCTCATAGATGTGGGAAACCACACTTTCGCACGACGCAGACCATTCTTCACGCCAGAAATGGATGCCAGAGAGCTTGAGTTGGTGCATTTCTGCATACTCCGATACGCTTGGCACGATGCGTGACGTGTCGGGGACAGGCATGGGTGTGTCGGCGCTCTGTTCAAAGAGCAGCATCGTGTATCGATGGTATGGCGTGCCGCGAGCGGGATGAGGTGGGATGTACGGTAGAGCCACTGGATGACCCTCAGGTATCGAAGACGCATGAATCGAAAGTGGGATGTCACTTACAAGCCAATGCACATACGTCTGGAATGATTGCGTTTCTTCGCTCGGCACGTCAGGATCTACGAGCATGAGCGTGTACTTGCGAGTGTCTGCGTGAAACACAGTAGCTCGGATGTCAGGGGCATGCAGCGTGGTCGATGGATCGAGGAATACGCCCGGGTGCACGCTTCCTCCTTGTCCACCGTGATCGCCGATCCCTCGACCAGAGCCAAAGAGGACCTCCAGATCCACGGTCGGCGTGATCTTGGGTACGACGTCTGGCAAGACGTGCATGTTGCGGATGCGTTCGATCAGCCGGTTCAGAGCACCTCCTTGACGCCATGCCTGCTCACGCATGTGGCGGAATACAGGCTTCTCCATGGAGTCTGTCACATAGCGTTAGCTTCGTGCACCAAAGGTACGTACAAGTGCCGCGACGGAACTGCGCCCGCACACTAGGTTGGTTGATATCTGAAGCGACTTCCAACGCGTACACACGCTCCTGGACATCGGTGGATGACATGTCCGCCTGTTGCTTTTCCTTAGCGATTTGGTCACGCAACGCAGCCGAGTCGTGTTCAATGTGCTTAAGTGCCTCGTCATACACAGGCAAAGTGCCTGGCTTGAGGGCTGGCTGCCACGTACAGGTGGATTGCATTCTCCGTGCAGCTACATGCTGCAGCAAACGAGTTGTTCCTACGCGCCACGACACCGCTGACATGACGAAAGGGACGGCGGCGAAGATGACGGCAACCAAGACAACTTGCAGGCCAAAGTAGAGAGAAAATTTTCCTAACAGTGGCTGCCTATATCTCTCCTCCCCCCTCTCTGGCCAGCCGCCCAGCGCTGCTATTCCCCTACCACCTAACAAGATTTCCACATGTCGTTGACCTCGTGAAGTAGCCCATTAGGCCTTTACATTGACAAGTGGCACATCTCTCAGCGTGCGCGAGTCGTTCCCAGATACCTCTTACATAAGCACAACGCCGTGCCACATGGTAACCCCACTTTCGACGCATGTTCATTTCGCAGGATCCACGGCAGCTTGGGCCCAAACCACAACGCTCCGCTTCGACGTGAACGATAGTGCAGAACGGACAGAGGAAACTATGCGATGCGCCTTATTGTGTCCTACTGTGGCAAGACCATTGACGTAAAGCAGCCATTATCACAGTTCAAGACGTTTGAGCATTTGCTCGACTGCATCTCCTTGGCAACAGGGATTCTGTACGATGCAGTGATATGCATGGCCAAGGACGGCGTTCAAGTGGATCAGCCAGTCCTAGACCGGCTCCTCCGCGAAGATACAAATCATGATGTGGTACGTCGATTGCCTAACATGTCTAGGAGTTTTTCGTGTTTGATCGCGATTTGTTGACTGCAGATCCCGATGCTGTAGCTTCTATGCTGGAAATATCGCTGGACATGACACCTACGCCTGAGCCACCGACATCGCTCGTCCCTGCAACACCGCGTTTTGTCGATTCCATGTTGAGCTGGGCCACAGATCTGCTGCGGAACGTGGATGCGCTTTGCACTGAGGCAGCGACTTTGCGCGAGAGCATCGCACTCATTCAGCAAAGCGTCGTTGTGGCTCTGGCGAATGTACAGCTACATGCAAATAATATCAAGTCTGCAACTACTGAGCTTGTGCGCATTGCACAGAAGGATTTCGAACGCATGGAACAGCTGCTTCATCAGTACACGGCTGATCTCGACATTCTGCGCCGTGTGCCCGTCCACCCACAACTTGTGAGGCGATCGGCCTCGGGAGGAACAGCCTCCGTGTTATGTGATGTGGTTGATGTAGCTCATGTGCATCGAGTAGCTGCCTCATGCCGGAGTGCGCGGGAAGATGTGCGTGCATTGTATGAGAGAGTCATGGAGACAGAAAGTCGACTGACGAGGGACTTGCGCGACTTGACGCACGAAATCGAGCAGACGGACGTGAAGCCGTCCATCGAAACATATGAGCAGATCGTAGGGTTGCAAGAACAGGTGCACGTCGAGCATGCATCGTTGGTATCAATGTGCCAACGCGTGGAATCGCCATCGAATCCCGACTGGCTTCATGCTCAGGCGAAGGCTGAGGCGCTGTATGCACGGGAAACGCCCATTCTTCACACTCTTGACTGTCTCGTCCAGGATCGAAATGAGCTCTTGTACCGGGACATCAATCTGATGCAGGACATTAGTGGCCTGCAAAGTGACTTTACAGAGCTAAGCGCGCTCGTGGCCCATACCGATGTAACTCTTGAGTCGTCACTAAATGATGGTTTCCAGGTGCTTGAACACGTACATTCCATGTACGGTGCCTACGGTGCGCTTCTCGCAGAGGCTGTGCGTCGTTCCGAGTTCAAACGCATGTATTTAGCGAAAGCTCAATGCATCGCCGAGCTCATGGCAAAGTTATCGGAAAAGGAGACGAAACGACGCAAACGACTATGGCAGGACCTCAATGGTGCTTGGCCTTGGGAATTGCCCTGCATGGACTTGTCCTTACCTGTGTTTGATATTACAACTAGATGTCATGATTCTTCATCCTCAACAACCTATACCCAAGAAGATCTTGCCGAGTTTCATGCGCAATTGCATGCTCTGGACCGAGAAATGCGCACGATAGATTCAACAAGATCGGTGGAACATGATGTTCACATATATATGCGGCGCTTTGCTAGTGAGCCACACAATTTTGAGGAAGACTTTTGTGTGTTGGCGCGACGTGAACTGGGTTTGGAGGACATGGCTGAGTCGTCGGAAGACGAAGCGATCGATTCAGTCGACGGCAACGTCGACGATGACGACGACACCACACACAAGCAGTCGAGGCCCGAGCGTGCATAAAAAGCGTAAGAGCAGAGCAGGATGCAAGCATGTGGATGTAGAGCCTGACAGACATACAGCCGTGGATGAAAAGATCGACAGGGAAATGGAATGATACCTAGACACGAACTGTATGAGGGTAGAAGAAAACAACGCACGTCACGCCAGGAGACCAGCATCTACATGAGGCGACATGCAAGTTATGTATCTCTGCGCATTCGCGACGATCCATGGTGTGTGCGTTTCGATGAATAGTCGCGCTCTTCCTCGTGCGTGTCAGGAGCACCACGCTTCTGTCCACCGCCACGACCGAGTCGACGGTCATGCCGAGCACGATCACGATCACGCCTATTTGGACGCTCACGGTGAGACGACCCAGGCCCAGGCCCAGACCCCGAGCCAGGCGCCGTATGCTGCGCTATCGAGGTGGGCATCGATGCCGATGTAGATCCTGAACTGGGTGCGGAAGCAAGCGGCGGACGTCCAAATTGCTCAGGATCGTAGTCATCGGCTGGCGACGCATCACGGCGAGTATGATGCGGAGATCGCCGAGCGCGACGTGCGTCTTCTGCATAGACGCCATAGTCAAGCGCATCTGGCATACCATGTACCATATCGCGATCATTGTAGCGTGGAGAGTGTACTTGGTGTGTATCATGAGATGCCGCATAAGAGTCGGCATCATGATCAGCGCGCCGACGCTCTGAGCGATTGGAATCGGAGGAAGGGCGAGTGCGATGGTGCCGTTGCTGCTGTTGAGACTGGGTATGCGAAATGGTGGTGTGATGCTCGGTAGCCGCATCATGCTGAGAAGAATCAGGATGCGGACCTACCCCATTTTCAACACGCTGACCGTCCTGCGGTGAGCGTGGTGGCTCGTACGAGGGCTCATACGCTGGCTCGGCATGAGAGGGAGAGTCTGGCTTCCGAGGCTCGGGCCAATCCATCCCATGCATGTCGGGATGCAAAGGAGGCATCGGCATAGACATGGATGATGGGTGATCAGAGCTAGGGGGCATCATGGCTCTCATCATGGGCCATGCCTGCATGGGAGGAGGCATATTCATCATACCTCCCGGAGCTAAGAGCGCCGAAAAGTCAGGCATGCCACGATCCTGCGGCAGATGAGGATGCATGGAATTAAGTTCTGGCATAAATGGCATGGGTGGCGCGACAGGAGGCGCAACAGGTTCTGCAGGCACCAACTCTGCTTCGCGGGTCTGCTCCATCCTATGTTTCTTCCCACACCACATCGCCCACGTTTGCTCATTAAAACCGTAATTGAACCAGTCGCTGAGATTCGCACCCGGTCGTCGCCACGGCTTCTCAGGTAGAGAATCAATGTCCACTTGGTATATGGACATGGGTGGTGGATCATCCGCCTTCTCTGTCTCGGTGCGAGCATCGAATAAAGGATCGGACGGTGGATATGTCAAATCTGATGGTTGCGGATCGAGGTGCAGCTCCGGGCCCGTAGAGGGTGCTGCTGGCGGCGGCCCTTCGGGCCCCATTGGTACGCTTGCCGCAGACCCAGCTGCCGGCGCTGCCGCCACTGCCGAGCGGACGCCGTCGCGCTCAGGTATCTGAGCCATCGTCGTTGCGCCAAAGGCAGGAGCAGGAGAAGGGGAAGGAATAGGAATAGGAGCAACATGCTCATTCGGCAAGGAGCGAACAAGAGGCTCGCGGGGAGCGATCGGGGCTGCCCCTGCCTCTGTAGCGACCGCCGCTGCTGATCCTGCCGGAGTCGCGGTGGGTATGGCGGTAGACGTCGAAATCGTGTTTCCACTAGCTGTTGCTGGCTCAGGCACATACGAAACAGATCTTTGCGGGGGCTGTGGTGGTACAAGTGGCTCGTTTGGATCGATGATAAACTCAACATCGGAGTCATCACTGTCATACTCGTCAGAATCATTCGGCTCGGCATTCGTGGACGCTGGATCTTGCGGCCACACTTGGGAAGTTTTTTTCGCACTAGTGTCTCGGTTCATGTAACTGGGACTCGTCGTGTTATGGATGCTCGACTTTGCCATATCGTCGCCCGATCCCGCCAACGACGCGTTGGGAACGTGCGAGCGGTCGTCACTAGGCTCTCTATCCACATGGGGGACCGATGCATCTGCGGCCCCTCCATACAGGAACTCGTCTTCGTCATCAATAGTTGAAGCATCCGCTGCACTCGACATGACGAGGCTGCTAGGCCGACTCCTCGCACGCAACGAACGAACGTGGTCGAGATCGCTTGTGTTCCGTAGTTGCCAGCTACAAAGATGCGCTGCCGTCCATGGTTGGCCTTCGCGAGCGCGAATAGGACATAAGCAATTGGTACCCACATACATCCCATTCAGAGTCTCGGCGTCCGGGCACGTCGGAAAGCCCCCCTGCCCCAACCCAGGCAGGCGCCGAGGAGATCGAAAAGAATCCTTACCAAGTGTCTTGAGCCCACTCCGCTTTGTCCATCGAAAACGGTTGAGAACCATGGCGTCGGCTACATTTGGAAACCGATTTCGTGCATTTATGAACCACCCAGCAGGTCCCAAAACGGGTACGTGATGCTCTCATGCCAGGCTCACACCCTTGACTCGCAGTGTTCTTCTGGGCGCCGATGATGAAATGGGCTCTTGTAGTCGCAGGTCTGGGCGACTTGGCACGTCCTGCGGAGAAATTGTCAGCTTCGCAAAACACTGCACTGGCGGTTACAGGATTTATTTGGGTTCGGTACGTCGCCACCTATGTCTTCCTTGGCTTATACTCAATAGGTACTGCTTCGTCATTACGCCCGTCAACTATCCGCTCGCCGCCGTCAACTTCTTCGTCGGCACGACAGGTTTAGTCCAGCTCTTGCGCATTGCCTAGTACGTACACTGCGTCTCTCTCTCTCTCTCTCTCTCTCTCTCTCTCTTTCTTTCTCTCCTACTTACACTTCTTTTCAGCCATCGTCACACACATCCTCAGCAGGAGAACCAAGTGCCCTCCAAGGCATGAATAAACCAAGACAAAAAGCCCTACTGACGAATTCCTCATGTTGCCGCCCGGATGTAGATGCGTTATAGAATCAAATGTCGATATGAAGCAGCTGTGTGATGACACGAATTGTGTGTCTGCCCATACAGTTGCCACCTTGACCAAGCCGCTCACCCCTGCCAAATGACATCGGCAGCCAAGACACACGAGCCCTCACTAACCAAGTGGAGTAAGATCCTTGTGCAAGACTCTCTCACCTAACGATCATGAGCCAGCTCAATGCCTTCCGCACGGCAGGCCGTAAAATTGTAGCGTACGTCAGCATGTCGCATCTTTCCTGACAGAGACTCTCTCTTTCTCTCTTTAGGATTGGACGTAATTTTGCGGACCATGCAAAGGAGCTAAACAACGTTGTGCCAACGGAGCCCTTCTTCTTTCTGAAGCCAACCACTAGTTATGTCGAGTCTGGTGGTACGATCGAGATTCCTCAAGGCGTCGTGGCACACCATGAAGGTTCGTATGGTTTGATACACTAAGGTCATGTGTAGTGGAACTGGCTGTCGTTTTCGGCAAGACAGGGAAAGACATTCAGCGCTCAGAAGCAAATCAATACATCGGCGGCTACGGTGCGTACAACAATCACGGTTTCTTTGTACATTCCGTTATGTCAATCTCTCTTGTCTCACTAACCAAAGTAGCACTTGCGGTTGATATGACTGCTCGGAACATGCAAGACAAAGCAAAGAAAAGTGGTCTACCTTGGTCTGCCGCCAAGGGGTTCGACACCTTCACACCCATCAGCTCCACGATTTCCAAAGATCAGATTCCTGATCCGCACAATGTGGACCTCTGGCTCACTGTTGACAATAAAATGCGCCAGCGAGGCAATACGAGCGATATGATCTTCTCTATCCCTGAGCTGATTGCATACGTGTCATCCATCATGACACTCGAGGCGGGTGATGTTATGCTCACTGGCACACCGAAGGGTGTGAGTCAGCTACAGCATGGTCAAGTTGTGCATGCAGGTTTGCAGCTGCCCGACGCACCCAATACTCTTGCCGAGCTCAAATTGCTCGTCCAAAACCGTGTGGGTGGGTATGCATTTAAGCCGTAAAGGTAGATTTGTCAGAAACGAATTGAAGGCCGGCCATGTTCGACCGTCGAAACAACATAGCATGAGCACAATGAGTAGCAGTAGCAAATTTCAATCAGGCCCTGGATAAGTCGATCAGATATGCGCGAAAATTGGCTACTAGCAGTGAGACGACGCTATAGAGGCGTCTCCTGCTCGAGCGATTGCACACGCTCCATCAAGCGCATGCGCTGCAGTTGAAGGGACTCGAGCTCTCGCATGTGTTCTTCATACTCAGATGCCTCCAGTGATGCACGCGACGACGTGTCTCCAGCATACATAGCTTGCCATTGTGATTGTGCCTCCAGTCTTGACAGTTCTTGCGAGGCCTAAGAATGTTAGGGCCCACCAACCTGCATGCAGAAAGATACGAACCTTGTTTCGTAACGAGCGAGCTTCACGCTCATCCCGTGCCAGTACCTCCTCCGCACGCACTATGAGCTCCCGCAAAAAAGGAGCAATTTCCGTAGCCACATGTTCGCGAGCTTGCCGAACTTCTCTTTCAGAAACCAAGTCGAAATGCTACAATTGGCAGGCCTCTGTTAGTCCCGTGCCCTGCCAACACAATACACACCCTTTGATTCGAAATCACCGTCTTCAACCGACGAAAGTCGCCCGTATGAGCGTCGAGGGACGCATTTGTGGCTCGCAACTAGTTCGTGCTGTTAGAATATTGCACAATAGCTTGACACTCATCGCAGGCTAGACATACCGTCGCACATGCGGACTGCACCTTAAATGTGCATGCATGAATACTATGGAGTTGATTCGCACTGGCATGCGGGTTAAAGTAGACTGACTGCCTAGGCACAGAAGGTGCCATGCTTGGTAACAAACAAACACCAGATCACTTGGCGTGCACTTTCTGTCTCCACCAATGACAAAAATTTTGAGACGCGTTAGACGCGCTAGCGTCAGAAAGTTCGGTCTGCCTGCAAAGAGTAATACCCAGTTGTCAGACAGATGGAGAAGGGTTCACCAGGATATCTTGGTGTCGACATAATAATCCAACTCTGCCACACATCTGCCTTGGGGCAACAGGAAACAATCGAGCAAAGTGAGACCACCCGCGATAGAGCGCAAATTGTATGTCACAGGACTAAGGGATGGAGATATAATAAAGATGAGACTCGCTGAATGGCTGACGGAGAAGCACAATTCCTATATCTTCACCTCATCGCATGCTATCGCGCAACGCCGCCGCCAACAAGTTCGTCCCCCTTCCCTACGTCACCATGCAAGTACCTAAGGTCAACCGCACACCAAGTCACACTAATCAGACATGTATTAAATATGATTCTAGTAGACGCTAAAAAACCGCACTTCATTTTATTAGAGTGGAAACGAAGTTCTTATTAAAAAGAGCACGATTAAAGATTGTTAGGTACAAGAGAGGATATTATGCCGCCATTACTGGACAAGGGGAGCGCCACCGTTGTAGGCCTCACCCTCAACCGAACGTTGGTTGGTGCCAAGGTTCAGCAAACCAGCCTCCTCGATCGAGCGCGTAGTGCTGCTCAGCACACCACCACCCTTGATGAAGTCCTCCTTGCGAATCGGCTGGTGAGCAGTCGACTCGTGCACAATAGGAGCTTCGTGGGTAATGTGCGTGGTTGGGATCGTTGTGCGAATGCGGTGGTACTCGTGAGTCTCCTTCTCGATGATTGGCTGCACAATGTTGTGAATGTGGTGGTGCACAATCTCGCGCACAGTCTCACCCTTGTCAATCACGCTGCGGTCCGTGGCAGCCTGAGTGAAGGTGTCCTTGGGGTTGCCGGCCACGGCGCGCATAAGAGCAGCGTCCTTGTCCGTGTTGGCATGCACCTCACGGATAGTGGTTGTTGGCACCACACGGCTGTGGATCTGCTCAGCAAGGTGCTCAGACTCGAGCACTGGCTGAACGTGGTGCTGAATGTGGTGCTGGTGGATGTGGTGTTCACGCTCACGAAGGAGCTCCTCGATCTCATGGCGGTGGTGCACGTGGCGCGTAACAGGAGCGAGGTGCTGCACGTCCTGATCAACGTTGCCAGCAGCCACGTTGACACCCGAGTTCACGCTCGTCGTCTGAGTCATGTTGCCTGAGCGGCCGAAGGCGTCCGACTCCGACTTTGGCACAGCCGAAACGTTGGCAGCACGCAGCGACTCGGCGTCTGGCACACCGGCACTAGCCTGACCCACAACGTTAGACTCAACGCCCTGCACACTAGGCGTACTGGCCTGGTGGTGGTGGTGGTGTGGCATCATGTGAGAGAGCTTCTCCTTGCCCTCGCTCAAGAAGCCCTCGCCGTGGTGCTGAGCGTTGTTCTCAGCACCCTGAACGGCGTCCTGGGCCTTGTGGGCCTCGCCCTCCGCCTTATCAGTGTTGAAAACCTTCTTAATGACGTTGCTCATAATTAGTTCAAGGTAGGTGAGAAGAATACAAGATTACGGTCCCGTCCATATTTATACTCAGACATGCCTTTTCGGGACGCCCTGCAGCGAAGTCGCAATGCGGGCCCAAGCGCGTCCGCATAGATCAGAATGGAATGTCAACACACTACTGGCTCGTTCGATGTTGATTCCACCGCTTAAATCGGGCAAAAAATATGTTTTATCCAATCATAAGCGATACAATCTGCGGGTGTGCTAATTTGCAGCGGTCTTACCCATTAACATTTTTCGTCGCCGCAACAGCTCAAAACATTCCTTCATGCAGACTATTGGCAAATTTGAATGCGTCTCTCACGTACGTGGATCTATACTCGCACTTCCTTGTCATTCTTTTGGCCACCCCAATGCAGTGGAAGCGAGCGCAAATAACAAGGCGTCACACATTGAAATAAACATTCGATGCTTTTCTAAGCACTTCTACAACCTGAATGTACAGATGTCAAAAATGAGGTTTCGCGATGATTGACAACACGGCTCTAAAGGGAGAAGCGTTCAATCGACACTCACAAAATGCGTCCCTCTTTTTCTCCGTGCGGCCGTTCATGTCTTTCATTTAGTGGTATATGTAAAGAAAAAGAAAATATAGGATTTGTATTATCAGCGATAGAATGACAAATAGATATACCTACTGTACCGCGATTCACCATGACATGGAAAATCGCAAGCAGATGCTGGCTGAGGTTATTTACCAAACAATGTGTGCGTGTTTATAATTTATATATATGTACAAGCCGACAAGAATCTATGGAATTGAGAGAAATATAAGTTCGCTTGAACAACAGGCACGACACACGATCATTATTCCTTAGTTGTACTTGCGTTTTTCTCCTTTTTTCTTTAGGTCCCCCGATATCGGGCTACGGCTATGGCTTTCTAGTCCCATGTCATCGTTCAGTGGATTTCGCGTTTTCTCTTCACTCTTGAGCACATATGGCTTGGATAAGGCACCACGGAATGTTTGTCGAGTGACTTGATTGTGTGAGAAATACAAGTACGTACGCGCTCGAAGTATAAGAGACTGGCATGAGACACTTATAGCGTCTTTGGCCGCGTGAGACGACATGCCCATCAGCGTCGCACTGATTGTTAATAAAAATTCTCAAGTTGTTCTTCTCACGTACAGGTTCATTACATCATAGGGTGCACGTAATCCCATCGCATCCATAGCTTGGCTTGACAAGATGACACCTTTTCCATTCGTCACGCGGAGTATTTCACGCGCACCGCTGAAGAGATTACGTCGAGCATCAGATAGATCAGACATCTCTGATGTTGACTTGGAAGACAAACTTGAGCTTTTTGCGTCGATGGCCGCTCCATATGTGATTTCAAACACAACGCCGTTAGAGAGTGCGGCACCTACGGTGCTTCTTTTCAGATGGAACGGCAATCGAGGGGCAACTGCCAAATCAAGTGAGATTATGTCCACACTAAACGGTTTCAGTTCACTGAGCGTAATGCAAGCATGTTGGAAAGCCATCTCGGTGGTCGGAGTTACGGAAAGAAGGTCGTATCGCTGAAGCGCAAGAGCATTTGCACTGACGAACCCAGAGCCAGACTTAATGGCTTGGTCATTATCAAGCACAACAGTCAAGCGCGTCAGCTGTTTGATTCCCTCGCGATATGATTCAACCCCGTATGACTTTCGTGTTCGTGGGTCAAGTTTAGGAAAAGGAGGTGTGCCAGAGAATGGGTTCTTCTGAATCGCTGGGTCATACTTTGTGTGAACAATATAGTTGTATGCGACGGTAGTATAGCCCACTACAATGTGAGTCCAACAGCCTCAACTTTTACGCACTTTCCATGAGCTCATACGTTATCTCGCTGATCCGTTTCTTTTCGGACGGTGACAATGCGTCCAGCGCATTTTGTTGTTCGTCCACGATGTCCTCGGACGTCGCGGCTTTCTGTGCAAGTTTTTTTGCTTTTTTTGACATGGATGGTGCGGAGCTCTGTGCCTGCACTGGCCATGGCACGTTTAAATCGCAAAACATGCTCACTCGCGTGATCTTCGCGCCCTGACGGCGGCAGTGTCCACCAAATCTTTATCTAGAACGTGTGTGGGCCCTGTCCGTCACGAAAAGTTTGGAGTTGGATGTGCCGATCTAAAGACCACGTGGAACCATTGTGCACGCACAGCTGTGGAGTTTAACACTTGCAGCCACATATGTACATGGTACTTGTTGAAGTGCGATCACGATGCCAGTGATAGTGCTGCGGGCGGCGGAGGGTTCGCCAACAGCAACGACGCCAGATGATCTAGATTTAACCAAAGATCAAAGAGACACCATCATTGTCGCGTGTGCATACATAGTGATCATATGTATTCTGGTGCGTGCGATTGGTGTGTGCTAATGGCAAGTGGAACATACCCATTCTGAAGCTACTTTTGTACCCGTTCAAGCTTTTGGTATGTCGAGAACTATTTCTAACCTTCAGACAGTGGGATTTCATGAATTTTCGCATGCGCTTGCCGGTGTGCTCACTTGCGCGAAAATTGAATCTATCCAGCTCGACCCAGACGAAGGCGGTGCGACTCGTTTGCGTGGTGGCATTAGTTTTATCACGTTACCGGCCGGATACTTGGGCTCTTCGTTAATTGGTGCGATTCTAATTGCTTGTGGATTTGATGAGAGGGCTAGTAAAGTGGCGAGCATTGTAGTCGGTGTGTGTTTCTTGTGCATGCTCTGGTGGGCCCGACGGAATTGGATGTATGTATGCGGCATGCTGAAAGATCAAGAGAACCGAGTCTGACACATCCAATTAAGCACCTGGTTACTCATTCTCGTGATGGTCGGTCTTTTTGTTATGTTTTGGGTACGTACGAATTCGTTTGATCCTCAACTTACCATCAGCTGGTTGAGAGCTCGGTTGCTTTACGCTTCTTTGTGCTATTTATTGTACGTGAATTCTTACATGTGGGTCTTGAAAGCAGCTTACCAATGCGTGAAGGGTGTGATGAACTGTCTCTATTCAGTATGGGATATTTGTGATGATCTTATCTTCCGAAAGGTCAACGAGTCTGATGCCTCTGCATTTGCCCGACTCGTCGGTTGCTGTCCACCACAAGTCTGGGGTGTCATTTGGCTACTCATCAGTGTAGCTTTCTTCGTCGGAGGCATCCTGGTAGCAATTGTCCTTTTCAAGACACCCGTGTCGCAACAGAGAGCAGACGATATCATGCACGTTCCGACCTAGCAAGGATCACTTCGTGTTTATATCTGATACGTTCCTTTTATGTACATACCAATTTCCAAAAACAATCTTGCTATCTTTTATCACACTTGCCTTTATGCAGGAGGTTTCGTCCGCATCAGCTTCTCATACGGCTTCATGATAATAACGAGATCCCAACTGTCCTGCAATGCACGGACCTCCTATCTAATAGTGCATAAGCGAGTGCATTTGAGGCGCTTGGAGAAATAATCAGCGTGTGGCCTTGAACGCGGTTCAAGCGCTTAGGTAAGACAACCAACGGCATTTCCATATTCCACGAACTTTCGCTGGATGAACCGAGCGTGGAACACGGCCATAAAGCAACCTCGTGTGTACATGAGCAGTGCAAGACTAGGCAATCTCTCGGAACTAGTAAGAAGTCAGTATCAAAAGGCCATAGAGGCCGGCGATGCCTTTTTTTACGACTCACAAGTTCGCGTGACGAAATCGGGTGCGTCGCAAGATGGCGAACGACAGAAAACGGTACCGTGGCAGATTCGAACGGTACCAGCCTTGCTGAAGAAACCCAAAGCCGAACCTTCGTCGACGGCATCTGATGAAAAGAAGGAAATTCATCATCAACCGATGCAGAACCAGCGCGACGTATTTGCGCCGCCGTATGTACCAAACTTGCTCGTCAAAGAACTAGACAACTTCACAGTACTTTTGAACAAGTACTGCGTGCTGCCTGGTCATTTTTTGCTCGTAACACGCGATTTTGTGAAGCAAGAGAAGCCGCCATCGCCAGAAATGCTGTCTCTCGTGTATAACATAATTATGTCACATACGCCGACGAGGCCTGATGCAGAATTGCTGGGCTTCTTCAACTGTGGTCCAAATAGTGGTGCATCGCAGCCACATTGCCATTTCCAACTGGTCGAATTGACGCCCACAGATCCGGATTCAAAAGCGGTGCCTATCGAAACCATGCTTGAGACGGACATGTCCCCTGATGAAAACAAAGGTACGTGATGTGGAACTTGGTGACTTATGGCTTTGTAGACGACGTCTATGGTCTAAACGTCCCATGGAGACACTTTGTTGCACGACTACAACCGCCTAATGACCCGAATGAGCAAGAGATGTACTTCGGCACTCGATTTTCTCATCTTTTAGAGTCCATGTTTTCCACTGCACAACAGAAGGACGATCAAAGTATCTCCATTACAGGACCACCAAGCTTCAATGTGCTTATGACGCGACATTTCATGCACGTCATCCCTCGCCGCACAGAGACGTTCAATTTGCGAGACGCTGGCTGGGAAGAGTATGGTGCTGGCGGGCATCCACCCAAGTACACTGGTACTCTTAGTGTGAATGCTCTGGGTACGTATACGAATACGCGCACAGTGTCACAGACGCGACGTAACATTTGATGACTAACCCTCCACTCCAGGATATGCTGGACTACTATTAACAAGGCACACTGCAGAGATGGAGGCGTTGGCTTCCAAAGACGATGACAAACGAATTGCGCAAGTGTTGACACACACAGGAGTGCCGCTGTGACCAAACCATGAAGCATAGGAGAGTTCGTGCGGCTCGGAGTGTGTGAAAGATGTGCTCCATTAAAATAGCTTGGATACGTTTGCACAAAGTGCCACGAGAAGCACGACAACGCCCCACGACGCAAGCACAAGTGAAGCGCAGTAAAGCCATGGCTGGCGCTCTGAGCCATGTAGCATGCAGTACAAGTAAGCAGGTACAATGAAAGAAATGGTAGTGCTGCCCAAGGCACCGACAAATCCGAGCACAATAGACAAGTCGTCGACAAGCATGGCGATGGCAGCACTTGATACAATTTCAACAATAGTCAGGCCATAGAACCAATGAGAGGGCATCGAGTCCACGAGGGATGCTGAATCTTCCATCAGAAGTGGCACTTCTTCCTCCATACCATCAGCATTGACTCGGACCGTTGGCTTATACGACCAAGAACGCGACAAACTTAGGAGACTTGCTCGCGAAGGATGGAGTTGCATGGGATAGCTTGTAAGAGCAAGTAGCACGACGCACAGTTTTCCAAGACCCACAAACAAGCTCTTGTCCGGATACATGGCAATGACGTTGTCGCTCACATTTGAACCAAACGTGAAGTAGCCAGCAAGTCCCACGAACAAGTACACAAAAGCACTAGAGAAAATGGATGTAAATGTGACGATAGACGTGCGCTCAAGCGTACTATTGTACAGCTCATTGTAAATGGGAATGATGTTTTGTGAGCATGTATACGCAAAAAGGATGATGGGGAATTTGCGCAAAGACTCTCTGCTCCAGCGAACTGCGACAATGTGACTTGCATCAGGAAGCTGCTTCCATGCACTTGGTACAATCATATATAGGGCCATTATAAGCCCAATGTACGCGACGGCCATCATGTTCAGATATCCAATGAAACTAAGTGATTTGAGTCGGCGCACAGAACAGATCGGAATCATGCACGCGACCATAACCAAATACCAAAGATTTTTGTTCACAAGTAATTGAGGTACATGCTTTGATGTAAATCCAAGCGATGTCCAGATGCTCAAGACGACCTGAGGCATAAGACTTCCACTAATAATCAGGTATGAGATCGTAACTCCATAGCACTGGCATAGTGTGAGATGAAAAAGAACTGTTCTCTCGTTTGACCAGGCAAAGAGTACGTACCTTGATGCCAATGACGAGGTCAAGGATCCACATCTTATAGGGATTGACACGAAACATTAAGTCATAAAAACCAGTCGCCTGCGCTCCAATATGATCACAACAAAGCTTCACTAATACAAGGCCGAACAGGGTAGTGGCAGCACAAAAGATAATCATAAAGCTGCCCATGAACCAACCCATTGTTGCAAATGCACTGGGCAAAGCGAGCATTCCTGCACCAATAATGGTGTTCGTGAGGCTGCTTATGCTGGCGGTTATGCTTGCCCTGTGGGCAGAAGAGTTCTGATAGGGGGGCACCTGTTGTGCGCTCGCACTCATGATGCAAAGCGCAGAGCAGCAAAGTTGTTCACGTCCACGCCAGAGGAAAGAGAGCGAAAGAAACCCGAGGTGGAGTTTCAATCATACGCCATGGCTCCAACTTCCTTCTCTGCGGCAAGAACTTGACACGCTCCACGCGTTGCAAAGCAGTGTGACCACGAAAAAAAAATGAAGATGTGCAAACGTTTGCATAATAGCCCACGTGTTTTGAATTGTGGAGATGAAGTGATCAGGACACGCTCAACTCCAACCGCCGCGACAGCGGCCTATTTCGCGGTACAAGTGGACAAGGCGACGCGTCACGCGCTCATAAGATTTGCACAAGTCACATCCAACTAACACTTGTTGTTGCGCATCGAAACTAGGACTATGTCGTCATCCAACGAGCTTGTAGAAGCTGAGACGGAAGTTGAGGCAGCCGATGAAATGGCCGATGAAATCATGGGGCCTTTGCCTGTCTCAAAAATGGAGGTACGTGCATTCGCTTTGGGTACAAAGCTGTCGCCATCATGAGATGTGTCCTAACGCTTGGCGCGTGAAAAGGAGTTTGGCATATCAGGTTCGGACTGCAAAAAGCTCAAAGAAGCTGGATATCATACGCTAGAAAGTGTGGCATTTACACCGAAAAAAACGTTACTTCTCATCAAGGGCATGTCGGAACAAAAAGTCGATAAGATCCTATCGGAAGGTACGCTTCGGTGTTCATAGGCGTGTTTGAGGGTTCCAAGCTAATTCCCAATGCAGCTGCCAAGTTGGTGCCACTCGGATTTACCACAGCGACCGAATATCACCAGCGTCGGTCAGATCTAATTACCATCACGACAGGATCGCCGGCGCTGGACCTCGTCATTGGCGGGGGTATGGAGACTGGCAGTATCACAGAATTATTTGGCGAGTTCCGTACAGGCAAGAGTCAGATCTGCCATACACTCGCTGTCACCTGTCAGGTACGTTTGCTAGCATGCATCGTGTGTGTGTGTGTGTGTGCAAAAGACACAAGCATATACTTGTGCGCAAACATGCATGTGTTGTTCATGCGTCTGAGCTTTACTTACATTAGCTTCCTGTGGATATGGGTGGTGGCGAAGGCAAATGCTTGTATATCGATACAGAGGGTACATTTCGGCCAGTGCGACTCCTAGCTGTGGCTGAGCGCTTTGGCCTCGACGGCGAGGAGGTACTAGACAACGTGGCATATGCGCGTGCCTATAACGCTGATCATCAGTTAGAATTGCTCGTTCAAGCAGCAGCCATGATGTCGGAGTCGCGGTTTGCGCTATTGATTGTCGATTCGCTCACGTCTCTGTACCGTACGGACTTTGCAGGTCGTGGCGAGCTCTCAGCGAGACAGACGCATTTGGCTAGGTTCCTTCGCACACTCATGCGTCTTGCGGATGAGTTTGGCGTAGCTGTCGTCGTAACAAATCAAGTCGTTGCGCAAGTGGACAATGCAGGTTTCGGCGGCATGGATACCAAGAAGCCCATCGGCGGCAATATTGTCGCACATGCGTCGACAACTCGGTACGTTTGTGCCACGCCTTTGTGCGCCAATCCTACGTTTGATGGGGTGCTGACACAACCAGACTTTCACTTCGTAAGGGTCGCGGCAATCAGCGCATTTGCAGAGTCGTCGATTCACCATCACTTCCGGAAGCCGAGGCAGTGTTTGCCATCAAGCCCGAGGGTATTACTGATCCCGTATGTACAAAATACGTCCACTTACACCATACTCTTAGGACGACTAAAATGAGCTCTCCTTTTTCGAGATATGCGTTTGTATGTATCATGTCATCTTGTGTATGTACTGGAAATCAGCCTACTTGGACATTATAGTCTATCTTGGTTCATTCTCCACACTGTTGAATGTGTCGTTTGAAAGCTCACGGATCTGGGTGATGAAATTTAGAACTACGCGTCTCCACGTTCAGTGAGCGAATTATGTCGGTAGGCCGAGGCGAGGCAGCGCCTGTGGCACTCGCTGATCTGGCTTTGGATGAGGCCACGAAGCGCTTCCAGGCCATATGGAGCTCGACATTCTCGATGCTGCAAGAACGCAATCGACTTGCTCATGAACTGGAAGCATCAGCTGAGGCGTCGGAACATACCTTCCTTCGAACTTTTCCGTACTTTGGACGCGATCGATCTATCTTAAAACATATGCATATGCTGTTGCAGGCGCTTGATACTTGGAAAAAGCGCATGTCTGAGGGAGATGCGGCAGGTGTCCCGTCCGTCGACCAGGTGGAATCATGGACGGACACCGTTTCACAACTCATGGAGCTGCTGGCCCACACTGGCCATATGATGAATGACCCAAGTGGGGCAGAGATTTTGCATGAGCTGCGCTCGGATCATGCACATGCGCTCGATCCGTTGTACTCTCAGACAAATGCAGCCCTCGAGGCGTCTGAGGGTGAGACACGGCATTTTTCGCGGCTCGATATGATCCAATCTATGAACGACATGCCAAGCACATCAGCCCTTACTTCGGCAGAGCCATTCGATACAGATGAAGATCGCGATACTTCTGCATTGCTCTCGCATAATGAAGCATGGCGCGACCAAGACAGGCATTTAGATCATCTCAGCGCATCGATCTCCCGTCAGCACTCGATCAGTGTGCGCATGAATGAGGAGCTGGAACTTCAGTCAGGCATGATTGGCGAATTGGATACGGATGTCGAGTCGACGGGCTTGCGTCTCGGTGGTGCGGCTACGCGTCTCGAGCGATTCCGGGAGAGCATCAAAGAACACGGTACGTGTACGATCCCTTTCACATGAAGGACACGAGAAACGAGCATGCTGACTTGGGACATTCATCAGGCTCATTGTGGACGATTTTCGTGCTCATTGTCATATTGGTTCTACTAATTGCGCTGGTTAAGTAGGAGTGGGCTTCCCACCGACGCATCGCAGGCCGCTAGGAGCGGTCTGCAGCCGGCGGGAGCCTCATGTGGACGCCACTAGTGGGCAGCACAAAAATTCGATGAAGCCATGGTGCCAGTGGAATTGCGACGCATCTACATCCTGGCGACACACAAGTGGAAGCTTGAACTGGACACTCAGCATCCCTACCTCGTCAATACGGATCGATGTCTTGTCAGAGACAGTCAAAGCGGCGAGCATGTGCTCGATACCTTTGAGTGCGTAGCTCTGCACAACAGGCTCATCACACATGTACTTTTCAGTTACAGCGTCTTTGTTAGGAAAGACGATTTCAGTCGTTCCATGGCTGTTTTCTGTGCAAAACAGGAAATCACCCTGAGCCCGAGAGGCAGCTGGATAGAATTCCATCCGCATAGCCTTCTCACCATTCTTGTAGATTTCATTCAGTAAAGGACAGAGCTGTTGAGAGTCCACAATGACCTGTGCAGCGGTGTGGGCAGAGTCGAAATCCATTTCATGCTTAAAGGGCGCATCATATGTGCGTAGGTGAAACGACATATCCCAAGTCCCATGCGACATGCGAAGTCCCATAGGACCACCAAGGTGCGGAAAGTCCATGATCATAACGGTATCCTCATTACCTGGAGACTTCTTGCGAAAGAGGAAAACTTGGAGAACTTTGAAGAGGCTCTCAAGATGAATGTCAAATGTGACACAAGGTTGAAGAGTTTCGTCAGTATCTAATGTTGCGTCATGCGGCAGACGCCGCTGCTCGAACTGGAGCCAGTTCTCTGGCGGATGAAATTCGTACTGATCAAACAGTGATGAATACAGGTACCCATGCGCTTGGCAAACTTGGTCTCCAGAATCAACCATGAACTCCATGCCGGAAGCTGATAGCGTCAATCTTGCAAACTGGTGTGTCAGCCTGTGATACTGCTTACATTTGTGAAATGCATGGACAATAATACGTTTGCGACAGCAGAGACATCTTTCATGGATGCATAGAGCACATTCTGTGCTGATGTTGAAACCATTCTTATACCCGCGTGCCGTTGACCCACCAAAGTTGATGCTCATACATCCAAGCCACCAGCCACATACACTTCGTTGTGGCCGATCCCAACCATTCCGTGATGACGATTCATTGGCGGCTCACCTCCACACCTGTCCAACCCATAATCATGCAAGCGCACAGTCTCCAAGCCACGCACTATGAACGGGCGCGCGCTCGCGTGAATGTGAATGTGTGTGTGCAAGCAAGCGAGAGCTATGTAGGGTGAAATCACGTGCTCTTGGTCCTGGCGTCCAACGTACGTACGTACGACCCCACGAGCCAATGCGTGCGGTCGACGTACGACGCACTCCATTAGACAGACACTTCCAGGCACACCTGTACACGAGCCACGTCGGCTTTGTGGGTAACCATGTCGGAGAATGTGCCACGCAAGGTATGACTTGATTTGAAAGACGTGTGTTCTGATATACGTGTGCAGTCAGCGCCCTTGACGTGTCACGGGCATACGCGACCCGTCGTGCACTTGGAGTATTCAGACAAGCAGGATGATGGCACGTTTCTTCTGTTATCCAGCTGTAAAGATGGCAGTCCTATGTACGTGTTGTTGTGTGAGGCCGTTTCTCACAGATCTCTTTTTTTTTTTTTCTTTTGCAGGCTTCGAGACTGGGTTGGTGACTGGGTAGGAACATTTTTGGGTCACAAGGGCGCTGTATGGAGCGCGAAGCTGAATGGCGGCGACGCTGCGCGTGCCGTGACGGGCAGTGCTGATTTTTCTGCGTAAGTTGGGCTGTTTTGTGTAAAGCGACTGACGGTTTGATAGCAAGGTGTGGGACACGTATACAGGAGAATGTCTGCATACATTTACACACAATCACATTGTGCGAAGTGTGGCGGTGGACTCAGCTGCGACAAAGCTTGTGACCGGTGGTCATGAAAGAAAGCTGCGTCTGTTTGACTTGAACAAACCGGCGTCGAATGCAGACGATGCACAGCTTTTCCGTGCACGCTTCGACGCCAACACGACAACGCACGAGGGTCAGATTCGAAGTGTTGTGCTGGGCCGTGGCACTTCCCATGAACACACTCTCGTCACTGCCTCAGGTGACAAATTGATTCAGTGGTGGGACATGAGATCCATGGAGCCAGTGTATGACATGGTGCTGGATGATCCGTTCGTATCGATGGAGAGGTGTGCTGGCTCGTTTGGCGAGTACGTGACGCTCACGAGTGGGCATAACGCAATGTTCTTGGATCTCGGCACACATGAAGTGATTCGGAAACACACACTTGACGTGACGCCCTCGTCTGTGTACCTGCACCCCACGACTGCTGGCATGTTTGTGGCTGGATGCACGACGGATGAGTGGGTTCGCGTATACGACTACGAAACAGGGAAGGAGTTGGATCTAAGTAAAGGACATCACGGTCCAGTCCATTGCGTAAGCTATACGCCTGATGGAGAAGTGGCTGCAAGCGGAAGCGAAGATGGTACGTGAGTTGGATCAATTTTCTCTCTCTCTCTCTCTCTCTCTCTCTCTCTCCGTCTCTCCTCTCCTTTAGTCTTTCCTAATCCCGATGAACTCGTGCGGCTAACATGAGATGCAGGTACTATCCGCTTGTGGCAGACGACGCCTGGCAAAAAGTATGGCCTGTGGTCATGAACAAGAAGAGAGTGCTTGCGAAAAAGGCGAAGAAGTTGAGAAGGATCAAGAACAGAAGCCCGTGCAAGAGCAGTCCTTTTTTTCATAGAGCATTGTGTCGCGTCGCACTGTTACGCGTGAAACGCGGCTTGTATAGTAGATCATCGCTCGATGGATCAGCAGTTGATCCATGACGTGCCTATGGCATCGATGGTGATAGTGATGATGATGATGATGGGATCGGAACGGCTGTGGGCTTTGGGGCAAAAGGGAGCCGTGTGCTCGGCATTTACATACCTGCACCGAAAAGAGGGTTGTTGTTTGAACACATACGTTCTTGCACGTTGAGACATATATATAATGCTGCTGCCTTTATGCACACATATGAAGCATGAGCCTGGGATGGATTTGCTTGGTACGCTACGTGCGAACATGCGGGAGTTGACTAGACAAACAGAGCTCCTTCAGGCCGATGGTTATGATGCTGCACGGCCACACAAGTGCATATATGCGCCATGTACAAAGGCATTTGCCCGTCGCTCAGACCTACAGCGGTACGTGGTCCTCAAGTATGCCTTTTTCTTTGGTTCACACTGACTTCGTTGGTCTCTAGACATATGCGGATCCATACACAAGAGCGCCCGTACAAGTGCCCCTATGGTGGATGTGACAAGCGCTTTATCCAACGCAGTGCACTGAATGTACATCTGAATGTCCACACTGGCGAGAGGCCATTTGTGTGCACAGAATGCTTCAAAGCCTTTGCTGATACCAGCTCGCTAGCTCGGCATCGGCGCACGCATTCAGGACGACGGCCGTACAAATGCCAAATATTCGGCTGCGGTAAAGAGTTTTGCCGGCGAACAACACTCACGAAGCACATGCGCCGTATGCACCCCATTGACGACCATCCCATGACGCCGTCATCTGTCCTCACATTCCCACACATGCCAGCGGTACCACCAATCACAGCAACGGCGAAAACCGCGCAATGTGGCACGGTGAAGGGATTAGCGACAATGGAAGTCATGGCAGATAGCAAGAGCATCGATGTTGGCGACGACATGGCCGGTGCCGGTGCCGAGAAGACTGTCAGTTCCCATGGCATCCGCTTGTTGGACATACACTTGATGCACGAGCCAACTCATGGCGATGCATCAGGCCAGGCCACTCCCACGTCGCCCGTAATGCTAACGACATCAGCGTCGCCCCACGCGTCGTGCTCAAGCATGACGACATCTGCTCAGAGCTGGGGATCCCCGCTTGCTCACACATTCCCAAGCACGCCTGTACCAGTGCTACTCCATTTTCCTGCATGTACTAAGGCGTCACCTGGCTACAAAGACATGACTCTCACTGCAGCGTGTCCCACACATTCTGCTTGGCCCCGTAGACAGTAGGGAGGAATCCGAGTCTGTGACTCGCCCGAGAACGCGTGCATATGTGTGTCGACACGAATCGAACGAGCGCATGAGCTCTCCACCTGTCGAGGAACGCGCGCTACGCGCCGCACAATAGCGTTGGCCACGTGGCAGTGTCGCACAGCAACACATGCAGTTCCGCCGCCACGAACGAGCCATCCGTCACCAACGTGCGTCTGTACGTTCACGCAGGCGTGTGACTCTTAGCGTGCGTGGGCGTGTGTGTGCTTTTGTGTGTTGGTGAGTTTGTGTGTGTGTGTGTGTGTGTGTGTGTGTCATTGCGCGTGGGGTGGTGATATCAACGCCTTGTCCTTGAACGTTTTGATCCATCGACCGACTTGCTGAATCATCCCACATTCGTAAACGCTTCTCAGAACAAGCGCCGACATCGATGAGTGCCGGTCATGCTGTAGACGAGATGGATCACACAAAGATGGGGGCGGCGGATGATGAGCTTGTGACGTTACTGTGTCATCGTTACTATCAATCGCTGTATTACACGCAGCTGCAAGAGTCTGTCCTTGTGGTCCTGAACCCGTATCGGACAGCCGTGGATGTGAACAGTACGGAAGTCTTGCACGAATACCGACGCGAGTTTCGGAATACACGGCTCACACAGAGCAGCTCGCCTTTGCCGCCACATGTGTTCCGGCTTGCGAATAATGCGTATTTCTACATGCAGCGGACTGGTCAAGACCAGTGTGTATTTTTTCTGGGGGAAACAGGCAGTGGAAAGAGCGAGACACGGCGTCTCGCTGCACATGCTCTGGCTGGACTGGGCACGGCTCTCCCTGGCAAGCGAGGGGCACGTCTAGCCCTGCAGCTTCCTGCTGCGTTGTATGCACTCGAGTGCATGGGAAATGTGGCGACGGACGAAAACGAGAATGCATCGAGTGTGTCGCTATATACGGAGCTGCAGTTCAGTCAGAAGGGGCGTCTCGTGGGATTCAAGGTGCTGAATTACTATTTGGAGCTGACGCGTGCAGCCGTCCACTGGGACACGACGTCAGCGTTCCAGATCTTTTCAATGCTGGTGACGGGTGCGAGTCCTGAAGAAGCGCGCCGCTGGCGAATGACGCAGGACACGTCGTTCCGCCTACTAGAGCACGCACACGATGTGGCTGCGCTGCATACGCCTAGCACCAGAAAATATGCACGGTGGCTCGAGTCGCTCACGCTGCTGGGCGTCACGGCCGAGCAGCGCGCATCGATGCTCGATGTGCTTGCGGCGCTTCTACATCTGAGCAACATGGACTTTTCGGACGAGGACGGGCCATTGTGCCCAGCTCGCGTGACGACGGAGGAACCGCTGTACATAGCAGCTGCGCTCCTGGGAATTGGCGCATCTGCCCTCGCGAATGCCGTGACGCATCACACATCCGTGGTGAATGGGCAGCTGTGCACGGCGATGCTCAACAGGGAGCGGGCCGGCCGCAGCCGAGACCGGCTGATGCGTATGCTGTATGCGCAGCCTGTTCGCATGGCTCAACGAGCACATCAACATGTGTTTCTCGCACGAGCAGTTTGACACGTATATTGGCCTGCTGGATGTCCCGGGCTGGCGGAACCGTGTGCAGAACCACTTGGATGCGATGGCGATCAACTTTGCCTCTGACATGGTGTATCGGCATCTGACACACGTCCTGTGTGATCGGCGTACGGGCGAGATGGATCATGAGGGCCTCTCGCATCTAGCGCCACTGCCGTCGGCGATCGACACGACAAACCAGGTGCGCCTTTTCACACATGTGCCTGGCGGTCTCATGCACATCATGGACGACCAGACGCGCCGGAGGCCGCGAAAAAACTCGCTCACGATGGTCGAGGCGATGCAGCGCCGCTGGGTCCATCATCGTGCGCTGCACGTCGACAAGCCTGACCGCCTTGGGCCGCAGGCGTTCACCGTGACGCACTTCCACGGCCGCGTGTCGTACGACCCGCATGGCTGGCTCGAGCAGAATGATGCGTCGTACGCGTCCGAGCACCTCGCCCTGCTGCGGGGTGCGACCGCATCGACCTCGTCGCGCGACAGCGTGTTTGGCTCGACGAATGCGTTTGTGCGTGGCTTGTTCCGGCACCTGCCCGAGACAGCGCACGTACATACGCCCGCGACGCTGCGTCCGACACGAGCGCCCAGCACCAAACGCGTCGCGCGTCAGCGCACACTGCGTGCAGCCACGTCGCGGCATCCGGACGACGACGATGTGTATGGGAATGCGCT